TCGCTAGGAGGAATTCCATCACACCCTCACGGGCTTTATGTGTGAGAGGCGAGTTCGTCTTTACCACCATTCCTGGTTGTACTGGCCAGGCGCAAGAGGCAACGGGCTTCGGCGCACGTTCAACTTCGACTAAGCACATACGACAGTTTCCAGCGATCATTAACTTCCTAATTTATGTTATTAGCAACGCGGGTCGTGGTGGGGAGGGTCGAGAGGATAGCGATCGTACTCGTGATAACAATATCTGTAAAGTATTAGCGGCAAGCTTCTTGCATTATTCGGACATCTCGTAGACTGACCTAGGAACAGTAACGCCGGCCTTCTCGCAGGCCTGAATTAAAGCTGATCCGGCTGCGGGCTTAATTAGTAAGAGGCATAACAACCTCGGGATTATAAATTATAGATTTATACCTTCGATAGACACCTTCTTTCCATCTATAACAGCGTCAGCAACCATATTAAGCGCTTCGATCGTATATATAAAATATATGCTCACCAACGGTAAGCTCCACCTCTGCCGGCCGCCGAGGAGTTGCTGAAAAAGCTCTCGAGGATTTGGCGACATGGCTGCCAGTCCGCCAAGCCGGAACGAGCTAGAGATTGTCGGAGCATCGTGTCGTCTCGACGGAATCAAGGGACAGAGGAGAGGAAAGGAATAGGACGAGGTGGTGTGTGGTGGTCAATTGGAAGAAAGTTCCCTCAAAACGACGTTGACGTCTCTTTGAGAATTGCTGGTCGGGAATTATTGGACGCTTCTTCGAAGTGGCGCTAGTGCTCATTGCGATTATTTCGCACTCTCTTTGATTGGTTGTAGCTAAGAAATTTGAAGCCTGAATTCTGAGGCAAAAAATTATTCATATTACGTATCTTAGTAGGTAGGTACCTACGTATCTACGTACCTAATAACCTACAGTTAGTAAGTAACGCAACCCCTACAGTTAGCCAAGCCAGTTTGCTATCGCTTTTAATTCAAAATTTCTGCAAGCAATTAGAATCTTTTTTCCTTTTCTTTTCTTCATTAATTGTACATGTGCACATTTTATTGTAGGTGAGCTTGAGCGAGTTCCTGGTCTTCCAGGTGACTTGCTGCAGTCGAGTCTTCCTCTATCTTGTGTTCTAGAGCAATATTGTACGCCGATTATGGAAGCACTTGAGAGGTGCTAAATCTCGAAGATTGTTGCCTCTTACCGCCGGTCGTCACATTTGCGCGTTTGATCCTGAGTTTTCTATTTTCTATCATTTTCAAACCGAGACTAGAAGAGAAAGCAATAGTATTTATTTACCAATCAATAATCTTTGTCTACTGAGATGTCCTATGTGAACTCTAGGCACCAACGCTTGACTTGTTCTTACTCACCAATCATCCTATCTATATAATTTACTTAGATCTATCATGTTTTCGAAGCTCTCCCCTCTTTCTAATATCGACTTTGTAAAGAAGTATGTCATCAGCATATCAACTAACCAACATGTCTAAACTGAACTATGCCACGAGAAGGGTCACCAATAATGCAATCTATCAACTTGCACGTGTAGCTGATACCCTACATAACAATTCACTTGACAAAGTTGACCTTTTGGAAGAATATATAGATCATGAGCTCGAAAAGCGATCGTCAGACCTGAAAGATGTCCTAGAGAAAGTCAACACTGCTATTCAGTCCCTTCGAGAGAATGTCCACCATACCAGTCGAGCCCAACAACCCAATGATAAGATGATTGGCTGTCTTAATATCCTCCAAACTCAAATTCAAACTATGTATACCGACCAGGATGGACTTTCGGTCGGATTTAAAGATCTCAAATATAAAGTTGCAGGAATCAGGAGCAGCCAGCATGATCTTCGCGATGTCCTTCGTATGATACACACAGATGCTCAGATATCACATGAGCCCACGGACATTTTTGGATTCCCCCAATTTAAAAGGCTTCCACCGGAAATTCGAGCCATGATATGGGACTTGGCCATTCCTAACCGAATACTCGTTCTTAGGGGGCAATATATGTATCATTTCCCCGGTCATAACTGTCTATATCATTTCGAATCAAGATTATCTCCTCCCTCGGTTGCTCAAGTCTGTAAGGAGGCTCGATCAATCGCTTGCCGTAGCGGTAGATTTGTGAGCGTTAGGCTGAATAAAGAAGATAAACCTAGACCCTTATGGTCCTGGTATGATCCGAGCCGGGATTCTCTTCGTCTACTTACCGAAACTCTACAGGGTTCACTAAATCCTACTATATTAGAAATTACGCAGTGTACTCAGTCTGTCATAAGTGGTGTTGACTCAAGTAATACATACTGTCGTCAGCTCCTGTCTTACCTTTCTGATCCACTTTACTTTCCGCGGCTGAAAGTCGTCAGCTTTATATCGGATACCTACAAGCATCAACAGCTTACCGATCACGTTATCGAAACTCGACTATTTAGCCTAGATCGCCGGGACTCTCTTTCCTTCGATGTTGATGACGAGGCTGCTAAGAAGGCTCTAATCCACCGAATTACAAAGGATCATTTTTCAGTAGAAGCCGACCATTTAGTGAGCTGGTTAAAAGAGGACACAAAGGAGTCGTGGAGTGACTTTATAAGTGTCCATAACGTGAAGTGGCCTCATTTCTTGGATCACCTGCATAGAGAATGGTTTCTCGCTAAGCCACGGCATTTATCAGCTGCTAGAGATTATGCTGTTCAACTAGCTAAGAAGTTCGGTAACGAAAAATCCTCGAAGGGCTTGCCCGTATTCCGACGCGTAAAATTGATCGAACGAACAGTTAAATAAGTACCTGCTGAGTATCCCCTGTCTGATTCGGAAACTTGGTTGGATTGATCTGAAGGATAATTTATAAGGACTTAGAGTTCCACCTGCTTGTACCTCTCATATCTTGCCTTGCATTTAGGTTTGTGGCACGCCGGTAGACACTGATTCGAGCAGCATCGTAGGACCACACTCACTTGCTGAATACTTGATGAGAAGCTTGGGTAGACAGAGAAAAAACAAGTTGGCATCTTGAGATCCCATAATCGTCGTGATATTAGACTAGAATAATTACCATATATTTTCGTATTAGTAACATAGCCACCCTTTGAAAAACGGTTGAGTCTAAGATGTTCGGTGTTAGTGCTATTTGAACATAATATTTTCGTGAATAATCTGATGTACTGGCTGATTATTACTCTTATATGGTAGGTATATGATATATATTTTAAAAATTTTCTCTGGTTCGGCTTGTGGTAATAGATATTTCTTAAACATTCTTTCAATGCTCCTACATCATAGGGGATTTGGAACTGAGAGTTTTCAACCAGTTAATTCTGATTGAAAAGAAAAAAGGGTGCGAAAATACAACGAGTAAATACTAAGCATGGTCATACCTACATGCTTTACTATTTAAAGATTTTAACTACGTAAATAGGAATCGACTTGAGTTATCTGTGTTGTAAACTTTTACATGATCGGGGTTCGCTGTCAGTTTTAACTCACCCCACTAAATTTTCTGCTTGTCTATTGTACTTCGTAGCCAGCGGATATAAGATCTAATAATGAGCCAAATTCTCACCGCCCAGATATCAATCTGGCAAAATCTTGTGTTCACCACAAGCAACATGGTTTGGTGGTCTAGTGGTATGATTCTCGCTTAGGGACAACCCTATTCATATTATGCGAGAGGTCCCGGGTTCAATCCCCGGCCAAACCCTTTATCTTTTGTTAATATCTTAATATCTGTCTGATTCCAGCTTTTTTGGCGCATATCCTTCGACTATTATTTTTTATATTGATAACTTTTTGTTCGGTCGAATGTGGTAACAATCTGTTGGCTAAGTCGTTTATTATTTAAAGACATATTCAAAGCTTCATATGCTGTCGATTGACAACTCTATGGTACTTCATACTATGTGAGTTAACAGCATTCTTTCACATAAACGATTCGGCGTTTGCAACTAAAAGAGTATCTCTAAACCCGAGAACCCCAAGCAAGAACCCCAAGCACGTTGCCCTACGGAAATTACAAGCTTCGGCCTCCGTCATTCTGTTGTGAAACGTATATGTTTTTGCAGGCCTTGGGTTGACCCTTACGATGTAAGCGGTAATAACAAGACTTACACCTCATGAAGCATCTACCTATCTCAAGTTGATTTATTGTTGTATCTCACCTAGGTACGTAGTTTATATTTCTCGCGTAATCAATAATCGTACCTAGGTATGTATACAAGGTCACACAGCCTAAATTTCGCATAGGCTGCCCAACATGAAAAAAATGATTGCAAGGGTTTACCGACCATAGTGATACTCTCATTTCGGTATTGATCGTCGGGTGGTAGTTCAAGTGGATCTCATGAGTTTAAGATGACTGGGGTCCGGCTCATTCGGAACAATGCAGAAGACCGTTGTTGGTGCTTATGTAAAAAGTAAGAAGCTGGGGTAAACAGGATTATTATTATGTACTGATCAACTCTACTCATGATATCTTTATCTTTAGATGTAGAGATAAGGTAGTGCAATATTTATCTATACTAATATATCGCAAATTATACCACCACAACACAGCATACATCATTATTATTAATTACCTTCATATATAAAAGCCGTCTAGGCAGCCATCAAATAATTGAATGAGATGAATAAAAATTCCAAGCCAAGGCTAAAAGGCCCGGCCTGGCTCTTACAATCTGACGCTAAGAATGTTTTTAATCCCGGTACCCCTGGATAATGCTATCAGTGCTATATCCCGATACATCGTAGCGCGTACCGTCGACGGCCGCATTAAGGGGCCCCTTCATGTAACATACCGACTTATAAAAAGGAAGCATGTGCCCCCTTCGCGATGTGCCGATCTTCTTGATCTACACACGCGAGTCAAAAGACGACGATCAATAGATACGCGAGTCATTCATTCATTAATTCATTCCGATCCGCTCGTTTATAAGGTCGACCAAGCTTTTTCCCAACTAACAACATACATTCTTTTTTTGCTTTTGCGAAGACCGATAATTTACATACAATATGTATACTAATAACGTAATCGTCCTCGCGGCTCTTGCTGCTTGCGCTTCCGCCCAAATCCCGAACCTCATGCCGCGCCAGACTTTCGGGAGCGACGAGCCGGAAGAGACCGAATCCTCGCCGGAATGTATTTCTCGCGTCCAGTCTTGGTCCAGCGCTTTTCCCACTCCAGCTCCGGCTTTAGAAAGCGCGATGGAAGACGCTACAGTGGAGGGCGGCATGGCTGAGTCAGGTCTGTCTGGCTTGTGCCAGTATGGCACCGCTCTTGGCAAGGACCAAGGTTCTGCGTACACTTCATACTGCCTCGATATGTACTCGTATCTATCTTCGCAATCCTCCAACCTACTCGCTCTGGCTACTACCTGCTCCGACGATATGGGTGCGCCCCGGAGGTTATCACCAGCCAGCTTGACGAACTCCTCGGCGTATACTCCCAATTCTCGGCAGGCGGCTGCAAAGCTGTCTCCGCGACGACTACGGCGGATTCCTCCAGCGGAACAGTTGTTTCTTCCTCCGACAGCTCTGCTGCTACCACCACAAGTGCTAGCGGTTCTGCGACAACTACCGCATCTACTACTAGCAGCCCTGAATCCTCAGCAGCTGTCGCGGCAAGCAGCTCGGCTGCATCGGCGATACCTACTGGTAACGCCAGCCCGAGGGAGACCGGAATGTTCGCTGCGGCTGCCCTGGCTGCCGGTTTCATCGGCGCTGCTGTGGCCCTATAAAGTTCTCGGTTACCCATACTGTAGAAATGAATATGATTGAAATTTAGCGTCTCACCCCGTAGGATTCTACTTCTCTGGACGTGTTTTGCGTTCCCGGTTTAGCGCTTTTAGTTACAGTTCACCCTCATACCCATCTGTCTACTTCATATATATAAGCGCATAGTTCCTAGCTGACAAGCCTATTAGAGGCGTGAGCTCAATAAGGCTATCGTAGAACCAATATAATAGTATATCTGAAGCGCCTAGTTGTGTTTATGCTATATGCTTGCTGTTACCTTAAATTGCCTGATGTTCATCTAGTCTATGCAGCCTTCTATTACTACCTCTCAGACACTCTTATTAAAAACAACGAGTCTTTAAACGTTAACTTCGTTATACTCAGCCCAGTCTTTCCCCCGCCAAAATTTCTGTCCACCCTTGAAAGAATGCTAATTCTCTCTTTTGCCCTAGCCTCCATTCTTGCTTCAAAGTCTGCAATACTACTCTTCGTTACTCCTTCAGCAATAGTCAACGCTAGATCCGCCGCACTTCGAACAGCAGTATCGCCACCGGATCCACCCATAGGGCTCATAGGATGTGCTGCGTCGCCGATAAGCGTAACTAGCCCGGTCTGACCAGCCGATCCTATTCCAATGTCTGGTTTGCTCGATAAAAACGGGTATGCAGGAGGATATTTCATGATTGGCTGAACTTAGCAAGAGCTTCAGAGCGGGATGCCATGTCTCAGTTACTCGATCTAGGAACTGCCTTTTCTCACCCGTTGCCTTAGGTAAAACCGTCGAATACTGAAAAGGCGCCGTACAGACGACCAGTAGGCGTAGTCGGAAAAGTCAGGTAGCCTTGCGTTTGATTCTTGCCGGACGCTTTTCGACCATATCATCGGATCGACAATAATCTGGACGTTCGATTCCTGATCCTGGTACATACACCAACTAAGCATATCTTTTGGTACACTTTTCTTGAGATCGTCCGTCAGTGGAGTTCTACCCCACATGAGCCAGCGTTCTAGATCAAGCAGCTTGCGATCGGGCTGGAGTTGTGTGCGCACGCGGCTCCGAATGCCATCTGCACCCACAAGTAACCGTCCAAGCGCTGTCGATCCGTCCACAAATCTAACTTGAACTTGATCTCCGATAACCCTGTAAGATTCGAACTCTTTTTCGTACTCTATGGCATCATTGATGTTCAGCGCAAGTAATAGACGAATCCACGTCCTGTCCACGGGCATGGAGACCGGGTCGATCAGTGTCTGCTTTGCGAACTCGAGCTTTCTGACATCTACATATCGCGGCTCGAAGGGATATCTCTCGGCCTCGGTGCGTCGAAGTAGGTCCTGAAGTTCAGGAGATAAAACGCTATCGAGAGCGGCTTGACCATCTTTTGAGATGCGAAAACGATGGCCTTGTGAGCTGCGTGACTTAGAATATCGTTCGAAGAGGCGGAATGGAATTGAACGGAGACGTAAACCTTGGGCTAGTGCGAGACCCGCAATACCGGCGCCGATGATCAGGATCGGCGGATCTGTTGTGTTATGTTGTCCCATGGTTAGGTAGATAAGGTAGGTAAGGTATGAGAAAAATTGAAGTTATGAAGACCGTATTATGCCGGGGTCCAAACAGATCAGTTTATAATTCGATGTTGTTGAACCCTTACTTTCTGTTACTCCATTACAGCAAAGTCGCTCAATTTCTCCTTTCGAATCTCATATAAACTATAAATCATCTAAAAATGAAAGTATCTACACTAGATACATGTGAATCTATTTTGTTTTATTTTTATCTACCTCTTAATAAGCACTAAATGTTGTTCTTGCTTCGATATCCATAGCCGTAACATTCCCGTTGCATGGTAATCGCTCCTCCTTTCCTGATTAGTACATACACAATATTCACCAAATCTGATGCGGAAGACTGATTCTTGGTTATTGACAGAACTATATTGATTTGGTATAGTATAGCTTAATTTATGACAAAACATAGTTTTCGGAAGTAACTTGAAGTGTAATGTATCTCCTATCATACCTTATAACTATTAGAAAACTTCGTACCCATTGATGAAAAGAGGGCAGAATGAATGCCCGCTTTTATTTTATTGAAAACTCTCGCCGAATATCACGGCCCCGGCGGTTAATGGTCGCTTCCAACTCCAACGAAGGTCTGATACCCAGAATCGGTACGCCGTCAGTATGTCCCCGGTCCATTATCCCGAACACGTAAGCTTCACCGACTAGGCGGAACGAGCCATCCAAGCTAGGTCTTAAGATGAAGGGAGTGTCGCTACCATCTAGAAAGGTCACAATATCTCCGGCCTCTGTGAGTAGAGGGCCAAGGACAAGAAATCCTTCCTCGGAAACCAATATTTTCGCCCATCATTCCGGGATTGGACCAAGTCTATAAATAATATGATATCTTCCATCATCTGTTCATATGGTTTATTTTCACCCTTATAGATATCTTTTAAACCATCATAAAAGTAATCCATAAAGAAAAAACCGGGATGATTTATATAAAATTTGTGAGTTGGTGTTGGGGGAGGTTCTCGGGACTCATCGTATGACAGACAACATGCGTCAACAATTGAACCTACAGCTAGAGCAGGCCAGAATACGGATTTTTTCAAAATAGAAGAGAAGGCATTGAATGATACCGGGACAGAAGAAGGCTCAATAAGAGCTTTATACCCGCGGAAAATTCGTTCGAAAGACCATACATCCCCTGGACTAATCAAACGACCACGATCTTCTCCACCTCCCGAGAGCGTACTTGCGAAAGCTATGTGTCTATCCTCTTTAGTCCTATAAGCACTAGCGCATTCCTCGATAACATCCTTCATGAAAACTAGCCGCACTTGTACGTCCCAGATGCGCCGTAGAAGAGGTGTACAAGAAATCCATGATGGCATTGTAATCAAAGATCTTTTGATAGTAGTAACTTCATACCCCATCGATATCAGTTTCGGACCAGACGGCGTGTATAAAAACTTGAAATCTTGATCCGGAATCGGGCCAGAAAGGAAAATCCGCAAAAACGCAAAATCATGCATGCTTGTGATTGTAATTCGTCGAAGGTTGTCAGGTGAATTGAGATTAGGCACCCAAGAAGGCAATTTAGACGGCATCGTGATGTTCCGACAATAGCCTAGAACCTTTAATCCGGCCTCGTTAATCCATTTTATGGTGGCTTCTGTGTAGACTTCTTCATAGGGCTTCGTATAATCTGGAACCAGCTCCATGGAGCCATGGTCATTTACAAGCCCTAGTAAACCAAACACGTAATCGCTTTCCATAGTCGCTTCTAGACCACCCCAATAGTAGTTCCAATGGAGCATATTTGATAATCGAATTTTAGACTCTCCTGACGGTTCTTTCTTAAAACGGTGGCTAAGCAAGGGGCAAAATTCGGGTTCAGTGATGGGAAGGTGTGCGATCATCTTGCGGGGATCATATAATTCCGATCTTCCTGGAACTGAGCTCTGATGTATGAAAACATTTTACGTCAGCTTTGCGATACTACACTTCCAGAATCTTCACCGGGGGGGGGGGGGGGGGGGGGGGGGGAGAGAGAGAGAAAGGGGTTCGATTAGGTCGAAATGATAGGGCGATCGCACTTACTGCTGAGCGTCAGCCACTGTATAGGTATCTTATCAAGATAATTTCGAAACCACTCTATAAAAGGGATGTTTTCATACATACCATATTGAAGATGGTTTGAAAAGAAGATGCCGACAAATTGGGTGCTGTCGCCAAGATATATGGCTTTTCCTACTAGCTTGAGGCCAACGTGAAGCAGTAAGGATTCAAGAGTTTGGGGACCGTAGTGAAATAAGACGTTCTTAGAAAGCGTAACTTCTTGTAGTATCCAAACCCTCTTCCAGAATGATAATGTTAATAATCTTTTTAGGTCCATTAAACTTTCATGGGCAAATTCAAAAGCGCGATTGCCATGGGCCTCTGAGTTTGGCCCATGACTATCGAAATAGATGGATTCCTCTATCCAGTTTATGAGATCTTGATCGACGTACGTCCTCGGACTACCGGAGATGGCTAAATATCGTAAAGGGATTGCGCATAGCTCCCATCCAAACCGCCTTATACCTTCATTAGCGAGCTCTTCCAGTGTATGAAGGAGCCTCGTGATTTGTAGGAGCCGTCCTTCAGGAATAGGTCCAAGCCAGGCCGAAGTTGATGTCGCTGATTTATATATTTCTCGCATCATCTGGACCTGCCACGATTTTTCATCATTGTCCTTCTGATTTATACAGACAGCGTCTACCCAAATGAGCCCATGGCATACATCCGATTCCGATCCCCTATAGTAGGCCAGAGCAAGATGTAAATTATCCGTGATTTCGACTTCAAATGATTCTGAAGAACCAATCGTGCCTAGCGGTATGTCGGGGTAATAATTGCTTATTCGAAGAATCAGCCGCCTTGACTTAGTCGAAGGACCCCATACGTACGAAAGAGCGTGGAAGTCTGGGGGTGCTTCGAGGCTGGCTTTAAGTAATTCGCACTCGGTGGGTCGTTCGAGGTCTAAGTTCTCTTTAAGCTGGCGTTCAAGATCGCTATTGGTTATTCCGATATCAACACTCTGGTGCCAGCTGTGAAGGGTACCCTCAAGCTTCAGCTTGAGAAGTCTGATCTCCTTTTTAGATCGATTAAGGGGAAGTAGTCTATAATCAAACGGGATTGCTCGTGCCGGCTCTGACGACATCGTATTCGAGTAAGAAATGTCTTGGATTTGGGCTTTTGCTAGGTAATAATCTGGAGTGTATTATTTAAGTAGTTCGAATAGGCAAAGCAGGGGAAAGGTTGCGCGTTGAAAGGAAAGAGGCTTCTCAAATCACACATGAATCCATGTCTTGTATTTATTAACGGCTGGCTGTAACTGTGTAAAGGCAGATTCAAGTACAGCCTTAATCAGGTAGTCTTGCTTGTTCAGTGCTCGCATAGCCACATTGGCACGCTGGCTGGGAATGATTGGCGATGAGTTTAGGGATTTTATTTAGGTTATTAGATTGTACTGGCCAAGTGTAATCACCTAACGTACAGTTACTAGATTTCAATAGCTTTTTATCATTGGCTTGCGATCTCGCGGGTAAGAGCCTTACCCCTGAGATTAGACTATAGAGGGACAAAGAGCTAGAAACCTGCGGTCTTCCTTTAACTTGTACGTTAAAATTACTCATTAAATAACATTCACCTGTAATAATATGAGGTACTCATATTGGGCGCTTCAGGGGACATATTCTATTTATTTAGGCGTTACTTGAACCCCTTCACTCATTGGACAACAAATTGCTGTTTGTGCGACTTATGCAAAACAGAAGTATCTAGTACTTCACCAGTGTCAGACTTGATGAAGTCGACTTGAAGGTTATTAACATCCAAAAAGCTTATCTTAGCATAGCTAAAATCATCAGCATACGCGAAAGAGTTGAACGAGACATTGCTTCCCACTGCGCTAAGACCCTCGATATTTCCCGCGCCACCCGCCACGATGTACATCGGTGCTGTAGGATCATTCATGCCCTTGGGGTCCACGGTATTATTGAAGGCGGGCTGGAAACGTTGAGAGTTGTGAACGTGGCCGAATATAGCCAAGTCAACACCGTACTTGTAGAGTAGCGGCTCAAATGCGGTTTGGCACGGCGTGCAGCCGCCACCTCCGGTAGTATACCATGGCCGATGGCCTCCGATAACGAGCCAAGGTGTTATTGTGCGGTCTACAGAGGCGAGGTCCGCCTCGAGAAACTGAAGTTGTTGGTCAGGGGCACCGAAGGGGCCGCTGTTGAGGCCCGCAGAACCCCCTTTTCCGTCTGGCGCGTCATCAAAATCCGTCTCTGTATTAAGCATGACGAAGTGGAGCATGCCATATTCGAATGAATACCAGAAAGGCGGGTTTGCCAACAGTTGTGCCTTATTGGCGTTGATCTTAGCAGCTTCAGTAGCGGAGGTTGATGGAAAAGCGGTTGCCATTGTATCCCCAAACCGGTTCATGAAGTCGGTGAAGTTCTTCTGCCCTGCAGGGCATAATCCCGTCGTATAGGGGATTTCTTGGCAGGCGGCCTCGTGATTCCCAGGGCTGGCCATGTAGGCTTTACGGCCAGATATCGGGGAGAGTTGATCGTAAAATTGTTCTAGGATAGCCTGAAAGGCTTCTTCGCCATTAAAGAGATTCTTGGGTTTTAATATCCAGTCATCAGCATATGCAAAGTCTCCAGGATGCACGATGAACTCGTAGTCATCGACAGTATTAGCCAGTTGGTTAATAGTCGTGTGATTCAATGATGGGTCAATATGCGGAATTGTATCCCGCTTGGCCTCATCCATTTGAATGGTGTATCCATCAGCGCCATAAACACCCAGATCTATTACGGCGTTCATAGCAAAAGGGGTCGTATCGCCGGCTATCCGCGGGCTAAAGAAATGTTCGACACTAGAGTTCGTCGATTCTATTTTATAATAATATGTAGTGGCGGGCGATAGTCCTGTAAGTATTACCACGTTGGCATACGTGCGTGAGCTTGCATAAGTGACTGAGTTAGTCGAGCAAGCCTGAGAAGTGAGCGTATTGCTAGATGTGCCATATTGGACACAAGGCTTGTCTATCTTCTGGTATGTGTTCCAGCCCACAGAGATGGCTAGAGGGTATAGTGTTAATTAGTAAAACACGAAGGGGCTTTCCAAGAGTAGCGCGCAGCTTATACTGTCACGGACTCACCATTAGGACCGTTGATGGCAAGACGTTGCTGGAACGGAGTTGTCAAGTCAGAAGGTATTGCCGGGAAGCTGGCTGCAGCAATAACACATGAGGCCAAGAGAGGTAACCTCTGTGAAAGCGCGAATAAGTTCACCATCATGTGAAGCTCCTGCAACAGCAACAAAGCTCAAGCAAAACTGAGACTTACACCCTGACCTGGGAATCCGACATCCTGAAGGTATTAAAAGTATTTATAATGCGCTCGCTCTATATGGTTGACCGTTATGGAGCCACCTGCAGTGTCAGCTGCATCTTGAAATAGCGCTGTAGAAGGGGTTGCGTCTGCAACCCGTGGGGCAGACGATTGGTCGAGAACACTGCTCAGCTGCTCGGATATGGACACCATCGTGGCTCCGGGAACAAGGTAGATGCTGTCTCCGGCATGAAAATGCCGGGGTAATTACCTGTATAAGAAGGCCCTTCTCTTCGTAGAACAGGTATACTATGAATTATATTGGCCGTAGATCTTTGTGGTTTGCATTAGGTTCTAATTGATGGATCACAAAGGTCCAGGATTGAGGATCATTGTGAGGAATTAAATGCGACGCTAGAGAAATTACGTCTCACTTAAGAATCTAGAGTAAGAATCCAATCGAGAATTGAAACAATTGGTACTAGTCATTTTATTCTTACCCTAACATCACTTAGGCGTGTAAGTATACTTCGAACTTGAATTCATTTGCTACTTGAGGTAAGACTCAAGATTAATTAAGAAACACAAGACTGAGCACGAATGATGTCGAATAACTTTAAGGAAATACGGATCAACTGCCAAGCTTTACTCTATGACAAGAGGGGTTTTGAATTGAACGGAAAGGTCAAAGTTAATGTATCGATATCCTCGAATTCTAACTTAGCTATGAGAGGAGATGTAATATATACGAGCTGAAAAGTAGGCAATTGGTTAATCTTCATGATCTGTACTATGCCGATGTAAGGGTGTGGCGTAGCATAGGAAATGCAGATTACTGGGGAATGAGATCTGATATGCGCCAATGATTATTGCATATATTACGATCTCGTTATGCTCTCAGATATTTTAAATGGTAGTGAGTTATGATTTCACTAATCCCACGGGCCTACCCAAGTACAATCTTACCTAGAAACCTGCCTACTCAGCTTACGTAGTCAAGAGTGTATCTTAGGTATTCTTCATTGTGACTGAGGATGTCGTCTTAGAAAATGAATGCCTAGATTGAAGCTCAAAAGAAGAAATTCCATCCCTTTGCCGATAGTGAAGTAGAAGCTTGGTGACAGCTCTATCAATGAGTTTACCGATCAGAATGACAAGCTTGCTGACTTCGCCGTCGAGCCACGACGCCTATCTGCTGGAAAGGGGATTCTAGGTCTAGATCCATGATCCACCGACCTACCCCTATTCAATAATTACCGGACCGAGTGGGTTCAATTTCAGCGTAAGCACACCGAATCTACCCTCATGTCAGCTGCTTTTAACAAGCCTGCCGGCACCCGACGGTCTCTTCTTTAGATCTTGACGAGACCAGTCCTAATTGTCAAGCGAATCGTTAAGCTCATATCGACTAAAACTTTCCTTGCTAGGATAACGACGAGTGTAGCTAAAGATGATGCGATGAAAAAATTCTTGCATTGGACTAACGAAAATGTGGCGGTCAGGCTCTTGTCAGATAGCCACTGGAGCAAACGCCCTGGGCTGAGAAACTATCCACCTATGATCCTGATCCGATTTGATGCAGCTCTCGATGCCTGTGTGCCCGCTGCCGCACCATGGCTCGTCTACCGCGCAGATGGCATGTACCAAAAAGCGTTATTGGGCGGAAGTAGAGCCTGAGAGCACTCGTATACCGGTACTAATTAAAGCATCAATAAACGACAGAGTAAAGAGCGGTGGAATTTCTGGTGGAAAGCGTCAGAATTGAGAGGAAATAGGCGAGTGGTAGAGGGCTGTGTGCCGCGAGCGGTCGAAATGAAATAAAGAAATAGTTCATATAGGGTATTATGGTTACTATCATATAGTGCAGCGGATTTCAACATATCCATATCGGTTCCATGTTAACGATAGGTACCTCCTATTTGCAACTATTTAAACAATCAAAGCAAAACGTCAAGTTGCCCCTAGACACACAACAAACCCACATATGCTAATACCACAACTAAACATAGACATAGCAGAAAGCACCATCGTATCCGCCGAGTTGGTCATGCGTCTCTCCAAGCTTAATCGGGGGCCCAAGCCACTCCATATCAACCATAGTCTCCATGGGGTCCATAGGGTCGTCCGCTCGTCGGTTCTTGTGCATCGGCATGGACATGTTGCCAGATGGGACAGCGTTGAGGCGATTCTCCGGGTCCTGCATCTGCCAGATCCACCATAGACGGTCGAGTGCGGTGTGGTGGAAGTAGAAGAGCGGGTCGCCGGGCGAGGTGAATGGATCACCACCCGGGTCTACAGCAGCGATGTAATGACCAGCCGTGTGAATCTATTCTCAAAAGTTAGTTCTGACCTTTTACTGGTCTAATAGTGGAAAACTTAACCCCAGGGATAGGGGTCGTTCTTCGGTGGTGGGGTTCCTAGAAGCTCGTTGTAGAAGCCATCCATTTCCTTGTTTTCGTTGATCAGATGGAAAGCACGGTCGGCTTTGGCCCCCATGGCCGCATTGCGGTTGACATCGCGGCGCAGGCAGCGCGGGTTCGAGCCGGTGCCGTCGGGTCTTGGATTCTTGGCGATACCGGTCGCCGTTGACATTGAGGTAGGGCCAAGGCTGACGACCATGCTGTTGTCATGTTAGTAATCTACGTGTTATGGATGAGAATATGATAGGATAGGACTGTTAAGAAAGTAAATGGGAACGAACTCCGAGAAAGGTCCTTCAGTGACACAGCCTCCACCACCTCCCGACTTGATGTTGGGAGTACGTCCGGGCTGCGAAACACCCTTGTAGGTAGGCTCTAGAACACCGTTGCCTCCTAAACTGGATGCATTACCATTGAGGAGGGGGGAGTTGAGAGGATCTTCCGAATAGCGGTCGTAGTTCATGTACTAGTATAATCAGCAACGATGCTTCAACAACTTGAAGTATCGGGGTTGGCTTACAGGCTGGTAACCGGTATAGTTACATTCCTCGCGAAGCGCTTTCTCAAAGAGCCAGACATAGTACTTGTGTGCGCCAAACAGGTGTAGGTTATCGTGAAGCTGCATGGCGTGTGTCATATGATACGCGACAAAATCATCGTATCGACTTAAGGCTCCAGGGAACCTCTCCTTGTCCACTGTAGGAGGTAACTTCATCAAGCACATGACGGCGGCGACATATTCCTGTCTTGATTCCTCGGAAAGGTCACTCCTGTTTATCACATTAGTATTACAACCGGGTTTCGCGGGCGTTAAGAATAGAAGACAGACCATTCCCTCCGTACGATCGCATTTTCTAGCGTACAGTTGTTGTTCGTCTCCGTAGCGACCTTCTTAGCTAGCCATGCTTCAACCTTGGGCATGGTAGCCTCTTCTAACTTATCGACGGCATCAAGCGGGTAGTTAGGGTTACGAATACTAGACGAATACCATTAGTTAGCTTGATTAATATGAGAGACTAGTGAATAGGATTGGAACTTACACTTCTATCTTCGATGAATATTCACTGCGAGGCACCTTTACTGCTGCTCCTTGAACCCCACCGAGGAGCGAGGGCAGCAGGAGAGTGCTCCAGATAGTCCGCATGTTAACACGGCGACCTATTCCAAGATAGAGTTGGATATCAGAAACCAACTGCAATAAACCTGGAACTGGGACCCTTCTCAAGCGTTATATATAGCCCACATTTCCCCCGGCGGCTCAATCAAAGAACCTGGGGATGAACCTTGCACCTCCGCACGGCACTTGCAGCAAAGCTGTAATGAGGCAAATTTCATTTACTCGACCAATGATAAATATACTCAATATATTTAGGCTTTGATGAATGTTCGGCAGAGGACGTGGCGATTATTTATTGCAGACTGAAGAGCATTCGCGAAGGCAGTTGACAGAGCTCCCCTATACCCAAGTACAACGTAGGATATTCAGCCCGCATAACTTTATCCGCTGGGTAAGGGGTTTTCTGCAATACCATACCACGTAAAAGTGTCATTCATAAAATATGGTAGTAATGTCTAGTAATGTTATTATGAAGGTAGTAACTAGTTAATAAGTTCCTTTTGGTTTTCTTACAATATACGCATTTGGTAGTATCATATGAACTTAGACTACCCAGATAACTATTGCCAATATATTGCTATATCTCTCTCACCACTTGCTAATGTACTTAAAACATAACAAGCATACAATTAGGGGGGCGACCCAATGTAGCAAGCTACACATACAAAGAGTTATTCCAAAATTCAAAGTTCCCATGTTCTAAGAACAGTCCACAGAGTACGAGTGTCCTCGGAAAGGGGTTGCGTAGCAGTTGCCAGGATTGTTACCACTATTGCTATAGTTAGCCTAGAACAGCACGAAGCGTAGAGAATTTGACATACCGTGAGATGGTATATGGCGCACGTGGATTTCCGCAGTCAAGCTCGCTGAAAATCTTAATCTCGCAGGCGTTACTTGAAAGCTCGATCGATCCGATACCGAGTGTTCCGGTTATATCGTCCGTGTTTCGACATGTAACGCTGCTTGCACATACTTCAATTTCATCCCCGGAAAAGTTAAAGCACGCGGTACCAGTGTATATGGTTCCTATGGCACCGCTGCATCGTTGTCGGGGCACGAGGCTAATGCCATCGGACTGGACAGGACTGGCGATGGCTCCTGCAGCGAGGAAAAGCGAGGTGGCGAGGATTTTGAAAGAAGACATGGTGATGCTGTTGTTGAGACGGAAGTATAAAGAGGATGAAATGACTGTGGCTTGGTGATAGTAGCTTGAGAAGAGATTTGGAGGTGCTTCTTCTCTATTTAAACTCCCCTCCTCATCCTCATGGCAATTTAAATCGGTGTAGGTAAACTACACAAGAGGAATTTCGGGAGGATGCCGTGACAACTACCACCTGCCATTTTTCTTTTGCGTCTTGTTCGGTGAATATGCAACTTCTAAAGCGAGAATCTTGTGGGCCGAGTACGACTAGGTAGAGTAAACAGGGTAGATTAAAAGTCATAGTTATCAGATCTTGGCACCCCTAGCAAATACAGGGGGAGATCTATATAGGCTACCCCATGTGGAGTGTAGCTCTTTCGAAAGAAGTAGTTAACTAAGAGATATCTAAATAGTATGCATACTAGGAAACTGAGAGCTATAGCTACATAAACGATATTACGCAGACACATGAAATAGATTTCAATGACAAGGAATTAACTTGGTTTTGGGTTGTAACTATTACACCGACTGAGATATGTATACCATAAGACGGTAGACTGTGTCTTAAACTTAGACCGGCAAGCAAGATAAATGTCATTAAACCCCCCTACTTCTTTTATTCCAGTTCCAAAATCTTTTTCTTGAAGGAAGAATCTAAAATAGCAAGTAATTGGATACCTTTACGGTTGCATGAAGAACTCCAATATTTTAATCTGCACACGATTATTAATCTAGGTTCTTGATTATTAACCCTGGTTGACAGCAGTTGATAATCTCTGACATATCGCCCACCGAAGTTGGTACAATGTGGAAACTAGAAGGTGTACCGCGAAGAAAAACGAACGGTTCTGACATTGTCTCGGCATGTCCTGATAGATCTTGATCGAGAAGCTTGAATTGAATAACCCCGTATATATGATCGAATGTAAATGTGGGGGATCGTCTTCAGGGAAGTGAAACTAGGGTTAGTTAAACCAACCTTCTTATTTTGAGAATTCCGAGATTTGAAGTCGGACCGGGCTTGAAGTCCATATTTTGCTACCACAATGGCTTAGATTTGTAGATACAAGAAGGAATTGGCTGATGTGTGTTTAGACGAGGATAAATCCTTTAGTTTAGAAAAATTCAGATCTATTCAACTCAATCGTTAAGGAATATTTTCTAGTAACACTCCTAGGTACCCCTTAATGTTAACCCTATTTCTCCGATCATGGGGAAGAAGCACGTTGGTGGCGCAATAATATACAAACAGATTTATCCAATTCCGGTCCTCATACAAAAGCACTATTCAAGAGTGGCGGAGTAGTTTCATCAACATATTCATGCTCTTCTCTCTCAAACAAGTTCATATCTCGTGCCGCCGAAAATAGGGGCCATGCATCCCGGCATCTCCTTTTCGATTGCAACTTTGAATCTCCAACCCGTGCAATGGCCAGGCATCAAAACCTTTGGCTCAAGAGCTTTTAGGTCCTCGAGCGACTTCTGTAGCTTTTCCGGGCTGCCGTCAGCTAGGTGGTAGCCACCTACGACGGTGTACAGAGGGACGCCGCCTCCAAGCTCGATCGCATGACGCGAGACATTGACTACGCCAGCGTGGCTGCATCCAGTGAATACGACTAGACCTCGGCCCTTCAAATTACACATGACCAATCGTTCGTCCATGATAAGCTCGTCTTTCTCCCATTGGCCTGCTGAATTGAGGCGGATGCCGTTGGGAATGCCACCTTCGTAGGAGGTAAGTCTTGGAATAGACCCAGAGATCAAAAATGTGTCGTCTAGCGCCGTATGTACCTCATCGCTCTTAAACACAGTGGCGCCCGCCTCTTCGATCTCGGTGAAGCTTGGATCAGGCTCGAGAGAGATTGGCTCGTGGGCCATGACACCTCGGAATTCGGGTCGATCGGGGTGTAGATCCACTACGACTTTTTCAGTATGATCCAAGCCTGTCTTGGCTGCTTCGATCATCCGGACTGCAGTGGCCATCCCGCCTGAGTGATCGCGATGCCAATGCGACAGCACGATTCGTTCGATTGTGCTTGGATCTAAGCCTAGTCTTGTCATATTGCTCTCCCACACGGCCTCCTCTGGCCCGGTGTCGAATAGCAGACTATGGGACTTGCCGTCCTTGGTCACTGTTATTAAAAGTGACAGTCCGTGAGCGCCGCAGCAGAGGGTATCCATTCTCATTTGCAGCTTGGCGCCGCCTCGCTGCACGTCCGTCGGGAGAGGCCGTAATGGAGCTCCTAGGAACGATTGGGGGTGTTTGACGGCAGGGTGCGGCGACGGAGAAATCTGATCAATCTCATCATTGATTATTGCCTGGATCGTCAAGCTATCTACCTCAGCGAGCTTCGGGATCGTGGATGTAGACATATTGAGAGAAGTGATTCTCTTTTTATTTTCGGTTATTTATATAAGTTAATGAGCTAAGTAGGTGGCGACTTAGTATGCTTTGTATTGTTATTGAAAACTTCCATGACTGTCGAGAAGCAGGTTATTATATATATATTCGAGATTATGGCCAATACAGGCTTATTTGTGTGTAAATCGTGGGGCATGATGTTCGCCGATTAGCCAAGGGATTGTAAGAGTCGTAAGGATTGAAGACCTAGAGAAACCGCTTATTAACATAGAAGTTAAGCACATATAAGCCGTATAATTAATCTCGACCTCATATAGGAAACGCCGTTAGAATCGGCTGGCGTCAGACACTCTAGAGTTACCGACGTAGGATGTAGTCGCCGTCTACATATATATGGGTACAGCGGGTCTACGCCCCGCGAATGGTTTTAATCCCCCGGCGTATATTCCGCAGTAACTAGAGTTTCACTATACTATGATTTAATTCCATATATGTTTACGTAGTATCTGATTTAAAGGGGAGATGGGTTTTTATTTCTATGAAGGCTTATTATCTGCTCGTCTTTTACCAACATATCGGATCCCGAGCAAGACTACTTTAAGCTAGGCTAGAGGTTTAAGCTAAGGTGGAGGCCTACGATGAGAGGACGACCTGCTCTCCATCGTTAGGAAACGAGGTATTCGTTGTTTCATTAACTATTCCCAACGACAAAACATAGCCGTACTTCCAGCTATCCGCTCCGGGGACAACTTGAGGGCTCTGAATATCACTACGCGACTCCCTAACTTCAGTAGTATTTAGACCAAAGAGCTCATCTCGCTTGGTAACGAAGTCAGGGGTAATTTGGTTATCTCCAGTATAACCCATCACAAGCTCAGGGATACCGATAGGGTAAGTAGAATTCTGCTGGTCATATCTCCAGGTGTGGAATGTTTTGCCATAAGTTCCAACCACTGCAAGATCAATAGTTAGCGGTTAGGAGACGAGGTATATATCAGATAAGCGGTAAAGCTTGGAAATGGAGAAAAAGGAGAGCCCGAGCCCGGGGAGCACATACAGACATCCTTCATAATGTGTGTGATCCACAGATGCTGGTAATCCTGGTTGGGTCAAAAAACCACTAGTTACTTCATAGACGTGACTGTGCCATAGTTGACGTTCTTAGAGGACATTAGTTATCTTTTGATCTCTTATTTGATTAATCTAGTCCCCTCACCTTCGTAGTCCAACGTCTCGAAAGCAGCGGAACTAATGATGTATTCGATACCTGCTAGGCGTGCAGGTGCCGTCGCAGTATTGTAGACAGCGCATTGCAACATATCGTCGCGAATAATCACACAATAGTGGTTGGCGGAAATTTCCCAGTCACTGTGTCCTGAGACGAAGTGGAAGCCGTTCAGGAATAGCACGGTGCCTTCAGGGCCGTAATGGCCGAAAGGTAGGGAAGCTGACATACCCAGGGGCAAAAGGGCCAGCACTGTAGAGAGCACAGGGAGAAGCTGTTGGTAATGCATGGCTGTAATTGAAGATTTAGAATAACTGAAGAATCTTGAAATTGGTGTACTCTGATGATTCGAGCATGATTGATATTGAGAAACCGCAGCAAGAGTCGTCCTTATATACTAAACCACTGGATAATTACCGCATCATCGTGAATATTAACAACTAAAGGCATTCCACTCCTCGCCGGGAATAATGAGGAGAAAGCGCCCTTGGCATCGTCTCCTCAAGTATGTTGACATCGCCGAGCGGAGATCAGAGATTCTCCATGAACTCATCACTGGCTTCTCATATCGCCGCGTTCCATTATCTCTTCATCCTTGTTTACTCCCTCATTTTTCATCTAGACCTTGCTCACGAGCGCAAGACTACTGAGAAAAATGCAACCTCATCATCTCTGAAAACAGGCCATGATAGTCCCGCAACGATAGCATGAAGTAAGACTATCATGAGCGACGACAAGCATCGAATTGATACCCCACAGCAATTGCGTGTAATTTGTCCAAGCAGTAGGTTTCCGTCTGGTGATAAGGTCGCCGATTACATTTGCATGTAATGGGTCCAGTTAGATCCCAAGCTTTCAGCGTCGAATGCACATCGCCGTTTAATCCTTGCTCTCACACCAATAATGAGCAAACGTCAAAATTGAAGGCCGACATCCTTATGGATCCTGCAGATGACTTAAGAATGGTCCCACACATGAGCAAGTTTGTAAGTAAGTGCCCGAATACTCTCCGTAAAGTCTTCGTAAGATTCCCATGTCCCCTGTCCCGTCCCGCGACAGCGCGTGCTCTACGCAGAGACTCTTGCCGGGAGGACAGGGGAGGCTTTGCGTTACGTTATCTCAAGTACATTGTCACTCGTCGAAAAGTAGCGGGAAAAGCCGAGGAAAAACGCTGCGAAACTCGGGCGAATTCGTGTAAGGGAGTAGTGTCTTAAAAGTTCAAAAAGAGGTAGATATCAACTTAAAGACGGAATGGGAAGATGAGCATACATATAGTATGCCACAAAGGTTGATGGTATCGAGCACGCCATTGCCCCTGTCATTCTCTTCGATGAGAAATTTCCTATTTTGGTCTTGGGGAATCCGGCAATGCGAGCGGATATCGGGATAGACGCCGATGTATGTGAGATGTATGTAAGATCCGCTTCCATTGAAACGCTGCGGGATCTTCGCATTACATACCCAGTACGAAATTAACAACTACACGTACGTAATAACTTATACTGTCACTTGAACCTTTGAATATGAAACTGTAGCTTGAGAGTAGAACATTGTTTAGTTAATACTTTTTTATCAAAGTTAGATCTCGACTTAAACACACTATTAGCCTATTCGCGATCTAAAGCTGTCCACCCCACGATAGATCAAGGAAAACTTCATTAATTCATTCATAAGCATGAGATATCCTTAGCCCTAGTTTGTAGAAGAACCCAGCATGTGGAAGTACGAAGCTAGCTCCGCCATGGGCCTAATTCCCGAATCAGATCTCTTGTGCGAGGTGAGAGGTAGAACAGAACTGTTTCTGGATATACTTGGCGAACGCCAGCCACTCGCAATCTTTATTGCAATCAACTTTGCAAGCCATACACAGAGCCCAAATGTCATCCTGTGAGCCAGCAGCATTTAGCTGGTCGATAGACAATCGTGTTGAGTTTACCACTATAAGAGAAGTCAACAGCTTCTGCAATTCTCTGGGATTGTTAGCCCGTTGCGACAACTGGTGGACGCCTGAGATCCACTCAGTGGCATCTGAGTCATCGTTGTCTGCGCTGACAATTGGGAGTCTAGAGTCTGTACGGCCATTGACATGGTCAGGCTTCCACACAGACTCCCGCTGTCGCTGGCGTTTCAAGCACGCAGCTAGCAGTTCTGGACAGAGCGTGGGCTGAGCTCTGGTCTTCTGCTGTGTACCATGGTCGCTCACTAGCCAGCGCAAGTGAAAGAGGCCATCCAATCGCGCATCCGTTGGCTCATCCCCGTAGATGCTACGCAGGGTATCAGCCATAGCCGGGTGAATTGGGATTCTATAACCCAAGCTACGTTCCCAATATCGATGTACTAGCTGGACGCCGAGAAAAGTGCCAGAGGCGTGTAGTAGGGGTTCTGGACAACCAGTGTTGACTAAATCATCCATCATGTCAAGGTATACTGAATGATATCCAATCTTTCGCCTTCTCTCAAGAGTCGGTTGCATATTCTGCTCCCCAAAACTGATAGTCGGCTGATGATTATCCACTTGGTAAATTCGCGCGGCTGATTTGGCCAGGTCCATGGAAATACAAGAATTGGAAGAGCTGCCCAAAACCCAATTTTCTTCTAGTAAGCCCAAGCCTGCTATCCGGGAGATTATGATCATACAGGCGTATGTGCCTGCACTGTGCGTTCGGAGCACGATGCTATCCCATATACCCTCGGCATGCTGGCTCATCTGAGCGTGAATACCAGTGTCGCTATTAGCGGTACCCTCAAACTCGACCTTTTCGGCATACTGGAAAATGAGTTGGCGGATGAAACCAAGTAGCACATGGGTTGCATCCCGGCCCCAATTGTCGTTCACCATTGCCTGTACGAGGTTACGAAGGGAACGGCCATATAACCGGAATTTCTCGTGTACAACATCCAGCGGAGGTATGCAGAAATCATCTGGAGAGGTAATCATGGCCGTAAGCCACATGTCGAGAGGTGAAGTCTTGAGATCAATACCGGTCCAAATGGCCATCCATTGGATAATATCTCGGCAAAGGCCTTGGGCCGTTTGCTTGGCTGAGCTATCTTGCTTCTTTGTCCAATCCGTATAGTCACAAAATAAGAAGCTGCCTTTCTCGCGGGCTTGGTCGATTCGATGTAAAACAGCTTCAAGAGGAGGCCAAAAGTTAACTTGATGCTCCTGTGAAAACCCCGACTCATAACCCTCGCCGCCCATGAGAGTAAAATAATTAGCTGTGTGTTTATTATAGCGATGGTTTGGGACCAATGTTGGCTCCTCAGGAGCCCGGGACTTTGGCATCTTATAATGAAGAAATTTGCACTCGATGCTGCGGGAACACGAGCCGCCACACCACAAAGAATGCGCCGTGTGGATCAACTCAACATATGTCTGTTTTAGCTAATTCTTCGAGAGCATCCAGCGCTGAGCCTGTGTAGGCGAGCGTGTTAGGGGAGATTGGGACCATGCCTGGTCGAGTTTCGACCATGATCCAAGTAGGTAATTACGGATTATCGGTACATGCGAAGTCGATAGGTATTAAATGTGATGCTCAAGGCGTAGTATGTCTGTCTATGTTGCGCTCTTCACCAATGCTATACGGACGCGGGTGAGAAGTGGAAGTGCAACTCTGCTGGGACTGGACTACTATTATAGCCAGGAGCTCCTCATCCTAGGCGCCTTGGTGTTCTAAGGATTTAATAAACATCGCGTAATGGCAACTTTTTGCGAGTTTTGTTTCCACGTAGCCGAGAATCGGATCGACCGAGAACTGTTTAGCAAGGCTGGTTGTAAGCGATTAGTGACACATTATCTCATACGAGTAATAATTTGTAAACGTGGCTTTAGATATTAATCCCGTTTCCTCTATTTGTTATTGAGGTGTGGCCTGCCCGAGCAGAACTATCCTCCCTGTCTGTTGACTGTCTATCTGTACATCTCAAAATCATAAAACGTAGCAGGTCATTAAAGTCTTAATATCATGCCCTATCCATCGTAAACCAATAGCCAATGCCTTTTTTCTCTGAAGCATAATTCGGCTCCGTCTCCAAGTCGGAGAGATACGCCAGACCGTCGGAATCATTATTAATGTAGATGGCGTTAGTGTTTGCCGTGATCTCATCTCGTAATGCGGGCCAATCCGCTTCTGTTTCATCAATGTTGTACATTTCCCTCCCATACGTAGGAAACTCGTAAAATAAAATAAGAGAAGTGAACGGGGTGACCACTATTCCATGATCATCTTTCTTAATGCCCATCGTAAGTCAACCCGGTTCCGATTACCGGTGTTGCTCCAAGGACCACACTTTCGGCGCCATCGTGACTCCTCTTCGTGTTGGCGCCTAATAAATTCCGGGCCGACATCGAATTCTTCGCCTACTAGCCAGTCATCCCTAAGGTCGCTTCCCCGACCATGACCAACGGAGTCCTTATCCTTGTCATCAAGGTCAGGAATGTCTTTGAAAGGATCGTCGTCATCCATTGCATTAAAACCTTCCATGGGGTCATTAGACATAGAAGGGGTTACGTCTGCTTTCAGCCAGCACATATTCTGCGGATCGAAAACCATGTCACCAACCCGCTTAACACCTTTAGTGGCAGTCATATTAGTAATGAGTACTGGCCTCGAAGTAGAACCCTCCCTATCACGCGTTACGTGAGGGGGGATAGATGTTGTGGGGGACGGGACTGGGACATCGAATGCACTAAGAGCATTATCATTTCCCTCCCAACGGAACGTTGTTGGATTGTATGTCATGCCATTGACAACTGATATCTGTGAGTTAGCGTTGCTTTTTTGAGAGTGTTCAGATTTCTGCGGGGTAAGGGACGTTTGGGGTCTCTGAGACTTCACAGATACTTGGGGTTTCCAAGGTGTTGGGATGATCTTAGCTGGTGATGCCTCCTGACATATTCTGACCTTGTGAGCTTGCGCCTTGACAAGCCCTTGATTCTTAAGAGATACTGTGGGCTTTTTAGGTGTAGGGGACTTCCCAGCCACTGGTGATCTTTTAGATGCATTGGAATCCCGGAGTTTTTGGAGCCTCTCGGGGGATTGGGGGATGCGAGATATTGGACGCTTTTGCATCTCTAGTTTCTGCAGCTTTGGGGGACGCTTAGGGATTTGGGGGATTTGGGACGTTTTATGTATTCGAGCTATCTGATGCTGCTCATGTGTCTTGGGTTGTTGTGAATTATGGGGTGTTGTAGGCCTACCTTTGGTTTCCTTTGCGGAGCTCAGGTTGGAAATCAAGTGCGGCTTGAGCTGAGGGGTCTTTTGAGATCTCTTAGCCCTGGGTGTATTATAACTATGTAGCCCAAAATTTCCCCTAGCAGATAGCTGCGCAACCCTCGGATTAGTGACGGGAGCAAGTGGTCCCGAGGCGGGTGCTCGCTGTGCTAAGATCGTCTCTCTGGCAATACGACTGGCAGCTGTATCTCGGGCAAAGTGCGGTAAAGAGTCGAGTCTCGCTGGCGAGAAAGGAGATACAGGACTTGGCGTAGTTCGCTCTGGCAAAACGTTCTGGTAAATCTTATTTCGGATATTCGTTCTATTTCCGCATGCAACTGGCTGCTTAACAAACTTAGATTCGGCCTGCGCTGATGTCGGAAGGTCATCAAATGAGTCAAGTTCATGACCATCACCAAAGCGGCGTACTCGTCGTGGCTTGCTGACCTGCTGCCATATAGGCTCGGCTGACATCTTCTCATTACGCGCCCTTCTTGGGCTTGGTGATCTCGCCCCGGTCCGAGAGAAGGCGCGAGATAAGGGTCGAAGTTCTGGGCCATGATCGGAATCGTGACGTCGAAACGGTCGTGTACCCTGCGTACTCTTGGCACTTACATGCTGCGACTGTGATTGAGATGCACCGGCGGGTAAGAAGGGATTTCTTCTTGCCTGTGCTGCGCTACTTTCATAAACGGGGCGAGCTCGATCAACTGGAGTCTTCGGTCGTAGGATAGACTGGGGTCTGCTAGACTCGACGCGTGAATCGGTGCGCGAGGGTGGTCGATCAAACCGCGAAGATGCAGGCTTCGCTGGTGCAGCAGCATGACGCAAAGCTGGTAGAGAGCGCTTTAGTCTAAGGAGTTGTGCGCTTGTCGTAGTAGGTTCGTTACGCAAGGCTCCAATAGAAGCCTTTTGGCTCAGGTCTCTTCTTCGTGGTGTAGAAAATTGGGCTGACTGTGCCGAGGAGGGTGTAGTAGGCGTGTGGATGCTTGAGATGGAAGATTGTGAGGAATGACCAATGCGTGATTGAGATCTTCGAGAAGGTCGTGGGAGTATAGGGCCACCGCTTTCGGATACAGGCTCAAGCGAAGGCTGAGTCAGTGCACGTTCATGGTTACCCATAGGTCGGGGCAGACGAGAGACAGGCGTCGATGTAACCGGTTTATTGGTGAAGGTTACAGAGATCGATGTCTTCGGTCGTGTAGGACTAACCAGTCGAGTTTCTTTGACCTTGACATTGCGATGTAACGTGGACTTATCAGGGCGGAGTACATCCCCATCACCAAAGTCAAGACCATCCAAGGGGTCCTCATTGTCTGCTGTAGGTTTAACTGCATTATTAGGTAACGAAACTCGCTTTCCCAACACAGAGTGCCCAGGCCGTCCATCTGGGGATTGATCTTGCTTGCGTCGTTTCAGTCGTTCGCTTAAGTCCAAAGGACCATTCGGGAGAAGTAGACCATCGAAAATTTCGTCCTCACTTTCAGCTGTGATAGAACTAGCGAGACTTGGACTGAGGGCTGATACTGACGAACTGCGGGTTGAAAAGGCATCTCGCTTTGTACCGCCAAATCGAGTTCCTAGGCTACCCTCTCCCCAGTCGAAGTCATCGCTCGTATTCAATGCCGGCGTCTTAGGGATGTCCATCTTTCTAGAAAGTTTCAACAATCCATCTGATGGCAACTCTAGATCTCCTTCAATATCCTCATCACCTCGCTTTTTCTGAGGTGAAGGCGTAGGAGGGGTTATTAATGATATAGGTCTAGATTCAGGACGAAGCTTTGGGGCTTTGATAGTTGCGGCTCCGTCGCCGAAGACATCATCGTCATCATCGTCATCTCGAAATTTGTCCAAGTTGATAGGTGTTGCTAAGGTCTTTGGCGAGATTTGCCCATGTGGCTCCCGGGCAGTAATCGGAGCTTGCTGTTTCGTGGGGCTCGACATGCTTATTTGTCTTAGGGACTCGGGGTACGTTTTGCCGTCCTGGGGCTTTAAACGAAGCGGACCAGTAATAGGAAACTCTAAATCGTCACCATAATCTTCTTGGAAAATCTTCTTCATTTTTCTTCCTCCTAGTCGCTTTATGGTACCCCCCATCAAAGCAGACGGCGGCACATTCGTAGGTATCGGAATTCCCGCATGAGCAGCAGCAGCAATCGCATCCATAGTCGACTTCTCGTCATTGCCGGGTAAATGCAACTGTCTTTCGTCGTTTCCAGGTAGAGACTCTCGATCGGATCGGAAGGAAGAGAGGCTATCACGGTGGTGAGATTGCGTATTTGTAGTGGAATTACTTCGGAAAGTGAGATCCTCATTATCAATAACGAAATCATTATCATCATCCCAATCCTCAATCCAGCTCTTTCTTTCGCGAGTCTGCGGCTCCGCATTTCGTTCATCCTCGGCTTTCTCGAGCGCGTGGAGTCTATCTAGAAGATCCATCTTCTCCCAATCCGGAGGATACGCCATCGTCAACAGTCTGGTAGGTTAGGTGAATTTATGATGCACGTCCAAAAGTAATATGATAGTCGGGGTGGCTAGGTTTAGAGTGGCCACAAATAGAGGCCAATGTCCGAAAACAATGCTCTTAGTTAGTGGTAGTCTGCGGCTAGTCGCATCATTTCGATGTTCTTGTTGATCGATTGTTACGTATTCCGAAATTGTGTGTAGAATAGGAGCGCCAACTAAATGAATTTGGAATTTCCGCGACTGCAACGCCAAGCGCGAAAAGTTGAATGTAAATAAGTGAGACCAATTGAATTGGTATGAGCGTAACAATACGAGGTGAAAGTAAAATCAAGGGAAGGGAGGTTGGGGGAAGTTGTCGCAAGTTTAGTGCAGGTGTATCAAGTTTACGTTAAGGTTTGTCAGTTAGGTTAACTGCTAGTTACCTTAACAACTGCACAGTTAAAAGTTTGCCCATGAAGGTGCAGAATTAAAAAAGGTAAATTGAATGTTGCCCGATCTGCAAATCTTCTTATGACGAAATATAGATACAAGAAAGTTTGGGTAAGAGACTGAAGGTATCTAAAGTATCGAGATAGGCGCGAGAAAGATTGACTTGGTTGAATTCTCATACAAAAACAAGGTGTGGATGCAGGTGTGGATTCACATTCGTTGGAAGAGAGATGAGAGAAAGTGGATGAGGTGTTGAAATGGGGAAAGGTCAATGCGCCCAAATCAAGCCTGGAAAATCTTGAATGGCTGGCTCGTGCCTCTATTATGTAGATTCCTCTCTGGCTGTTCAGGTACAATTCAGGTACCTCTTAGATTTTTGGTGGCTAGGGTCAATGCACAGACCATATTTAGGGCTACAGGGTATCAATAACTCATTTAGCCAATCAGAGTTCTTCTCTTTTAGCGCGACAGTGACGCGCCTTCTGTAAAAACGCGATTTCGACCCCTCATAAGGGTACTTACCTGTATTTTGGGCACCCCTCTAAAAGACATGCGCAATGCGCCTAAATGATCACTAAAAGAGGATTCAAAATCCAGTAAAAACACCAGGGATAAAATATAGGTGCGTTTATTTTTCTTGTGATCCTTACTATGTGTCGTTCAATTTTGGTGTAATGTAATGCAAAATACTCAGCCATGTATAGGTCTCTGGGATGAGAGATAGTAGCGCGGCGCTAAGTGGAAATGTTTAACTAAATATGGCTAGCAGGTAGCCTCACATATAAATATATACGTAAGGTACAAAACTTTAATAAAAAGATCAACTTTTTATACTTAATTTTTTATCTAAACCCATATATTGATATTCAGGAGCAGCCTTTCAGTTCGAAAAAGTATTGATATTCAGTACTATTATATACAAATTTATACGTAAAGCTACCTGCTAGCCATATTAAGTTAAACACCTCCACTTAGCGCCGCGCTACTATCTCTCATCCCAGAGACCTGTACTGAGCACAAAGATACTAGGAGGTACCTACAAGTGTCTATTCTTCCCCACCCCCTCAGTGGCACCAATGTCAACTTTTGTACTTCGTACCCATGTAATACAATTTCATCACAGCTTCAAATGTCGTAGGCAGCCAGGCAACTGCCTAATCACTGGGCCACTTTAACTAATTCACTTACTCTTAAGCCACATATCAAACAAATTAAACGTTCTTTATAATTCACAAGGCAAGGTTTTCGTCTTCATAAGAACACCTGCTTTAAGAACCTATCATTTATGCTTGCCTTAATTGCATTATCTTTTCTTTACGGTACGTATATAGTGAGATGATAATATCTCTACCTCTGATTAATACGAACAAGGGATTTAGATATACCCATTTATACTACATTAGGGGTGCACCGGTGCTCTTTCATTAAACCCAGTCACAACAAAGACATCAGAAGCATTGTCAAAGGACCATTTGAATTATACGACTACATACCAATTGGCTTGACTCATCTCAAATCATTCAAAAATGGCAGAGCCCTCAATATTACGCTTTCCCATCTCGGGCAAAGAAAGTGACAGATACTTCCTCCTAGCAGTTTCCTCCAATGGATCACGGTTATTAGATCTCAAGTTGGTTGGGTCAGAAAGCACAGCTGTGTTCACAATGAAATGTGAGTTTTATTTACTTCAGCAGATCTATTCGCGAATTTCATACATCATCAAATCTCAAAAGGGTCGGAAGCTAAAATGTTTTCACAGTACGCCATAAAAGGGTCGGCGACTACAAAGCATCTAGTGGCCCTTGCTCCCACGAAGAGTGGGAAGAGATCCTAGTTTCAACATTGGTCAGCCAGCAGCCGGTACCCGACATCGAGATTAGAGCTGATGCTCATTCGGACGGCACCTCGGTATCTATCTTTTCGAAAGAATATCCAGGGTATTACAGTATGCGTACTCTAAGGACACTGCCTAGGATTTATCACTAATTCTAATTTACAGCAACGTCTTGGATCTATTAAGCTAGAAGAAGATGAGAAGACCGAAATTTCTCCTTTCGATTGGTGCATTTCAGCCCTTGGATCCCGAGAGAAAGTCGAAGAGGATCTGGCCGCCGCTAACCTCAAGATCCAGTCCCTCGAGGATTCCCTTGCCGAGCTCAAAGGTCAATTGGATGATCTTATCAAGGCAAAGGATGAGGATGAGACGCAGTTGCTTGAGAAGTTCCGAGACCTCATTAATGAGAAGAAAGTTAAGATCCGGCAACAACAGCGTCTACTAGCATCGGCGAGTATTGATCCCGAAAAACTCGCAAATGTCAATGGCTTCCAGACCACGCGGAAGCACGTACCTGAATCATCCCGTGCTTCCAAGCGCAAAGTGAAAGAAGAAGAAAGCAGTGATGACGGATTCGAGAAGATGGATGTCGAAGAGGGTGATAATGAGAATGCGCAGGCAGACGTCGAGGAGGATCATGGGGATACTACAGCAGGCGAGACGGCAAGTGAAGCAGACACAGACGATGAGCCAGTACCCCCACCGGCAAAATCTCAGAGGAATCGGACTACTGTCCCGACACGCAACACTCGTGCATCAACAGCAGTGGAAGAAAACTCTCAATCTGAGGCTTCACAGGAGGAGAGTAAGCCACTTCCGCCGCCGCGAAGTTTACCGTTTATGAAAAACAAGAAGCCTGTAGCTCCAGCACAGAAGCCAGTTGACGACGAAGAAACAGAATCCGATGATGAATTATGACCGCACGACGCTTAGGATAATGAGACTACGCATTCACGACCGATTTTAATAGTTATTTTAAATGTCTCTATTGTGTACATCTCGTTGCTTCTATGTCGCCCAGTGGTAGCACGAAATGGGTCAGAATAGTGTGTTTGCAGAATTGGATTTAGCATAGGTAACTACATCGATTTTGATGTAGGGGCGAGAGCGCCTATATTGCTAAGCTAGTGTTCCCGTCGAGATTTAACACGACGTTATTTGGTTATATCAAAACCCCCCATCCGAACCTCAAATTTACTAGACGCCTTAATGTTGTGCTACGGAGGCACATTTTTACTTATCGAAATCAAAAACCCTCTAACCAGATATGCCCCAAGACTTAACGCCTATCTTCGGGGGCAAAGATATCGTTGAAGAACCCTCGGAAGTGTTTCCTCTTTCCGAGTTCTGTGATCTCCGCGGTCTCGCTAGCCGTGAGCTTGAATGTGGGTAGCTTCCTTCTTAAGCTATACAGGCGCTCTTCGCTGCCGCTGGTCGTAACGACCGCAATGCCCTGGTCTATGGCCCACCGAAGTGCGATTTCCGCCTCTGAGACGCCGTACTTCCTGGCAAGCGAAGCGTAGATACCGTCAACGGGACCGGGGCGCGCCTTCGTAAGCGCTGTAAGCGGCGAGTACGCCGCAGTTGCGATGTTGTTCTGGCGTTGGAAGTCGATGAGGTTTCCGTGCTGTAGGTACGGGTGGTACTCAATCTGGTTGACGGCAGGCTTAACCTTAGCTGTCTTCAGGATCGTCTGCAAGTGGTCTTGCAGGAAGTTGGAGACGCCGATGGATCGTGCCTTGCCGCTCTCCCGGATGGCTTCTACCTCGGCCCAGATCTGCTGCAGACGATCGGGAGTATCGGCAATCTGCGGCCAACCCACCAGGTATAAGTCTACGTAATCGACACCGAGTCGTTCAAGCGAAGCCTCGAAAGCCGCTTTTACGGTCGTCGCTACTGTCCACACCTTGGTGGTAATGAAGAGTTGCGAGCGCGGTACTCCGGAATTCCTGATGGCTATGCCGAGTCCCTTCTCATTGCCGTATGCTACAAATTTTTGTTAGAAAATTGTTCCTAATAGGGGTAGTTCATGCTGCCTCACCTTCTGCGGCATCTAGATGGTGGAAACCGCTTCTGATTCCCCTGAGTGCGGAGTTCACAATGTTCTCCGTGTCGCCTTGGCTGAAGGCCATACCGAGGCCATATGCAACCTACATCCCCAAGTATGAGTCTAGGGGTATCTGAATTTGAAACTTACCATAGGCATCTCATTCCCATCATTCAATTTCAGGGTCGGGATAGCCGAATCAGAAGAGGGAGCTTGCTTCGATCCGACGCCAGAGGCATCGGATCGGAATCTTGCGTCGTTGGAATCGATTTGTGTATACATTGTGATCCTACAATACCAGATAAAGTGTAAAGTTGGAATGATCATTCGACATTTTGGCGGGCGGTCATGAAGCCATTTATAGAGAATGGATCTTCGTTAGCTACACCTACAGTGTTGATAAAATTGTTGATATTCGTATAATCAGTGAGTGGCTAAGTCAGATCGGCTGTTGTGTATGAACATAATGGGATGAGTCTCCATCACAGCGTCGTAATGAGTGGAGCAGACCCTGCAGCGGAATTAACAGTTGCATCCTATTTGAACGATGGTAGGGGCCAGACACGTAAGAACGAGGTTGAGTTCTGATTGTACCATTGTTGGATGTTGCCAGCGAATTGTATGCCCAAATGCCATTTATTGGGCATCTAAGGCTGTAGCTGATTCCACTCTGGGACGTCGTAAAAATAATAAGGCTAACACAACGTCTGCGTATAGAATCTACACCATCTATTGGCTAACCAATGTTAGCCTATCCCCTCAGAACCATGGAAAAGTCAACCGGAACTAAAGATTGAAACTCGCCAATGATGCACCTCAGCGCTGTTTAGTCTAGGGCTAGACTATTCAGTTCCCTCCAACAAGACTTGTTGTACACGCTACTGCAGGTTCTATTAGTTGCCAACAAAGCGCAGGAGCCCTAAAAAGAGACTCATTGGCAATTGAAATACATACGTGTATGCATTGCAAAACTTGGTAGCGCTTTATTTCTATGGAGATGACTTGAAAATTGCATCAACATATATTGATATGCAGTTTAGTATATTGTCTTGATACGCTATTAGATTTCATAAATTATCAGCACTAGTAAAAGACTGGAGGGTGCACAACCTACATAATCTACACAATAGATTGAGTTGATAAGTCTAAGCATTCGTTGACTTTTATCCCTTAGGTAATTTGCCACAGGATGGTCAGTTGCCTCCATGCGAGCCTTCTTGTTATTACTTGAATAAGAATCACAGTAGGGGTATCGATAGAAAGTACCCGGAAGAAGCATAGTAGGAGGTCCAGATTAGCCGCTTCAACAGGCGTAGAAATATTCCCAGTAAATGAAACTTACCTACATTTTAGCAGAGTGATCTTATCCCAAAAACAAGAGTTGTGCTCTCACCTCTTGCTCGCATCTCTACAACTAGTCTCTAGGAAGTCTCTAGACAGTGACTTTACTTATTGAATGTAGAAAATGAACCCCTTAAATACTACCACTAAATATTGCAAATCTATATTGAATATAGATAATAGGCAGTACTTACTCGCAAATATACAACCTACAGCACATGTGCGTGATTAGGTTACTAACAGGATTCTAGCTGAGACATTTACAACAAAGTACACTTTCAGTATCAATAGTTATACGCTCCCGTAGCTAGCTGAGTCCCTCACGGAACAATAAAGTCGTTTCCTTGCTTCTTGCTCCACCTTATGACACTACTTACATTAGGTACTTGGTTTGACAGTACAGGTGTATTATATCAATGATACAAAAAAGAATACATTATTTGACCTTCCATATCTTCGTATCATCCTCATTGGGTGCTATGCAAGATACTCACTCCAAATTCTGCTGTCATGCCAGTCTTAGTCTTTAACGTTAATTTTGCATTCGAAGAGACAACAATATTGCCTCCATATGTTAAAATATAGTATATTTTGAGAGAAACTCACTTAGATTATAGACAATTTCCATAATATAAAAAAATCTTAACAATACTTTTGAGGTTACTTATAGACTGTTGCCAAAGCTCTCGCGCAATGTAAAGGATAATTTTAAGGATACGTGACAGTATGGTCTTTAGATTAGTGTCGTCGATTATCTCTTCTTTAACATATTGATTAGGAACATATTCTGTCGATGTCTCGCTCGACCATATCTCCCAGTATATGCCAGCGGCAACATAAATAAGTGCTACCGTGCGCGCCAAGGGTTAGCCAGTAAATCTCATTAGTCAAGGGAGATTCGAACCAAAGAAATCAATAGAGAATTCGAGAGAAGGGGAAACTAGCCTCGAATTTCCATGAAAGGATCCTAATCTGCGTACAATTAGTTAGATTAAACTAGTTCATAGTTAATAGTTTCGTGCTCCTTAACTACGCGTATAAACAAGTAGATTAAAGTGATATAATCTCGATATATGTCAGGGGGTTTATACCCAGGTGATTGATGTCATACACAGAGTGAATATCTAGGATAGGTAGACCAAAAGGATGATATATTGAACTAGTAACGCCTGGCTTATACTCTCTTTCGAGGGCGCTACGCGCCCTTATATAGTAGATAGACTCCTGTAGGCCTCCTTACCCACTTATACCCTGACAATATACCAAGTAGCGTGTAGAGCACGAGATAAGGGAATCGACGCCTTCTTTGGCTTCAAGCCCCAAGATTCTCGTGATTGCGTAATGTTCTAACCCTTTGAGTAAGGGGCATGAAGGAGGCGCGGAAGGCGTAAACCACGCGTACTGGATTCAGGATTGAAATATCCATATCCTTCCTTTGCCTTTGCCTTTGCCTTTGCTTGTTAAAAAAAACCTCTAGTATTGCTTTTAGGTTTCCCCTAAACCATCTCGTCTAAACTCCCAACTACCTCGCCATGGCCGACAGTTACGCAGAAAACATGAGTCGCCATGAAAGCGAGACGCAGAGGCATGTAGTAGGATCTAGAAAAATTGCCGCATACTCGTTCTAATATTTTAGTATGGTAGACTTAATGACCAGTTTGACATAGTGACTGAGAATATTGGCTATCTTCTTCACCCCTCTGTTGTCACTACTCTCCCAGCAAACCCGTGTATTGCAGATATAGCGACAGGAACGGGTAGATTCCTATTTCGCGCACGGGAACTATACCCTAACGCCACACTCGAAGGCTTCGATATATCCCCGGCCCTCTTTCCCCTAAAGAATGAACTACCGCCAAATCTAGCGTTAGCTGTGTTAAACATCAAGCAACCAGCCCCAGAGGAGTTACATGGAAAGTTTGACGTAGTTCATGTGCGCATGCTTGTAGCGGGCATGTCACAGAACGACTGGGCTCCTGCAGTCGAAAACATTACACGGATGCTGAAGCCGGGAGGGTTCTTGCAATGGGAGGAATGTGATTTTATAGGACTCAAGCACCTACGCGGAGGTGTTGATTCGCAAGTTGAAACTCTTCGTTTTATGGGACGGGCATTTGTCAATGCACTTCGGCACAGTTTCTCGTACGGGTGGAATACACTCCCTGGACACATGCAAGCAGCGGGTTTGAGTCCAGTTATAAAAGACATTATTAGCTCAGACAGGGTGTCTGAGACAAGGACGAAATCTACTATAAATGGAATGCAGGCCCCGTTCAAATGGGCACGTCTGATGACCAAGCGAGGAGCTCCAAGTGCAATGACGTTCCAGGAGATTGATCTCTTGGAGAAGAAAGCATTGGATGAGGTCATGTCAGGAAGCTATATTAGATATGATATTTACGTGATATGTGGTCGAAAGCCACTATAGTAAGATGGTATCAGATCGCAGCGACATGGTCACGAATGGATAGTTACCTAGGTAAATAAGTCAGTCATATTTTAGATAGTCCGAAGAGAGCTACATGAGATTTCAATGTGCCTTAATAACTAGCTTGAGTGAAAACTATAACTTGTGTATTATTTCGTAAAAGAACAGAGTTGATTAACTGTAACCTAGTGAGTTCCGAATTACGTATCGTGTGATGATGAAAGGAATAAGGAGGTTTATGTATATAAATTTTTTGATATAGTGGGGAAAGTAATAAGGTAGCTGCATATGCCGTTTATAACGAGGCTCTTCGATGTAACGGTGCTTAATTCGGCTACAGGAATTGACGTAATGCCTCAGATCGCCACATTATTCGTTCATCAATATACTAAGTTAAATGTACTAAGTTACAGCATTTCTGCTTCATTAACCTTTTACCCTTCTACACGGGTTTAAATGGCATTTTCGTTTCTCCTCGAATCCTTAATCGCCACTTTTTCTCTCTATATACCTCCTAAATCATAATTCCTTTTGGCCTGGAGAAGCCGTTCATATGCTTTTCCATCGCATTATTCATCGAAGTCTACCACACTTACGATTGGCGCAGATGGCGTCCCAATTCTCAACCAATGGCGCTACAACTCACACGGTAAATTCCACGGCGTCGTCTATAAACGAGATACCAAAGTCGTGGACCTTCACATCTAAGCTTCCTCCTGACTCCCTGTTCCCGACACCGGCCGATTCGCACAAGACACCCCGCGATCAGATCGTTCCCCGGCAGGTCCGCGACGCTCTGTTTACATGGGTACGCCCCCAGACTGTCGAGCGACCTGAGCTTCTAGCAGTTAGTCCAGCGGCCATGCGCGATCTTGGTATCAAAGAAGGCGATGAGAAGACCGAGGATTTCGTGCAAACGGTTGCGGGTAACAAACTGCAGGGATGGGATGAGGAAAAGCTTGAGGAAGGTTACCCTTGGGCGCAATGTTACGGTGGCTTTCAATTTGGTCAGTGGGCTAGCCAGCTCGGTGACGGGCGTGCTATATCGCTATTCGAGACGACAAATCCGAATACGGGTGTACGTTACGAATTACAATTGAAAGGCGCAGGGATGACGCCGTATAGCCGCTTTGCAGACGGGAAAGCTGTTCTCCGGAGTAGCATTCGCGAGTTTGTTGTTAGCGAGGCGCTGAATGCGCTTGGTATCCCGACCACGAGGGCTCTCAGTTTAACGCTGCTTCCGGAGGTTAAGGTACGGCGGGAAACGACTGAACCCGGCGCCATCGTAGCACGGTTTGCGCAGTCCTGGCTGCGAATCGGTAACTTCGATATCTTGAGGGCACGGGGTGACAGAGATCTCATTCGTAAGCTTGCTACATATGTCGCTGAGGATGTATTCGGTGGCTGGGAGACATTACCCGGCCGCCTTGAAGACCCTGATAAGCCAAAGGAGTCGGCCGCTCCTAAGCGCAACATTTCAGCGGATACGATCGAGGGGCCACCTGAATCTGCAGAGAACCGGTTCACGCGTTTGTACCGAGAAATTGTGCGACGCAATGCACTTACCGTTGCTAAGTGGCAAGCTTATGGGTTTATGAATGGCGTACTGAATACGGACAATACTTCCCTTTTTGGGTTGAGTATTGACTTTGGCCCTTTTGCATTTATGGATAATTTCGATCCCAATTACACTCCTAATCACGATGACTATATGCTGCGGTATAGCTACCGCAATCAGCCAAGCATCATATGGTGGAACCTGGTACGCCTAGGGGAAGCGCTAGGCGAGTCGATTGGTGCTGGATCACAAGTAGACGACCCAAAGTTCGTCGAAGACGGTGTGAAAGAAGAGGAGGCGAGTGGTATTATTGAGAGAGCTGAAAAAATCATAATGCAAATCGGCGAGGAGTACAAAGCTGTGTTCCTCGACGAGTACAAGAGGCTCATGACAGCCCGATTTGGATTGAAGACCTACAAGGATAGTGACTTTGATGACCTATTCAGTAGCATCTTGGATTCTATGGAATCATTAGAGCTAGACTTTAACCTTTTCTTCCGTCGTTTGAGTCTAGTCAAAGTTGACGAGCTCGAAACGGAGGAAGCTCGGCAGAATAGAGCAAGCGTTTTCTTTTACAGCGACGGTGTCACAGGCGCTGGTGGAGAAGCCGAGGGCCGTAAACAAGTTGGCGAGTGGCTGAATAAGTGGCGGCAACGTATTCTTGAAGATTGGGGAGATGGTCAAACCGTCCCCGACGAGCAGGATAAGGAGCGAATGCGAGCCATGAAGAAAGTCAACCCAAATTTCATTCCGCGAGGCTGGATCCTTGATGAAGTTATTAAGCGAGTAGAGAAGAATAACGAAAGAGAGGTTCTAGATAGAATCATGCATATGGCTTTACACCCGTTTGAGGAGAGCTGGGCCGGTCGCACAATCGACGGCAAAGAATATAAGGGTGATATAGATGAAGAGACGCGATGGACAAGCGATGTCCCAAGACTAGGTCGGGCAATGCAGTGTAGCTGCAGCTCATAGTTTTGATACAGCGGATATTAAGTCAAAACCTACGCCCTACGAGGTCCTCTCAGAAATAGTGAATCCTTTTGCTCGCTCGGGCTTATTTATCTTGGCTTTAAATGCAGCCATTGTTACTGATATCGTATTGATGAAACAAAACCTCATCACACCAATCACATGAATTATAATATCATTGAGCTGAGAGGCTTTTGCGGTCTAACATCTCCGATCGGACCACTGGCATGACACATCTCGCGCGCTTACTTTTTCATGTCGGACAAGATCTATTTACGGTACAGTCTTAGACCAGGCATCAGCTTTCAATTCTCTCTTTCACCCAATGACGAAAACAATAAAAGGTAGCAACCCCGCCTTATAGCTTCTACGATCGACCATCCTGATCTAACGTCCATTCATTAGTTCATTTCCCTCGAGATTGCTTATTCAAACGACCAACATCATGAATACTATTCACGGCTTATGGCCTATTATGGCTCGGCGCATTGTTCAGGGAGATTTTCTTGACATATCCCTCTCTAAACGGTCATTCGAGATCTTAGTGTCTCGTGCCGAGAAGCCTGCCGAAGGAATGTTCGGTGCATTGAGCGTTGTTGAAGGTATTCAGGTCGCCATAGCCGCTATACTCTTCTATGCAGTACGTAACTCCGATGATATTGTATGTAAATATTCTCTTACTAATTGCCGCAGTTTTCGTATATCCTGGGAAATGTCTTCCTAATATTGGCTTCCGTCGAAACTGATGCTCCTGCATCTTATACTCAAGTACCCGGGGAAATAACAGATGAAGAAGCTGGGGCCCCCAAATACCCTGGCATGTCAGCGCGACCAGTCACTTCTAGTCTTCGTTCTACCTGTCGCCATCTACTCTCTATTGGTGGCAAGAAGTCCCTTTTTCGAGGGTTTGCCTGCTTCGTAGCTTACCAGCTTGCTACCTATCCGATTACATTTCTTCTCGGTCTGATCCCATCCATGCCTAGGATAGCTTCTGTAGGCATCGCTTCACTACTCACTATGCAGCTCCACACGACATGGACGCATATTGTTATTTCGGAGCCCAGCGCGAAGCCATTCTGGCGTCGTCTACCGCGATTCGATCTTGTGCTTCGCGCTACTGCTGCCCTACTATTATTCTTGGTAGCATTACAGGATTCGAGCAGGTGGTAATTGGATCGATAGGAACTAGCATGCTTGTCTTTACACCGCCCGGTCTCTTGTTGCTCCTGATTTTCCACTCGGTATATTCATTCATCGCTATTATCCCGGCCGAGGCCGTCCTAGCTCGCGTACAAGCTTCCCTCCTCCCCGAGGAAGATCGACCGATTATCTTGCTAGACACGGTGTTCGATCAACAGAAAGCCGAGGGCAAGCAGTATATCTCTACGCGTGAGGCCTTACAATCCGTGTCACGCGCTACTTTTAATAGACTGTATATGTTACATGTCAAGTACTACGGGCTTTCGTTTCTAGTGTTTAATATTGTAGGGGCTATCGGGTATATGGAAACGGTCATCGCCCGTAAATTTAAAGCAGCTTAGAGGCGGAGAGTTGTGACGAGTCACAATCCTATGGCTTGTGTAACTTGGGTAGAGGCTTGGCTTGGATATTTACGGGCTCTAGGAACAGGACTATATATTGCTTGTTTGAGGTATTGGAATTCGGGTTAAAAGGTTAGCACGCAGTTCAAGTAGGTAGGAATTCGGGGTATATCTGGAGATATATATGTAGTTATTCTTTTAATCTATCGTGTTTGATACACTCACGGCTTTCACCAACCCACCATCCGGTTCTAAGACCAATGTTTTCCAACTAACCAAGTGTGATTTTCTCGGCCTTTTTTTTTCTTCATAAAGTATTTTCTACTTTGTTATGACACACGCTTATTATCATGGGGACTTCAGACCCCACGAGCTAAGACAAGCCACGCATGTAATACGAGAATCTTGTAATTACAATTCCCTCGTCCTGGATTTTACTGGAGTAGGATTTGCGCCCTCCCAATCTGCTAGATTCAAAACCTGCACTCCCCAACCCTCAAGCTCCTTAATGGCCGCAGCCTTGTCCTCATCACTAATTGATTCAGTGGCATCCTCTATGAGCACGACTTCGTATCCCAGCTTGATTCCATCGATACTTGTACCGCGGACGCATGCACTCGTTAAGAGTCCCGTCACGATTATAGTCTCAATGCTATGCAAGGTTAACTCGGAGTGTAGTGTGGTGAAGCGGTGGTACTGATTATCAGCGAAAGCCGAGTATGAGTCGACTGAGTGATCTTGCGCCTTTTTAATGTAATTGACGGGGGCGCGGTAGCCTTCGAGCAAATGCAGCCGCGTCTGAACGCCACGCTCTATCTCAGCGCCCCACGTCTCCGGGACACAGTGGTCCGCGTATAGCATCTGTGTTTCGGTCTTCGTAGGGGTATCCACGAAGCTATCGTTCACAGTGTCTCCGGAGACTTTCCCAGGATGGCTTGAAAAGAACGAGACATGCCCTTTAGGATGCCAGTCTATACAATTGTTAGACTAGATGCAGCTATCGGGTTAAAAATGAATATTACCCTGAGAAGCGACAACGAAGGGCCACTCATGATTATCCAGGAGTTGATAGATTTTAGGTAAAATAGCAGGAGCTCGTGGATTGGCTAAAGAGCCGTTGATGAAATCGTTTTGTACATCAATGATGACGAGTGCCGTATTCTTATGCAGCTTGTTGGAATACTATACGTTGCGGTCTGAGCAAACACGGACGGTCCCGTAATTAAAATCATAAAACTCACTGGAACTGCATACCCTAAGCTGCTGAGAGCAAGTATACAAGATATGCTATAACTCCACATTTCTACAATTTGACAATAATAATTCGACAGAGATACAAGATTACTCCTTTTCACAAATATGTTCAAGTCCTTGGATATCGGTTAAGAATCAAACCTCAATTAAAGATATGAGAATCGATTAATATTGTTTACTTATCGGTTTGAATAGAAGTGGCTGGGATCGAACTATGTAATCTGGCGGCGGATCGTTACCCCGTACGGTGGACTATTAGTCCAACTGTGCCAAAATTAAGAAAATGGGTGGGAGCTGTCCAAAAAGGGTAATTTAGTAAGCAACACTAGGTGCACAGTATCCTGAAATACCTGAAATATAAGATTTTTATATTATTATTATATAATACGATATATATTCAAATAACTTTACGAATATATCATTTCATGATTTATAATTGGTACCATTTTGTAGCCCTAATCAATGCGAAAATAATAATTCAAGTTGCATGTTTATAAGATACGTATTGGATAGTTGGCTTATTGTTGAAATACCTATCTGCGGCCTTTTCAAGATGTTAGTCTTGAAAGGTATCACGTGTTATCCTCTCGACACAACACCTACTTGATATTGATATAATATTCTAGATTAAAGACATATAAAGATGCAATTTGGATCATTATTTTCGCATTAATTAAAGCTATAAAATGATTCCATTATAATTTTTAAAATAGGATATTCGCGAAGTTATTATAGTGTATAAGTTGTATCCTGTATATTTATATATTTAAGGTTAAAGTAAAGGTTGAATCTTATTGGTTATTATTTCTAGTTCGTGGGGAAAGGGAAAGTAGCCTGCAATGTATTGAATAATGCTTATATTTTTTAATATCTTTACGAATTCAACGTCGAGTTATATAAGACCTGGGTTGAAATTTTTGTCTTTTTTTAATAAAAATACCAATACCAATTTCAAGTAATTCAAACGTATATTAGTAAAGTTATCCCCATATAAAAGGTATGTATTACCTTATAAATTGTGTATATAGCAGAAATAGCCGAGCTTATACTGTACTCCTAATGTTACTATTACCTTATTAGATATAGTGCGACTGATTTTCTTGATTTTGGCACAGTTGGACTAATAGTCCACCGTACCCCGTCACAATCAAATACCCTGGAAAGCGAGTTGCTAAGATAAGAGCTGAATAATGCTATGCTCTTTGAAGATTACGATACCATGGTTATGCGCGGGTCCAGATACGATCTGCAGTTCAGCTTGTTCGGCTTTGATAAGAGTGTCATTCGAATGAGGATATAGCGCGGATTGAATGTGTATAAATCGATACGATCCACTCATTTAAGAAACACAGGTTTAGTTACTCAGTTCGCCACAACTGTATTTAGAATGAAGGGAGACACAAAACTCTGAAGATATGAGCAACGAAAAATGGAAATATATGATAAATTCTAGTAGTGTTCTTATGTAAACTCGTCTCTGATATAAGATAAACACTGTTTCTTATGACATTGAAGATAAAGCTAATCAATATGTAATTAGACAGGAGGCAATATGCATTAAAGAGAGCTTATCGGGATAAAATCATAAGATGAATAGGGGGGAACTTAACTTTCTACAAGGACATAGGCCAAGCAGCCCTTCACTAAGGAAGCTATATATTGCTCAAATTTTCCTCTTATAGAAAGAGTAATGGCGTTGGTTATTGCAAGAAGAATGACTTCGGTCAGTCGCGATGCCAATTTATCGATATCAGCTTCGCAAAGCTACTCCACTAGGCCCTGTATTCATTCTTGAGGATTCAGCTACTCATTTGAAACAATTGAAAAAATGTCTTATCCAACTCAGCCCTCCAAATTAGTCCTTCAGTAAGCTATTAGCTTTCGCTACTCAACCTATGGCTAGGCCTCCTTTCGATGGATCCATACGTGGGAGGCAGAAGAGTGTCTCGCAATCGTCCCGCTCGGAACTCAAGAAGAACAAGGAAACCCAATAGATGGTGGTATTTGCCACCTGAACCGTACTCCATTGAGAAGCGGCCTTCGTTTGGCTTGTGGTTGAGGGTTACTTGGCCCGACATTGTAACCATGCTTCTTCTTGGCGTGGTAGCCTTTGGCGTAAGTGTAACAAGCCCCCTGGTGTATCAAGTATAACGCTCCAACATCATGTAGGTATCTGCTCTTCACCCTGCTGGAGTGCGAACTTTCCCCTTAACGGTCATCGATGCACGTACCGGCGAAGACACCGGCGAGGTCGTTTACCCCGAATTCGCGTATCCATATCGCACTCAGTTTGTTTCCTCTTGGGTAGATACGGTTCTCGTAACTGTGATTCCTCTCTTCACCTTCTTGTTTTTCAAATTCGAATCAAGAGCTTTTGGGATCTCAATAATTCTATTATCGGCTGCATATATGCGCTCGAGACATCAACTGCATTCCAAGTCATGATCAAGTGGCTTATCGGCGGTCTAAGACCAAACTTTTATGACGTCTGTCAGCCCGATCCCAGTCTCGCTGGCGACCCAAGTGTTGATGTGACGGGCTTAAATGCTGTTGGCTATAGAAAATACATGTATACCTCGGAAATTTGTACAAGTGGCCAGGGCCGGCCTCTTTGGAACGCAATGCAAAGCTTCCCAAGCGGCCATTCAACGACCTCCTGCGCAGCAGCCGTTTACATTTTCCTATACCTCAATGCGAAGCTCAAGGTCTTTGCAAACTACCATCCCTCCATGTGGAAGCTTGTCCTAGTCTACTGTCCGATCCTGGGAGCCGCCCTCATTTGCGGGTCCTTGACAGTTGACGGCTCTCATAACTGGTATGATATTCTCGCAGGCGCCATTATAGGCACCATCTTAGCGGTCTCATCATATCGTACGGTATATGTAAGCGTCTGGGATTGGCGCTTCAATCACATCCCTCTGAATCGAGGGGCTGCGTTCATACCTTTGACGGATGGTTGGGAAAGCTCAGACCTAGTTTTCACGAATAGGGCTGGTTGGAGAAAGGGGTACTCGAATGGTGAGAAAGAGACACTACCAGGCCCCGTCACGAGAAGTGGAGTTATGGGCAGCCATTCTAGCGTACACTTCGAGGTGCTTCCTGATGGTACGGCAAGCCAACCTGCTAGAGAACCTCAAGACGCTCCCCGCCTCTCTAGAGATAGAGATCGTGGTGCCGATATGGTATAGTGTCAAGACTAAGATGACGAGATATGAGGAGGCTAGGGACTAATAACTATTGGAGTAGCATCAGATTAGTATCGTATTACATACAATTTATTCTTCATAAACTGTCATGTAACCACGAAGCAATGGTAATAAGCAAACGTTATTACTATTGCTTTAGAACTTACGCCGCCATCAAGTGCTAAATAAGCGAACCATCTATGCCTACTCTGAGCTTCGGCCCAGGCAGATTTTAGACGTTTTAGTTTATGGATTCTTGGTAAAGATACTTGATTATAATTTAGTTTGATTGTCTAAGCCAATATTCTGACAGTTCGCCATACATGGATTGAGGGTAAGGGGGGTTCTTTGACTTTATTTGAGTTAGGACTTAGCAATACAGCTGTTACAAATTTCCTCGAAACACTATAACCCTCGTGTATAATATTGTAAGTCTCTGAAACTATTACGTTTCAATGTTTTTCTATATGTATCTATACAGAACTGTATACTTTTACGACTCTCATTTAAACCTCATTGGAAGTCGATTGAAGTTATACGTATAATGTACTTATCGGGTACCCTTTAAGCCTTATTCTGTATAGTAGTATACACTCCTTATGAGAATGTAAAGAATTATCCATAAATTGGACTAGGCGGGTTACTAAATATCTTGCACGTCACGCCATAATTGACCTAATTTGTACTGTTCCTGCCGAAGACTATACATTTAATCGTAAGACGCTGTGGGAAGATACGACGCTTAAATGCATATATAAGATTTCTACTAACTAGTTAGAAGTGGGATATTAGAATCTTCCCAATACAACATCACATTATCCTATCATTCCACAACGCCTACCATTTCGCCCTGAATGAAGCCAGATATTTACCTCTATAAACAAACCATATACTAATCTTGTTAGTTGCCCCATAAATTTATTTTAGCGAATAGGACGAATTGAACTACATGGGCCAAGTTTGTTGCTATGACCAACAAAGAAGCTTCAACTCTGAGAATGGACGTTCGTGCGGGAGGTTTCTTGTTGAGTTTTCATGCCTAGCAATCTAGTTTCCCTAATGACCGTGTTGCTATGCGTTGGGGCAAATCTTGTCTTCTTATGAAAACTATTTAAACGGGAGAATGCCCACCTGGATCATCGATTAAAACGTTAGGCATACATAATTTTTACTAGGTGTTCTCGGGAACAATATACTAAGAGTACCAACATCTAATTATCGATATGGCGCCTACTATCGACATCATCCGCCATGCGCAGGCATCTCATAATATCCACGGCGGCCACATCAGGGACGCGATACTGACTGATGACGGCGTTGTGGAATGCCATCTTTTAAGAGAGACGTTTCCGTTTGGATCCAAGGTTACCAATATCGTGTCGTCTCCCTTACGACGTGCCATCGATACCGCAATCCTTGGGGTTCTTCCACTTGTAGATAACCACATCAAGGTCAAACTACTCCCCGATCTACAGGAGATTAGTCCCGCACCAAGCAGCACGGGAATCCCGAAGAGCGTGCTCTCTTCCCAATACAGTGGTGTTCATAACCTGGACATGGATGACCTTGACGAGTATTGGTATCGTAAGGGCTTTAATACCCCTTACGCGCCAGTGGTGGACAGAGTCGAGGCACGGGCGCGATCCGCACGGCAATACCTACGGATGCTGGCGAGAACGGCCATCGAGGCCGGGAAAGACGATGCGCACATAGTGGTCGTGACGCACGGGGAGTTCGCGCATTGGCTCACGGGCGATTTCCGGGGCGTGAGCGAAACCCGTAATTCGGGTTGGCGTAATACAGAGTGCCGGTCGTATCAGATCAGGGACATCTTTGGGTCTGGTCACTCCGACCCGGAACTGGTTGAGACAGGGGAGAGCATCGAAAGGAGGAACGGGCCCCTTTTCTACTTCGTGATGAATGCTTTCACTATTTTCAGCCCCAGGAACATTGCCACCAGGCGGGTGATTGACTACGGCGAGATATTTCGAGCTCAAGAACGACTGTCGCTTCATCAGGCTAATGAAGAACCTGAACAATTAGACGACGAGCCCGACATATCCGATGATGGATGGATTGATATGGACGAGTCGAACTGAACATCACGTCTTAGTCTGTCAATAGCGAGGCTCCCATCATGTATTTCTATAGCCGGCGCAAAGGCGTAATGGAGGGAGAGAGGGTATTTGTCTGTTTTTAAGGGGCCTATCAATGTTAATATTTTCCTCCTCATGCGATAAGAAATAATTTATGATGTGCTTTCCCTTGAGGAACGTACATACCTACCTTAGGTACCTAACCCAATGTACCGATGCATAGGCCACTTGCGTGACTCCCGTCTACGTGATGATGCATTTATAACAGAATAGCAATGCAGAAAAGTAACAAGTACCGCAAAGCCTCCGTGGTCTAGCGGTAAGGCCGCCTGCTGGGAAACTGCGTTTCTCCAGGAATGGGACTACCGCTGGGTCATTGCGCTTCTCCAGAATTCAAAACTTCTGCTTGGGTCGTTGCATTTCTCCGGGAGTCGCAACCTGCTGGGTCATTGCGTATCTCCGGATGGTTATTTTTTTGTCTTTTTTTTTAATCCTCCTTTTTTTTCTCGCAGCGTCCAGTTCGAGTTCGAGTTCGAGTTCGAGTCTTGGATTCACTCCACTAGTTTTTTTCTTCTAATTATTTTTTAATAAACTCTTCTTGATGAGTTCTCTTTTTATTTTTTTCATATTCTAAATATACTTACTTCCGCCCCAGTTATTTACTACGAAAGAAATATATTGACGATATAGGCCGCTTAATTCTCAGATATTACGATGTTGCTACTTTAGCCCAGGAGACGATTGTAGGAGCATTTACACTCGATAAAATACCAGGCTTTAAGTTGAGGACTATGTCCTAGACTATGCCAGCGTCACCAATATCCATTCTCGTTCCTCCGCAAGCCCAACCCAAGCCTCTTCATTAATTTCACCCGTACTAACCCGCGAAGCAACACGCCTAACAGGGTCATCCCACTCTACGACTAAGACATTGAGTTTCCTCTCTGCCTTAAGAATCTTGAGACTGTTATCGTTGTGCTTTCGCGATACTACAATAAACGAATGTTTTCCCGATAGCTTGGGTGCTTGGTGTGGCAGAAAGGGGTTCAGTTCGCCAACCTCCTCTTTCTTATCGTTATATATCTTGTTCTCTTCCAAAACTAGTACCGCGTGGCTCGTCCAAAAGAGAAGACGTCCGGAATCCATGAAATCTCCGTCTTCGGTGTCCTGGTGTAGTAAGCTAGGGTCAATCGTCGTGTTCCCCTTCCATCCCGCTGAAGTCGTGTTGTCGATACCGCACATGTCGATCTTCGACGCAGACTCAAATGTTTTTTCGTTTGATAGTGAACGTAATGGAGCAGCTTTACCCCCCATACTAAGCTTCATAATATTTAATTCCGGCTCCAGCACAACCTGTCGTGGTGCGGCGCGGTTCACTCCTAATATGTGATTCCAACCGAGCCAAGACCAACTAGGGAACTGTACCCTATGAACCGTCCCATCACTCGATATCACACGATGTAATTCCCGTCGTCGCTCTGGAAGCTCATGCGACTTCCACTTGCGATCCCGATACCAGACGATATTGTTCCAAGCCAAGCCCTCATCAAATCTCGTCGAGACAGAATGACCCCAGTAAAACTCGTGTCCCGTATTAACCCCGACCCTCCTCAGTACCCCTGAAAACGCGTCCAGGACATCTGCTTGTACGGTAAGCTTTCTATTACAGTATCCCTGAATCATCGAGCTTAGCTCGCTGTACGCGAAATTATTACCACCCCCAAATTCTCCGAAGATTTTGTGACCGGATAGTACTGAAAAGATGATGTCGTTAGAGGCGACGGCGGTAGGAAAGGCTTCGAAGGCGATGGTCTCGCAGCATTTGGAAGTCTCGCAGCTCCAGAATACTTGATCGGAAGCGATTATGAGAGTCCGGCGAGAGCAGAGACCCTCTTGAAATGTCCAACCCCGTGTCTTCCATCGGCTATCCTGGTACTCTTGGTCGAGGTTAAGGACGTCTGTTAGGCCTAGATCTTTAGCAACACGAGCCGTAAGCTGGTTAATATTACGAGTTGTGCTGTTGATTCCAGGAAGCCCATCAGTTGCCGTGCCACATGCTGCGACAACCGTTAATTCTGCCCTCGAGTAGACGAGGTCCATCTGAGGGATTTGGACGACTTTATCAGCTTCGGAATCCTGGATAATACATAGCCGATCAACCCAGATGAACTCTACTCCCATCTGCTTAGTCAACTCTATCGCATCTACGATAGTCTTCGGTAAGAGTTGACTCCCGAGAAAACCTGGTGTTTTCATTTCCTCAACATTCGAAAGGATTGTTTGGAAAGGGCCGCGTCGTTCGTCGCCCCATACGTAACTGAGCGCGAAATAGGGGCACGGATCTGACACCTCAACTAAGCAGTGGCGTCGCACATCGATCAACCTGAGTTTTTCAGGCCACGAAGTATCCGGCGCAATCCAAGGAGGCAGACTACACTTCTCCCCGTGCTTCTCAAGGCATGTCTCATACCACTTCCTAAGCAACCCAACATTAACCTCCGACTCCACAACCCTCCCCGACGGAAACACCGAAAACGGCTCCTCCCCCGTCACATAATCATCCACACGCGGCACCGGATACAAACACGGATGCAACTGCAAGAACGTCTGCGCCGTCCATCTAACCGGGCTAATCCCCACCAGCACCAGCAACCTATTCAAGCTATTATTCCTCCTCTTGCCATCACCACTCGCCTTATCCGCATCTAGAAAGATACCCCGTCGCTCAAGCGAGTCGAAAAAGTTCTGTATAACCAGATTCGTAGAAGAGTATCCCGGGTTCTCACCCGCAAAAAACGTATCCAGCAGCGAATCTGCCTGTGACAATCTAGTTGCTAGCACAGAGGACCCGAGACGGCTCCGGCTGCTCCAGAACGCGCAGGTGAGATTGTCTGGGCGGTCGTGGAATTCCGCGACGGGCGACCAGGGCTTTAAGTTGTGGGAGCCGTTTGAAATCAGTTTGCATAGCTCACAGGTTTCTGCTGCTGTGTGGATTGCGCCGAGGTTATGCTCGCCACTTTTCAGCTGCCCATTTTCGAGAGCGGCTTTGTGAGGGTTGAAGAAGCTAGTGGTGACTTCTGCCCAGTCGACTGAGCGGCAGAAGTCGCATAGGCCAACTTCGTTATCCAATTGTACTTCGGTCATAATAGCGAAGGGGTCTTAACTAAAATTTATTTACTCGAATGATAGCTAAAAGAAAAGTATAGAATCTATCGTAAGATGAAAAGCCTTTGGGCTAGTGAAGAGGGTATATTATAGGGAGGCCCAGCCGCGGCTGAGTAGTCATGCGGGAGTATAGTCAACGCTAGAACCGATTGAGCTGGTAAGTATAGATTAGGGACTTACACAGAATAGATATACAATTGTAAATAGGCAACCATCGAATCATGAAAAATGGCATCAAGGTAACATGGTAGCTGTTAGTATGGATCGCTTAAGAACACTTCAATTAGCATTGCATTTTCCCAGATCCCAAACGAGAATAACATTACACCTCTAAGTTTCTGGCTACGTCTTCTTTTTGCTCTTCGTCTTGCCTTCACTCTTGGTCGCAGTCTTACTCTTGCTCTTCTCCTTATTCTTTTCACCCTTTTCGCTCTTTTCATCACTCTTAGTCTTGCTCTTCTCCTCGCTCTTAGCCTCGCTCTTCTCCTCCGCATTACCGTTCGCGCTTGGCTTATTCAACGCCTTGGGGTCAAGACCACGTTTCCTCATAGCGTTGCGCCTCGCCCTCTCCATGTACTTCTCATCTTCCTCTTCATCGAAACCACCGAACTCATCATCTTGTCCAGACACATTGTCATCTGTGATGGGCGTCTTGTCGATGACCTCTTCCTCGGCGCGCGGTGCTGAGGTACCTTGAGTAGACTTGTCTTTAACGAGGTTGGCGGGTGTCGGGCCAACCTTCTGGAACTTGGCGACAAAGAAACCGTCTACGTTGTATGTGTGCGGGTAGTATCTCCGCGTTAGTCGTAGACTAGGGTCGAAACTCTTGCCCATGTAGTTGGTGAAACCTTCTTTGCCGAAGGGGAGTTCGGTGGAGACCAACTTGACGTTAGGTCGCTTGTTGAGCGCATATTGGACTACTTGCTCATTCTCCTCGACAGTGACTGAACATGTAGAGTAGACTAAATAACCACCAGTTTTACTTGCGTGGTTGACCGAGTCAATTGCAGCTAGCAATAACTGCTTCTGGGTGTGGGGTAAGACCATGAAATCTTTCTCATCCTTGTTCGTCTTGACCGAGGCATCCTTGGCGATAACTCCTGTACCTGAACAAGGAGCATCAAGAAGTACTCTGTCGAAGCCACCAATTACCTTCGGGAACTCTCGGGCATCATGGTTGCAGACAATCACGTTGCGACAACCAAGACGATGGATGTTACCAATTAGACCCTTCGAACGAGACTTGCTCGGATCGTTGGCAAATATGCAACCAGTGTTCTTCATCATAGCAGCCATATGCGTAGTTTTACCACCAGGAGCAGAGGCCATATCCAGCACTCGCTCACCTTCTTGTGGACCTAAAGCCATGACGGGCAAAAATGAGGACGCAGCCTGAAGAATGTAGTGTCCAGCAAGATATTCGGCGTGGTGGCACCAAGCGGAACGTTGCTCTCGAAGATCTGTAACCCAACCTTAGACCACTTGCCTACAGGCTCTAGAGTGACACCGCGATTTATCAGGGCCTGAGCTAAGTCTCGGCGATGCGTTCGTAGAGTGTTAGTTCGGATGACGACAGGTCGCGCAGTCTCGTTAGCCTCGAAGAACGCGAAAGCTTCTCTTGCTGGGAATAGGTTCATAAGCTTTTCGGCAAGATATTCCGAGTAACCGTAGTAGGCGCATATGTCCTTTAGCAATTGTGTCGTGTATTCGGTTCTAGACCTGCCCTCCTCCGCTGCGTTCGCAAAGTCGTCTAAGACACGTATCGTGTCCGTAATTCTTGTTCTTAGTAATTGCAGATCCGGGGCCAAGAGAGCCTTTGTCTTTAATGCTAAATCATCCTCTTCCTCATCGTCGATGACATGCGGTCGCTCAATGTTAGTCTGGAGTGCTGCTTCTTCCAATTCTGCTTGCGCCTCCGCCTCCTCTTGAGCCTTTTCCCTGTCTAGCTTATTTGATAGACCGACGATGTTTGCAGCCGTCAACTTCTCTTCAGCATCCGAATCATCTTCATCCTCTGAGAACATAGCCTTTCGCTCCCTCTGGTCCTCTGCATCAGAGTCAAAGACGGAATCATCTGACCCAATAAAGTCGTCTCCTAGGCCGCCCATCTCGTCATCCTCCAGACCGGAGAATTCGTCACCGTCCGGCTCGGAGCCGCTCAGCCCATCACCAAGGCCATCACTAAGCTCTTCATCGGACTCTGGCACGGGAGCAGGCTTCTTTGCTTTCGACCTGTTGTTTTTTCCATTTTGCTTGGGCGCTGGGACGGCCTTCACACCATTGGATTTTCCATTGGCTTTAGGAGCAGCCTTCTTTGCACCAGCGCCATTGGACTTAGAAGCTGATTCGGTCGCAGTTTTCCGCTTCTTCTTGTTCGGTGCGTCGGTGGGAACGTCATCTACAGGTAGACCAGCCTTTCGCTTTAATTTCGCAAAGTGTTCTTCTGACAATGGCTCAGGAGGGCCCTGCTTCTTCATGCGACGACCGACACCCATTTTGCTGGCAGTATTATATGAAAATTATTAAATGTATCGTTGTATCTTTTGAGCTGGGCGCTCTAAAATTTCCAATGCTTTTCGTAGTTTGACCTCGAACTTTTTTTCTTGCGATAAGCTGATAATGAATCTGGACCACTTTTATCAGGATGTAGGATTGGATGATCCAAATTAGCGCAGCGGGTCTGAAGAGAGGTACCTCAGTACACAGATACGCAGGTACAATTAAGCTTCAGCCACAAAGTGGGATACATTCGTGGCGTCCTAAAGGCGGGACATCGTGATCGTCACTAAAGACAATACATAGTTCAAGGCGGCCTAAATCATTTGTGACATAACTTCTCATACTCGACATCTCGTATAACACTTACAAAACAAATATGACGGAAGTATCATTCGCGAGATCTTTTCTCGCAGCACTAGACGCTCGTCCGATCAAGCTATCATCCGAACATGTCGAGGATCCTAAGAGCTATGCTGCGCGCGGCGCTGTATGCTACACTTTACGACTGTCTCACTCTTCCTAGCTGACAAAAATTGTAGTATATACTTCCCAAAATGCCGAAGGTTATGAGCAAGCGCAAGGCCAGCACCGTAGCGCCGGGTCAGGAGCGCAGCCTCACCGTCCTCGTCAAATCCCTCCGTAACCCGCCGTTAGACATCAAGCTCTCATCCCAGACGCCCAACACCTCTGTCTTAGACATAAAGACCGCCGTATCACAGGATACAGGTATACCTATCGAGAAGATGAAGCTGCTACACAAAAAGAAGCCGATCGCCGATAGCAAAGTGCTGAAGGACCTTGCGGGAGAGAGTGAGACAAGCATCGAGTTCTCCGTCATGGTTATGGGAGGGGCCGCAGCTATTAAGACAACAACTCCAGCGCAGTCTGACGTTGCGCAGGGTCAAAGCGGGAATGATGTATTAGATACCAAGGAATTTTGGGACGATCTTAGGGGATTCCTGTTACAACGAATACGAGACGAAAAGACAGCGGATGAACTAACAAACACTTTTCAAAGCGCGTGGAAGGCGAAGGCATAGATTTAGAAGATATAAGTAGAGAGCCAGCCACTCCGTATAATCAATAAGTTCAGCAGACCAAACCAGAATATCAGGGTATTGAGAGGCTGCGAAAATGATAATTAATAATGGCGTAGACATCTGACCAAAGAGCACAATAGGAACGATCTACATTCAAATATGACCTTTTGTGTTGTGCGGTGTATACCGATGGCTAACATCACAAGCTTGACAATTCATGTCTGCCCTCTAAGGAAAAATAAACAGCGACCAAAGCGGCCCTACTCCATCGTAATGGCAGGGAGAGAGTTTATGTCCATCCTGCAGTTTCGTAGACGTCGTGGATCCATGGCACGCGAGTGCCCCTCCTCAAGTAATGATCCTTAGCAACTTTGCCCCTAAGTTGCTCTCGGGCCTCGGGGGTTGGAGGCGCTTAACCGGCCAGACCCTTGCTGACCACCTTTAGTACTGTGTCGTATTCGATGTCGTCCTGGTCGTTGGCCTGTAGTTCGATGGCAATACCGGTGAGAGAACGCTTCAGGGCTTCCTTCGACGAGGCGTACACCATCTTGGCCTTTAAGGGGGTTAGCATTATATTACCGCAGGCAAGTTAAAAGGCTATTGTGTAAACTAACCATAACGTTGGCATCATCGGGCGACCATGCGATAAAGGTGATCTTGTTTCTATAGGATATTAGTATAACAAATATATTATATTGGACGAGGCTACCAACCGCGAGCCTTCTCCACTAGCGAGGTTGTACTCGAAGTCGTAGACAGCGTATCGAGGTCCCTTGCTTACAGCGCCCTAGATATAAATAATTAGAATAGAATCCAGAAACGTAGTGCTACTAGCATAAGCATAATACTTACACTCTTGGTCTTGGTGGTGGCGTTGAGGAGCTTCTCACGGAAGGTCTCCCAGTCCTTATCCTCGAAGCCTCCTCGACGATGATCTCTCGGTTGTTGTCCGACAGCTTGAAGATGATATACTTGTGCTTCTTAGCAAGCTTAAGGTCGTTGTACGCAGTAATGCACTCTTGCGAGACTGTCGCTCTAGATAGCCATGGATATTAGCTCGTATTCTCTTCTTATTCTTCAGACGCGCCGGAAAGAGCGGTGCACCGTGAAAGCGCATAATGACGCGCGGATAGGGGGGTTGCCGACAAGAGACAGGAATAGGACGACGGTTAACTGAAAGGAGTCACGAACCCTGATTGAGACTACCGAAAATTAATATTAGCAGGCTTTCAAGGGTTGATTGGATTCAAGAACTCACCATTTTGGCGATATGCTTGAGCTACACCGGTACCAAATGAGATTCCGAAGACAAGCTACGATGTGGGTTGGTTAGCGGGGTTCAAGAAAGGTGCCTACAAAAGGGTCAGGATGGCCAGGAGGTGCAGGAGGTGCAGGAGGTATAAGTGAATTTAGAGTGAATGATGTAAGGTTAAATCTGCAACTAACATGAATCGCTGAATGTGGCTATCCACCAAGGAGGGTCTCGTGGTTCAAGTTTGCAGATAAATGCGATGGATGTTTAGGAGGACAACAATAGAAAGAAGAGTCGGGAGAGATGTAAGTAGTGTTTTTAGTGTGGGCCCTATCGCAATGGAGGGGAAGGTCGGGCTGATGAAAAGAGGCACGCACGATGAACAGAGAAATCAACACACAAAGCCTTGGTGGGGTCAAATGTTGTTTGGGAGGGGATTAGGGGGGTTAAGGGGGGCAGTTGGAACAGGGGTTTTCAGTGGAGGAGGGTGGGCAGTTGGCAATGAGATAAATACATAACGCCCTGAACGCTTGCTTGCTATAGGCTACATACCTCTTACCTAACGTACAACTACATAACATTTTAGTACACTTCAAAAAAAAAAATACACTTGTTCTTGGCGGTAACTGGGTCGACCATTAACTTATCCCGTTACCAAATTTCATAATAAACTACACGTGACTCCTTTAATTTCTTGGAATTGGGCTACCTATTTCAGGGGTTGCTACCTACTACATACATCCAATATGTATGTACCTACCTACGTATTGTCACTGCCTTGCTACCTTTAATAAGGACGGCCGAGCCACATGGGATTCGTCATCGCGTATCACCATATATGTCATCTCAATTTCTAGGCAGAACATGAGATAATTACAAATTTTGGTGCCTAAAGAGAGAAAAAAAAAAGGGGGGGAGCAAATATTTATCATCAGATCAATTATGATCACCTACACTAAATGTAGGTAGATTGGCATTTCGTAGTTCGTAGCTCTAATATACAACTCTCATAACGCCGCTCGGGATATCAAGATGTGAATAATGCACAGGGGGGGAGAGGTAAAGGTAGAGGGGAGATAGAGGAAGACATGACAAGAGCCAACATTAACCGGACCGCATAACACCGAGGTCAATGCTCCCAACCCAAACTTTTGATACATGACAGGATAAAGGTTCATTCATAAACATGAACTCATTACATCATTCCTCCCATGCCACCCATTCCTCCCATACCGCCCATGCCGCCCATACCACCAGGAGCAGGCTTATCCTCGGGTGCCTCGACAATAGCAACTTCGGTTGTGCCTAGTAACGATGCGACGCCACTAGCATCAACCAGACCAGTTCGGACAACCTTGAGCGGGTCAAGGATACCTGCCTGGATCATGTCCACGTACTCACCCTTGGCGCTGTCGAAGCCCTTGTTGAAGTCGCTACCGAACTCATCCATAAGCTTACCAACGACCACGGAGCCCTCAAGACCAGCGTTCTCCACGATCGTCCTGGCTGGTCGAGTAATCGCGTTCTTGACGATGCTAACACCAAGTTGCTGATCGAAGTTTCCAGTCTTAATATCCTTCAAGGCATTGCTGGCAGCCTTGAGGAGAGCAGTACCACCACCGGGAAGAATACCCTCCTCAACAGCAGCTCGGGTAGCGTTAAGAGCATCGACGAAGCGGTCCTTCTTCTCGCCGACCTCGACCTCGGAAGAACCACCGACCTTGATGACGGCAACACCACCCGAGAGCTTAGCAAGTCGCTCCTGAAGCTTCTCTTTCTCGTGAGTATCGGTAGTAGGATCGCTCATGACACCACGGATCTGCTCACATCGTTGAGCAATCGAGTCCTTGGTGCCCTCTCCATTGAGGATGATAGTATCCTCCTTAGTGATGGTGATGGAACCAGTGGAACCAAGCATGTCAGGGGTGGCCTTCTCGAGCTTGATATCGAGCTCATCAGTGAAAACGGTACCGTTGGTGAGGACAGCGATATCGCCGAGGATCGACTTTCGGTTGTCACCGAAGCCGGGAGCCTTGACGGCAGCAACCTGGAGCTGGCCACGGAGCTTGTTCAAGATGCAGACAGCTAGGGCTTCACCATCGATATCCTCGGCAATGATGACAAGAGGTCGTCGCAGCTGGGTAGAGGCTTCAAGAGCGGGTATGATATCTTGTACGGCAGAGATCTTCTTCTCAGAAAGGAGAATGAGGGGCTTCTCAAACTCGACCTTCTGTGCTTTGGCATCTGTGATGAAGTAAGGCGAAACGTAGCCACGGTCGAATCGCATACCCTCGGTGACTTCCAACTCGTCGTTCATTGTCTTTCCCTCCTTGACGGTAATAACACCCTCCTTGCCAACTTTCTCCATGGCATTGGCAATCAGCTTGCCAATGTGGGTATCTCCGTTGGCGCTAATGGTGGCAACTTGAGCGACTTCTTCGCTAGTCGTGATATCCCTCTTGTTCTTCTGGAGGTATTCAACAACAGCGTCGACAGCGGCTTGGGTACCCCGCCGCAGATCCATGGGGTTGCAGCCAGCAGCGACATTCTTAACAGTTTCCGAGAAGATAGCGCGAGCTAGAACAGTCGCGCTTGTGGTTCCGTCACCGGCAGATTCGTTTGTCTTGGATGCGACATCTTGTAATAACTTAGCGCCGAGGTTCTCGAACTTGTCTTGTAAGCTGATAGCTCTTGCGACAGTAACACCATCTATAGTCTCCAGTCAGTAACTCGGCCGAATTGAAGGAAGAATAAAGTCCTATACATACCCTTTGTGATCTTAGGGGAACCATAGCTTGACTCGATTATAACATTTCGACCCTTAGGGCCGAGTGTAGTGGCAACAGCTTTGGCGAGGGTTTCGACACCGGCAAGAAGGGAAGCCCGGCCCTCGACGCCAAACTTGAGCTCCTATATGATATATGTTAGTAATCCGCACAATATATTCTATAATAGAACTAAGTCTGTTTGATTTTAAGGCTCATAGAAGGGTATTACCAACCTTGTGTGCGAATCGAAGCTGCTGTGAAAGCCCTGCACCAACTCGGTACTTAGTGGCAGCCGAAGATAGGACCGAGGCCCTCGCTCGGGATGATAGAGCGCGCTGCATTGTGACTGTGGGATACACAAATTAAGTAAGGTAAAGGCAAAAAATAAAATGCCACCACAAAGATCACGGCGTAATAGAGGGAAGGAGAAGAGAGGCTCGCCGGTGTTGTTGAAATGTAGGCGTTGAAGAATTGAGTTTTGAGACTCCGGGGAAGAAAAGCTTCAAAAAATTTAATCCAATCCAATGACGGAGGAACCGGCCAGAAGCCGAAGCTGTTCCGCGCTAACCCGAATAAGTATAGCTGTACCACAAGTCCGTTCGACCAACGGCTTCATGGAAATTCATAGAATATGATTTGTTGCAATTCTAGACTTTTATGTTGTGACCGGCTTTAGTATTACAAAATTTACTTTTTAAAAATAATTAACTTTACCTACCCTTATGTTTTACATGTTGTAGAGGATATCGTAAATCAATTACAGCTACAACCGCATATTGAAGGAGGGGTTATTAAGTGAGGGGGAATTACATATGAGGTACCTACAAGGTAGATTCAACATGAGCTAAGCTTGTAAAACAGGTTGACAAGTATGTATATCTGTACCATAAACAGAGTTCAAAATACAACTATATTTGTAAGCACTTGCTTTTGAAAAGAACGTGTAATTGAAAATATGTGAGATACGGACAATTGCGGTGTTAGGAGCTATTACCGTCCGTAACCTAAGTATAAAAAGAATCAACGAGTAGGTGATTAATTAAGTTTCTTCAATCACTCATCCTCCCCTCTAACTCCCCAGGCATCATGGCAACTATCGCAAAAACAATTGTGGCTACGGGCGCTACTTCAGGCTTGGTAGGCAGTAATTCATCATGACATCTACAGACTCATCCTAACCTCTTGTGTTATATAGGGATTCGAATTAGTTAAGCAACTTCTTGCACAAACGCAGCCATACAAATTCATTCTCGGAGCCAGGGACACGAAAACAGCCCAAGCCACATTCGATAGACTCGAATATGACAACAGCAAACACAGCTTAACTATCTTCCCGTTAGAGCTGTCGAATCTCAAAACCGTCAAGACTTTCTCACAGCAAGCCTTGGATAAAGTTGGACAAGACAAGATTGACTACTTGATGCTCAATGCAGCAATTAGCAAGAATTCTGAGCAACCCGGTCCGCATGGTTCTAAATGGAGTGAGCCCTATATTGTGAACCACCTGTGTAAGAATTTACCTTTTTTCGTTCTTTTTACAAGTCGACAATTTATGCTAATGAGGACTCTAGCCCAACACTACCTCATTCATCTACTTCGAGAGAAGTTAGAAGCATCGAAGTCGCGCATCGTAGTCATCTCCTCCGGTGCCGTTTGCCTCGTAAAAGACCCTAGTATGTTAAGCTCGCTACCCTCTTAATCCGGGATACTAATCTTATATCACGCGTAGAATTTCTTGAGCATGATCTCACGGGTGGTTCGAAGACGGACCGTAGTGTATACGGTGCTACAAAGTTCGTTCAGCTACTAGGAGCCCACTGGTGGCGCCGTCAACTTCAAGGCAAATGCCACGTCGTCGCTGTGTCGCCCGGCTTAGTACCTGGTACCGGCCTCATAAGGGGCAGTGATCAATTCAAACTTCCCATAAACCATCCAGATGCAAAGAGCGTTCCAGAAGGTATGTTTAATCCATAACTCTCAGAATCCAGGGGTCGCACCTAACTTACACTACCGACAGGCGCCCAAAGTATGTACCGTGCATTTATAAGGGACGACTTCCCGGAAGACCCCGACCAGATCTTCTTGACGAGCTGGGGTGAATGGTGGCCTAAGGATGTCTATGGACTCACTCTTGACAAAGACCTCCAGGATAAATGGTCTCCTAGTAAAGACGAGATTGAGAAGGAAGAGGGTCTGACCGCCTAACTTAACTTGATTGTAGGTCTAAGATTATATAATCTCATGAACAATCCTGTGAAATGGAAAATCAAATCTAATATTATTAAGAATCAGTGGGTATCTACGGCTCTATACTATCCCGCAATAACTGTCTTGTCTGCTCAATGTATTTTCGCAATGCAGTAACACCCCCTTTCCCGAGATCGGGCTTACACACAAGTTCTTCCTTGCATAATACCACTTTCAAGAGCTTGAAGAATTCCGGTTCACTCAATAGACCATTGTGGTTGGTCCCATATCTGTTAAGTCGAAATTCTTGCGGTATTCCAAGCAGATTTTCCATCTTGTCGAACAGGTTAATGACGACCTGAATAAACATCGTGGCTTGTAGGTTGCCGGATTCTGCAGGAAAGTTAGTACTGTCGTGGTATACAGGGTCGGGCACTTAATGCCCGGGTATCAGAAAGAAGCTACATACGAAGTGAGAAAGTACCAAAGTCTATCCCAGGTAGTTCACATAGCGAAGGGACGTCTCTTTAGATATCTCTAGAAGGGCCTCGTAGCAATGCGTGAAAATGATGAGGAAGAGCTGTGTAATGTGGATATAGGATAGAGAATATGCATGAGTGTTGCTGAATCGATACAGCGTCTGGGCCTATTTCCTATTGTAGACACAAGCGATGGGGTGGCTAGTGTCCGGCCATATTCGGAAGAGTGTGGAGAACTGTGACCCCTACTTGAGCCGCTTATGTTGCTACCAGGTCCGGATTCCGGCGTCCTCGGAGAAGAACCATGCGATGTTATTGCTGCCGGTGACCGATTTGCGTCTGATAACGTACGTATGACATCTACGAACTCGCGGCTACTGCCAAGTACACTATGGACTTGAGACCCGGAAAAATCGTCTGTTTGATCAATGGGCGCGACAAGTGTGTCGAGACTTATCTCGGGAGACCCTCGCCCAATCTGGTCTAGAAGTTTAACCAAGTCGTGGTTTATTTTAGCAAGCCGTTGTGTATCGCTCTCGGAGATTCCACGGCCAACTTCGACAACCGAATCCTGAGTCGTGACGATGCCTTCCGGAGAAGCCGACGCAGTGTTATCAATGCTGGTCCCCTGGCTCTGTAAAGATAGCGCCCCAGCCGGTGAGACTTGTGTCTGGAAAGTAGATAGGGGCATCATCTCTGGTTGATACTCCAAGGTAGGCAGATGGGCCTTATTGACGGTAAAATCGAAAGATGCGAAATTTCCGTCGAAGCCATCGCCAAACATAGATCCATAGACAGCAGGATCCCAAGGCCCAATAATGTCAGGAGGATAAGCTACTGTGTGTTGCGCATTACCGGAACTCTCAAAGAAGGTGGACATCGATGTATTAATTGTCTGGTTAACATTAGTAGCCGGAATGTTTTGCTGTTGGTCATTTTGTCGCGGCCGTATTTGTGTTCTAGAACTGACGCCTCCTATCCGACGGCGGGATCGGGATCGTATAGGCACATTCGGGGTAGTGGCGCATTGGGCATCTGCTCGCGTACATCGGTAGCAGCGCTGTTGTCCCGGATCCCGTAAACATCTTAGTTTATGTCCTTTGCACCGATCACAAGCGGATCTACGGATCGGAAGACCAGGGACGGTCGCTTGTACTCCTTGCATTTTGAATTGGAACTTTTTATCGTGAGTCCCGGGATTCTTGATGTGATGGGCATGAAAGCCGTTAATGTTACGGGTAAGAAATTCTCATGTTTACGAGCTGATATCTATTTCGTACCTTACATTTCAACAGCTGCGCCACACCAGAACTTCTTCGCATGCATAATAATTAGGGGCACCTATTCTATTTATAGACTATCAATGCTTGGACTTCCATGCACCCATTCATGTTGTTCTATGTATGTAAGCAATTGCTGTGTATTGAAAACCCTCGGCGTTAATTTCTGCGCAAAAGCGGTCTATTGGCGATATCTTATTTGAAAGACTTGACAGGTAGTGTTTTGATACTTCGCAAGTTACCTTAGGTATCTAATAATTGGTTAACCAACAGTTGCGTCAATAAAATGCATGTTTCGTATACGGAGACGTATTCGTATCTAAATGTAATTAAAATTGTCAAGACTCGGGCCATCCGAGGCAAAGAACTATGAAGTTTACATGCACAGGACCGTAAATGTGCATATGTGTAACTCTATTTCTCCGTGATGTCTCGGGAGGCTTTCGGGGCGGGGCGCCTAATAAACCTCTCCTTGATTTCAATTAGAGAATATTTGAGAAAAGGGGCCCCGTACAATAACCTTTCGCAACTCCGACAGTGTCCGGGCAAAAGATTCCCGGGGTGGACCAATTCATAATATCAACCCCTTGCAATTAATAGTGGGATGAGCCATAGAATCCAATCCTGAAGGATTAACAAGGTTAAAGTGCATAAGCTATTAAAACCGTTATTGACTAAGTATTTTTCAAGTATTACTTCATACAAATATATGTAAGAATATACTTTTGAAACTAGCTCTCAATAACTTCATAATAAGGAGTAAACGATACCGCGCGAAAACATCAACCAATGAAAACTCTCTCACATAGTTGTGAAGACAGCAACATGCACGATAGGTATAGGAAATACGCAGATCCCCTAAGTTTTAAAGGATTATGAGCTGAATCTGCGAAAATAAGAGAAGGTTATTATGCAATGAGTCACTCTATGTAATAAGGAGTCATAAACTACACCCCTGACACGAGGAACCAATAGCCCACAGATTGTTTAGTATATATAAGAGACCTCTATCTCCTCGAAATCAAGAACTCATATAGATAGTCACGATCACGACAATAAGATCAAATCATCCCTCATCATGTGTAGTCCCGCTCAGATCCCGTATCCGGATTTGCCCGGCGTACAATTTACTTCACTTAACGCCACCCTGGTGTCCAACCTCACAATCCAAGTTCCAGAGAGCACATACACGAACAATGGGGCTGTATATGCCGAAGGTATCAGCTTCTGCAACCTCACGACTACCTACACGCATCCTGGAGAATCTGATACTGTCACTATTAGCATGTATCTCCCCACCGAGTGGAATGGCAGGATGCAAGGTATTGGCGGAGGGGGTTATTCCGCCGGAGGTGTTAACTTTATACTTAGCTATTACTCTATGCTCGGTGCTGTGTCAGATGGATACTCCGCCGTGACCACTAACGCCGGCCATGCTGCGTTAAGCCCGGATGACTGGATATTGAAGAGTCCCGGACATGTCGACCTCCACCTTCTCGAAGAGTTTGGCTCCACCTCGCTCAACGAATTGTCTATTATCGGCAAGGCAATTACGGAGAGCTACTACGGCAAGCCACCAGCATATTCCTATTGGAGCGGATGCTCACAAGGCGGGCGACAAGGATTTAAGATTGCCGAGAAATACCCTACCAGCATTTGATGGAATAGTTGCCTCGGCTCCAGCAGTTGATCTCGCTGGGTTGGGAGTGGGTGATCATTGGCCCCAGGTTGTCATGAAGGCCATGGGCCAGTACCCGAAGAATTGCGAGCTTGCTGCGATCACGGAAGCCTTTATCAAGCACTGCGATGGCGATGACGGATTACTTGACGGAATCGTCACTGATCCGGATTCCTGCGACTTTGATCCACATTCTGTGGTGAACAAATCTATTGATTGTCAGGATACCGACTCTGGAACTGTGAAGATATCAGAAGCTGCTATCAACGTTGCGATCGCGACGTGGACTGGCGCTCAAAAATCGGATGGCTCATTCCTTTGGTGGGGAGTCAAAAAGGGGTCCAGTCTAGTAGACGGGGATACCAAATTGGGAGTCAGTCCAGGACTTGCGACAACTACATGCTCAGGGAATGGTACCTGTACAGGGCACACGATGGAGATTGTCGACGCATGGATACGACTTCTGATTAAGAAAGACCCTACTTTCGACGTCACGACAGTCACAATCGAAGAATTTCAGGATTTATTTCAACAATCGCTAGATGAGTACGGATCGATCATTAACGTGAAGCCTAACCTGGACGCCTTCCGAGACAGGTGGGAAGCTACTATCATACCACGGTCTAGCCGATGCTATCCTCCCCACGGACTCTTCGTCAAGCTTCTATAAAAGTGTTGCAGCCCACGACGAGAAAATACACGATTATTATCGCCTTTTGAAGCACCAGGGCTTGCTCACTGTTTGGCAGGTGATGGATACTATCCTGCTGGAATTTTCAAGTCCCTCGTCTCATGGGTTGAATCCGGTGTCGCCCCTGACAGTCTCGTTGCAGCGACTTCTGCGGAAATTGGTCCTGTTCGTGAGAGTATTTTGTGTCCTTATCCTCAGAAGGCACACTACAAGGGTACGAGTTCAAACGCTACAGCTGATGATTTCTATTGTGGTAATTAAGGAGCGATCGAAGAGTCTGTGCTGAAGACAGCATACATCAGGGGTTCCTTCTGACAAAAGAAGATCAGACTTTATATAGTTGTCTATTACACAATTTAAGCTAAGGCCTTACCTAAGTTAATTATAAAAGTTGAAGATTACTTTGGGGCGCCTGTTCTAGGTATTTGTCAGATACCCCTTGATGATTGTCACACGTAGAGTAGAAACAGCAGCAAAACTGATATGTACATAATAGCTGTGTAATAATATAAATCTATTGACGCTTAACTTTTTACTCTTGTTCGAAAGCGTTGTAACGCCTTTTATATATTTATTTCATATATGTCCATATCTAATTCATTCTAGTACCATTTATACCCTGACAGAAGAAACCACTGCTAGCCCTATTGCAATACCTCCTCTAGCTCTTTTGCCTTCAGTTTTCGACATCAGCCCTTCCACAACATAACGCAGCTCGCGCCACAGCATCGGTTTTGCGAAGCAAGGCAGAATTCGCGTCTGGTTTAGCTGTAGCTGCGGTGATCCAATGCACACCCTCCGTTGGGATCCCAAGAGCAAACCGTCGCTTATGCGCTCGACCCTGGGAATCGATTAAATTGTACGGGCTCCGTGTGACATCTAGTCCCCCTGTTTCATAGCCGTCTATGGTGTGGGGTCGGCATTGGCCCTTTTGCAGAAGACTTGTAAGGAGCTTATCAGCCGTGTGCTTGAGATTCGGTCGAGGTAGACGTGCTTCTATAAGAGTCGTTACGCGGACTGTCAGGTCTAACACCTTAGGGCTTTGGGCAAGCCACGCCCCATCTTCCTCCCGAACACTTAGTTCCGGGCCAAGGACGACTAACACTCCCGCCTCTATTAGCGCGATCATCTCTTGAATACGCTGTCGAGGCGGGCCTATAGAGAGGAAGGCGTTAAGGGGTGTATACCACTTGTCCAGGTGGTTGCGGTGTGAGTGCCCCGACAATCCGTTATGATCTATAATTTCTCGCAGATCGTTACGCAGATCTCGCATCACATTCAACGCCGCTTTTAACGGTCCGTGTACATTCCCGAGTATAGCCTCCTCGACATCTGAGCGCAGATATGCGATCAGCCAGGACTCCCACTCAAACGCCGTGAAATTGCGCCCACCCTGTGGCTGTGAGAGGCGATCCCAGGACCAGCGTTTGTTGGTAGGGACGTTAAAATCGTCAAGGACTTGGGCCTTGATTTTGTAGGCTTGGGCATCTGTATGAGTCTTTTCTTGTTGTGCAGCAAGAAACCGATTGTGAAATTCGGTATTCTCCTGGCCCACTAAGCATTCGTAGTAGGCTAGTTCAACTTCCTTAGAGATCAGCGGCCATATATCGTTCATAAAGTCCAGAGGGTTACTAGCGTCAACGCGTTTACGAAAGAGCGCAACAATATCACTTGTAAGATGGACTGGAATTCGGCGACCGGAAACGCCCTTCGGTTTATCTCCGCGGGCGTGGTACGGAATACCTCGTCGAGAGCCTGCGTATAGAAGGGGCTCGTAGCCCGAGCGGATGTACCGTAGGCCGTATTCAGTAGTTTCGAATTTACCCCCACGGCCCGTTGTTAATAATGATAAATAGTCAAAGAAACAGAGGCCGAGACCGCGTAAGAGAACTTGTTCATCCGGATTTATTGGGGAAAGATTAACGTCAGCTGGGCTAGAAGGCCTAAAGTAATGCAAGCCGTGCTGCTCGGCGTACGTGACTAGGCTTTGCTCGGAAGGGCTTGGAAGCAATGGTAGATGACCTAGGGCTAGGATTATAGCAGAGAGTCCGGATATTGTCTGGCCGTTAGATAGGGTAAGAGTCTGAAGGCCAGAAGGCTCATCGTCGAGGGAAAGAGCAATTGCGGTGTGCACTTGGACGTTAACATTTGTTGGGACTCCCTCTAGTATTTTGCCAAAGAACCAGGCTAGATAGCAACCGTGCTGAGACCGTGTTAGATAGTCGTCAGGATTTATTTCCATGTTATTCTGGCTAGACCATTCGTACAAGTTTGGACCCGGTCGTATCGGCCCTGAGCATGTTACCGTCTCATCAGTGAACAGAGTCACCTGGCATGCTGGGGTATTCATCAGCAGGTTAGGCGGTTGGTCGGTGCGCCATACACGGCCCGGCCCTGGCGGCCACGGATCAATGACATGGACTGTTAGCTGTGCGTCTGTCAGGTTTGACGTGTGTAACTCCGGTGCAGACGCAAGGAGGCGTTCAAGGGTGCTGATCCCGCGTGGCCCACTGCCGACAATAGCAATTTGAATATGATTTGCACTGGTAACGTTTGCGATGGGAGTATTCGTGACTTTGACTGCCTCAGAGGGGGGTGACGAAATAAAAGATTGCAGCCATGCGGGCAAGATGACTGCTTGAGGGTTTCCATGTGAAAGAGTAAAACGTACGAAATCGACTGAAGCCATTTTGAGGATCCAGGTGAATGTTCTACCTTCCTATAGTCTGCTTGAAAGGATATAGAACTTATGAGAATGATTTATTTCTTCGATAGTAGAAGTGATATTAGTATTAAGTATTTATAGGCGTCTATAATGAATAAAGGATAGCTATCTAGGTAGCTAGGTAATCTCCCCCGACAGCGGCAATATGTCCATTTTGTGGGCTTGTCTCTATTCAGACTTATCTTACTGGAGGCAACCCCCGGGGTTGTACAATAGCTCGAGTGCCTAAAGTTTACCTAAGGTTTACCTTACGATATTGTGTCAAATGCGAGTAAAAATTTCCTATTTGGGATATATCCCTTTATATCCCTTGCTCTCTTATGCAAAACGTTTCCCGCCTTACACGATTATGTTTTGATATGTGTATCTGTGCGTATTCAACGCCGTGGATGGCCTCGCTGAACCTGTAAAGCCACTAGCGTCTAACATTAAGAGGCATGTCATCATTTCAGCCCTTCTAACATTGATCGTTATATGGCGGTCTTTCAGATCCTATTGGTAAAATAACATTGTGCGGTGTAGACCTTGGGCTTTTGTGTTACCCGGGGAGTAATCTCTAGTAGGATATTATGCCATACAATATTTTTTTTCGGGACATGCTTTATTACATTATGCAACTTTTTCTTTCTTCACAGGAATTAGTAAAAAATAAAAGAAATTGACCAGAAAAGAGGCAAAATCTTGTCTATTTATAAATAATTAAGGCGTAAATTTAGGAACAGATTTACCAATAACGGGTTTATATAAAATGCGTATAGTGCCTTCGTTAAAGGGTATGAAATGGTAAAGGGCAAGCATTTATAGTTTAATCTATCCTCATATTTAATAATGGCACAATACCCAATATAGTAAGTTCGGTAAGTCAAGTTAAATAATCGTATAGATTTGACCGCTTCCAAGTTAAACTGGCCTGAATGCCTTCATAAAGCCACAACTTTAACCACGTCAGCTTTAAATACACCAATCACAAAGCCTTAAAAGTATACCAAATTTTTTTAAGATTTACTCAAGCCAGGATAAGTTAGGTCTAAGTCAGGTCAAGCTATTATTTGACTGATCAAGCTTACTGACCCGACAAATACCAATGGTGCGGTGTAAACCTTAGGCAACTCTTTATATTTCCCGGGAAGTGCCCTCCAATTTAGTTGTACACGTACTAGATACTGCCCATTTAGCTATTTTCCTATTTAAGCTATAGAAAAAATTCGACACATAAGGGCTGTAAGGTGATCATGTGCCGTTGATGACGGGAGGGCGGTCGGCGGTCGGCGCGTTACGCGCGTTAAGCGTTAAGTGTTTTTCCGGTAGTGAGGACGCAATATATCGGTAATAGCCGCACTTAATGTGGGATGAACCAAGAGTAAGTACCTGTCATCATTGTTGTATGTTTAAACGTATATATATGATTTCCATTAGTTGAAACTGGGATATTAAAATCTTTTACAATACAATATGACATTATCTTATAATTCCATAGTACCTACTTATATGCTTTGAGTTTACGAAGGGCTTATTGTGTCAAATTTTGCTCGAGTGCCCGAGTTTACGAGACTTTTTCACGATATAAGTTCGTTTATGCGCAGCTTTTAAGCGTTTTGATTCGGTGCATCTTCTAAAATAACTGGTCTTACTAGATCCCCCACTTTCGTCTTTTCTCAGAATACGTATCCTTTTTTACAAAAGCCTAGGTTTAAATAATTTTAGGAAAAGTTGTATATTCAAGGTTCTTGTTGGTTTGGAGACGGCGCGCAACGCCGTCTCCGGCAATGATACATGATTAATGACTATATTTATAACTTTTCATGTTTAAAACCTCCGTAAACTCGGGCTATTGTGGCGCACCGCAAGGATGCCCTTATGTTGGATCTTTAAAAATTACTATACTATGTATATGTATATTTAAATATGAGGCTGCTTAATAAAAGGGCGTGCATCTTAGAGATTGGATATTTTATTAAATTTGGCAAAGTTGGCATTGGTAAAATTGTATGGGAATACATGTACCTCCCATGTGACTCCCATTATTGGCTGGATGATGTGGCTACTGCTGATATATTACGCCACCCTATTGCCGATTTAATGTTGCTCTTTTAAATGTACATGTTACATTTTAACTACCCTTAACCTAAACAACTTATAAAAGCAATGAAGATGACAATGATGGAGGAAAAATTTAAACACGTTCCGTGACGGCACAAACCGAGTGGCTAACTCCACTTGTCTCCGATAGCACCCACTCTTTCCTCCCGGGTGCCCGAGATGCCGCTCCCGTGTCACTTACCGCATATAGAAGGTGACACACCTAGCGTAGACTGGAGGGCACCCCAGAGGGCTGCCACAATAGCCCGAGTTTACAGAGGTTATATAGTTAAATATATTGAATATTTTGAAAAAGGACTCGGCACCCAAGAAAAGGGCTCGGCACCCTGACCTTGATACCCTCACTCTCGATACCCTCATCTTTGATACCCTCATCCTTGATACCCTCACCCACCCAAAAGGAAGACTCGGCACCCAAGAGAAGGGCTCGGCACCCTGACCTCGATATACTCACCTTTGATACCCTTACCCACGGCTCGGTACCCAAAAGGAGAACTTGTCACCCAGGAAAAGGGCCCGAAGCCCTTACCTATAACACCCTCGAAACCCTCACCCTTAATACCCTCACCCACCCAAAAGGAGGACTCGACACCCAGGGATTCGGGAGCAAAAAGATACGTATTTTAAGAAAAAGATGAAAGTGGAGACTTTGGAAAATTCCACTTATTTTAGGGATGCACCCAATAAAAATGCCTAAAATTCGCGCACAGACGAACTTCCTACTTCGTAAACCAGACCCTAAGACAATAACTGGACTGGACTGGAGGGCACCCCAGAGGGCTGCCACAATAGCCCGAGTTTACAGAGGTTATATAGTTAAATATATTGAATATTTTGAAAGAGGACTCGGCACCCAAGAAAAGGGCTCGGCACCCTGACCTCGATATCCTCACCCTCGATACCCTCACCCACGGCTCGGCACCCAAAAGGAGAACTTGTCACCCAGGAAAAGGGCTCGGCACCCTCAGCACCCAGGAAAAGGGCCCGAAGCCCTTACCTATAACACCCTCGAAACACTCACTCAATACCCTCACCCTCAATACCCTCACCCTCAATCCCTCACCCTCAATACCCTCACCCTCAATACCCTCACCCTCAATACCCTCACCCTCAATACCCTCACTCTCAATACCCTCACCCTCAATACCCTCACCCACCCAAAAGGTGGACTCGGCACCCAAAAGAAGGGCTCGGCACCCAGGGATTCGGAAGGAAAAAGATACGTATTTTAAGAAAAAGATTGAAGTGGGGACTTTGGAAAATTCCACTTATTTTAGGGATGCACCCAATAAAAATGCCTAAAATTCGCGCACAGACGAACTTCCTACTTCGTAAACCAGACCCTAAGACAATATCCCTCGTAAACTCGGGCAGTTCGCGAGAGGTACGTACCTAGAGCTAACCTTACTACCATGATCTTATCACCGAATCTATTATTGATAACTAGACTTTCCAGACAATAGTTTTGCATAGTTAGTGTTACTTGTAGCAGTATTATTGACATCACATGCAAGCTCCTGTTCCCACTAGACAGACGAGTTTCAAAGTCTAGTGAACACGGGTTTCGCGAGGGCGACAGCGACACCTTGGCATTTTTTTGGACCTGCCTTGCTGGGGATGGGACTGGTGGCTTTTTTGCGGCCTCCTCTCCCTCCCAGGAGATCTATGGCGCGTTGCAGATCCCACGTGCCCCACAAGATTGGCTGTGAAGTGTGGCTGATCTTACAGGGACGGCGGGGACTAGAGGCTGGGCATCCAGTTCAGTCCCAGTTTTACCGTTTCATTGCTCGGTATAGCTTCTTGTCAAGGGTTGTGATTGGCTGCTAAGTGAATTATAAAAGTCCGGGGAATGTCAGGGTCGATAGCTAACGGGAGACTTTCTTAATGCGGCTCGTGTTAATGCAAGAAAAGATTTAAATGAGCCTTTGGCCCCATGTTTGTTAATCAGATGGAAATCTTCAGTCGTTCATTAATTAATTAAACCATCATCACAAAATGCGTGCCCAACTTTGTCATCCGTATTGCTGGCCCTGGGCGCCAACGGCATACGTATCCTCCAGTCAAACGACGATGGTTGGGCAGAGCAGTATATTCGGGTCCTGAACGACGAACTCAACAACGCTGGCCACGATGTATTCTGTCAGCACCAGCTGAAAATAAGTCTGGTACAGGTAAGCTCCCATAAGAACTTAATCTGGTTAACTAGGGCGTTGCTAAAGAGATGAACTAGGATCTTCTGACACGGAACCATCCCCACGTACTCAGCCCTGTGAGTTCAACAGCTGCCCTGCGGGCAGCGGCACCGTGGGTAATAATGCGACGAACCCACGATTGAACGGGGTAAATTCGTTTCCGGTAACTTCCGCTCGCTTTGGAGTCGAAAAGTTTGCTCCTCATATGGAACGGACAAGCCCCTGAGCTCGTGGTCTCTGGGCCGCCGAACGTGGGAAGCAACCTGTTTCTAGAAGTGCCCTTCTCTGGGACTGTTGGCATAGCCACCTACGCGACTCACGACGTCGGCATCCGGCCAATCGCCTTCTCTGGCGATTCCTCCGGCAGACTTGCGTTTCGACGCTCCTGTAGAGACGCGAAGCGCCGTGTATGCGAAAACTGGCCACGCAGTTCACGAATGCGTTAATCGCCTCTGGTGTGCGTACCTCCCCGAAGACGTGTGTCCTGAACGTCAACTTCCCCAAGGTCGAGGGAGACTGCACACCCGGCCAAATTCACGTGGTGCTGAGCCGTATCAACCCCGGTGTATTCTCCGAGCGCGATGTCGAGACCTGCGGTACCGACAGATTACCGACGGAGGCAAGCGTGATCAATGCTGATGGCTGTCATATTTCCGTCAGCGTTGGAGACTCGACGGATAAGACGACCGCATCAGCTGATAAGCAGGCCGTTGTATTACGAAGTTGGGTAGCCTCCTGAGTTGCTTGGAGTAATGATACTCTTGGCGGGGCCTGGGATCATATTCGCGTATATTTGCAATTTAGCAAGCTATATTTCTGGAAATCGACAATTAATGTATATAGTTGCTTATCTGAGTTCTGTCTTGGCTTCCGAGCCCTGTGTGTAGTATATGTTTTTGTATATTTGTCTTAAGGGAAACTCAAGGTTAGAACCTGCTTTTTACCGAACGCGTTTGTCTTCTAGGATTTTATAAGGTCGATAGATCGCGAGTGTCTGGTCTTCCAGGGGTAGAGGCGTACATAAATTCGTGAGGGAAGGAGGGATCTTAGAAGAAATAGGATTGATATTGTGAATAGTAGTGTCGGCGAAGGCTTTTACATGCGCAAGATCTCGTACCGTGTCTATGAGGACTCGTTAGCATATTAATCTCCAAATATTCCGATAGTCCATAGTGTAACTTACCATATTCTAGACTGGGTAATTTGGACTAGAAATACTTACCAACTACAAGACATGAATGTGATGTCGGCATTTCAATACATTCTAGACTAGGACCAGACGTCGGTCTCCCTACCAGACTCCGTATCGTTTCCCGTATATCTAGGAGAATTAGAGGCCCGACTATAAGGAGTCTACGCAATATACTATCTTCGCTCCCTAGACGCCGGAGCTTGTCTTCGTCCTTCAGAATGTTCAATCCATCGCGATTTGTCTCTTAAATATTCTTATTGGGAAGCGATGCTACTTTCAAACATATGGAGCGGCACGCGCCGGCTGTCGGGGTAATGTTGTACCATAGGAGGAGTAGAAACGGACGTGCTGAAAGTTAGCTATGCTTAGAGATGACGCGTTGCTTTAAGGGGAGACCAGGACAGCCTCTATAACCTCATTAGTATCGTGTTTTTCGTGGGAGAAGATACCAGGTAAAATGTCTCACCGTAGCTATGCACTTCTTCCAAATATTTCGAATGAAGGCAGCGAAACCGTACGCGTTATTCCTATATTAAATTAATAAGCTGTATGCTTTTGTGAACTAATAGAGGTCAGCACGACCATTCATAGCATCGTATAGATAGGCCACGATGTTACTCACGCAAAAAGAAAAAGGATTTTGTGATGTTTGTAAGAGACCCTAGTTCGCGTCAGCGATGCTCTTAGAGGTAACTAAAGACGTCTCACCCCCTTCCTAGCCATTCTAAGTGCACTGAGATTGATACCTAAAGGCACGGAACACAGGATAACTAGAGAGAATTAAAAACTACAATGCGCGAGGAACAAAAATTTTCCCCAAAAGCATCGCTTCGGATTGAGAACGTCAGTATCCCTTCCAAGTGTGCTTCATGAGGTATTTCGAGTAGCTTACTAATTTTAACAACCTCACTCAGCGTGACTGGGAGCGGACGGGTCCCCTAGTAACATTAGGAGTTGTCATAGACCGGCATTCAGCTTCGCATTGCACTATGATAGAACTTATGATGTATAGGGTCACATTTTTATTATAATCAGGTAGGATTGAAACAACAAGGAAACGTGAATCATAAATATGTCGAGTCTCCCTATGGAATACATGGGTACGGGTCGTAATATACAATATGCACTTAGAGTGAATCTATGATCATTGGAGGGTACTATTGACTTAGAGCTAAGATGTGGGAATGGAGTCAGAAGACCTACGACATAGGCATGAAGTTACTTCACTGGAGGCTCAAATTATATAAGTATTGGGGGGAGGGGTATTTATTGGGGGAAGAAATATATCTGTCTACTGCCAAAGTGCAGCATCATATATACCAGGAGTCATAGTTACTCCAAATTCCTTCCTCTGCCCAAAAGTTCATATCTACCAGTGTGTCCGATAGATCCATGCATCCCACTCCAGAACCCCCTGTCAACACCGAAACTATGCCGCAATTCCGACATATACAGATCCGCGATCGGGGCCCTCACCAAAGCATCTGTGGCAAGTTAGTAATCTGTGTTGAGGGTCATTGGATATAGTGATGAGAACTTACTCGCTATCAACAGGATAGAAAGTGAAGAAGTAGAGTATTAAGGCTGTCACGAAAATTTGTGACGGAAATATCCCTGATGACAATCTTGATGCGGGAGGCCAATAATACACTTAACGCTTTCGGAACAGCTTCTTGACAGAGTTGAAGAATTTCTTCACTCCTCGAGACTGCTGCTCAGCGCCTTGAGCAGCGCCGGTAGGCAAGGCAGTGCCAAGCTGAGCTTGAAGGGCCTGAATGACTGGACCAATGGCACCATGAAGAGCTTCAGGTAGCATCTGCTGGAGAGCCTCAGAAATCATGCGAGGAAGCATGTTGACAATAGTCTGGAGGAGACCAAGCTGAGTGTTGAGAGAGACAACATTGCCATTGGTTGAGTTCAGAAGGGTACCCATCGCATTGAGGTTGTTGCCAAGGGAGTGAACATGACCATCAATAGCATTGACGTGCTGACCGATTGCATTGAGATGCTCGATCTGTCCATTGACCGTCCGGAGCTGACCACCCATCTGCTGGACATGTCCACCAAGGTTGTTGACATTCTGGTCAAGAGGGCCAACAAAGTTGCTGAGGGCGAAGTCAATCATTCCAAACACCTCTTCAAGAACAGTCTCGACATTAACATCGTTGACTCCATGAGTTCCCTGGCCAGCCATCTCTCTGATGACACCTCGAATTCCGTTCAGGAGAGTAGCCATGCTCTGGCCGGTGAGGCTAGCAGCCTCGTCACCGGATCCATTGTTCATCGCATAAGTAACCGCATGCTTGACAATTTCGTAGAGCTTAGATTCGGCACTAACACCGCTCATCATGTTGGCAACATGAGCCTGGACGCGCTCCTGCTCAGTCTTCTCGGCTGCGACCTTATCACGAGCCCGAATGTCTTGAGTGATCTCAACAAGAAGCTGGACCACATGGCGCATCTGGTTCCACTCCTCAGGGGGAGCGGTACCGCGAAGAGCAGTGAGCTGGACAAAGCGAAAGTAATCGCTAGTGATGGCATGGACATCGTGACTAGCAGCGGTGGTGGCCGGGAAGAGGCCTTCAGCACGGGCGCGGTCTAGCGCAGCACCCATCGCAGTGATCTGGCTGAGGGTGTAGGTGGTAGTGACACCGTGACGCTGGATCGCCACCGTACCGCTCTGGGCAGTGTTGACGGCTAGATTTCATGTGTAAGCAGAGATGTTATAACTATAAGTGTGAAGGGACTGCAAAATATTACTTACCATTAGCCGTGGTGCCATTCTCCTGGTCGTGGCCCATTCCGATACCGGAATCGGGGGTTCGGGGAACCTCCTGGTCTCGCTTGTTATCTCCGCGAGGCCTGATGATTGAAGTTAGTTAGATGTCAATGCGAAAATGATAGAGTAGAAATAAGAAATGAAAATTAACTTACGACATTGTAACTGTTCTAGTAAATGAACAGGTAGGTCAAGGTGAGATAGAAGACTGATTGAATAGTCTATAATGATGGGTTAGTGTATGCGAATTGATGAAGGATGATGATTGATTGTATATGTTTATGTGTTGTGTATGTGTGTGATGAATGTAAGGAAGTAAGGTGGGGTGGGGTGGTTGAGTGATTGAAAAATATTGGCGGTGATTAATTTTGCCAAAGGTGATGTTTGATGATGGAAGATAATTTGTAAATGGGAAAAGGTAGATGGGAAGGGTAGAAGGTAGAAGGTAGAAGGTAGAGGGTAGAGGAAAGGTTGCTGAGGTAGGAAAGGTAGTGAGGTAAGTGAAGGATAAAAGTGGGGATGTTTGTGCACTTACCAGAGGGTGGATGTGCGAAAGGTTGGTGGGGGACGTGTGAATTGAAGTTGAGAAGAATTGTAGAAAAATGGTGAAGAGGGTAGATATGGTGGGGGTAGGGTTGGGTTGTGTAGAAGAAAGTGATGGGTAACTGGGGAGACTGGGGAGAGTGGAGGGAAGTTTGACTTACCGTTGTCTGTGAGACGAACCAGTGACTGGACTTGACAATCTTGAAGAAGACTTGTCAAGATAGTGAAGGTTGGAAAGCCGAGGCTTGATAGTCAAGGCTGATAGTAAAGATAGATGGTTAAGGTTGGTAGTGAAGATAGATATTGAAGAAGGATGTTGAAGGTTGATAGTGAAGGCTTGGTAGTGAAGGCTTCAGAGTAGAGTGAAGTGTGTTGAGTGAAGGAAGAAAAAAGTTAGGAATGGTAGAGGAACTGGTCTGGTATTTATATGTCTCCAGAGCAGGCTGATTGAACGAATTGTGGGGTTGGAAAAGGATGTACAGTCAGTTGTACTTGAGGAGGTTGGAAAGGATGATACTAAGGTTGAAAGAGCTGTGACAAACCTACCAATACAGACCCACTTGGCAGGAGAGAACTGATTGATACAGTAGATTGTTATCACAACTGGTGGGGCGGTAACTAGAAGAGTTGTTGGGTTGCTGTGATGTGGAAGAAGATTATGTTTCAGAAGGCTGGTGGAGGCAAAAAATATATCACTAAGGAGACGGCAGATTCGAGGCGGTGTGGGGCCGGGTGATTGCAATCAAATGAATCACTTAGGTTATTAGAAAAATCTATTTATGGCAGCTGCATCAGTCTGTAATTCCGGCCTGTTTGCTCTATCAACCGCCAGATCGAGAAGAAGCTTTGACCTGAATCCAACCGGCAACCTGATCTCGCACCTGCAACCGTACCTATGTACCTAACTAATTAGGATCATCTTGCCTATCAAGGTGCATATGATGATTTGATTCTTGACTGATTATAGAAGATCAAACATCTGAGCTGGGGTACGTACACATGAACGTACCTCGGGCTCTTGACATGCCTCAACAATATGACTTGAACAATATGACTTGATGTTTTACCAAGGGTGTATTACTCATAGCCAATCGATTCAACAAATCACTAGAATCAATATAAAATACTTAGGTACTTGTAAGATTTATTTGATCCAAGTAATGCAATGCGGAAAGACTGATTAAAGCCGAACGCTCAGTATATCGTGATCTATTCCTTAAACGTGATTATGAGAACTAGAGGGATACGAATTACTATGAAATATCAATGCATGAGGTGTCTACTTTTTCTTTAGGTCTGAAAATATTTTACAAGATCAGGAGGGTATTTTGTTACAGCTACAGTAGATCTAAAATCCGGTTCAAGATTCTAGTAGCCTTCATACTAGGTAACTAATTAAAGGGCAAATAAAAAAGTTTTCTCATGTCGAGTCAAGAATTATTATGATTTTATATAACGCCGCTGGTGTTTGTAGCTGACGAGGATATTGAAGATCAGTGATTTTATTAGAAAGCACTATGATAAATTCCCCAAGTATTAGTGTCGAAGTACTGTAAAAAAATCAAGATCACCACATACTGATAGTCAAGTTGAAAATCAGCTATGTGTATCATACATACAAGTATATTTCGTTTGTACGTTGCCTGTTCGTACCCAAGTACCTCCTGATTATGACTCTGAGGATCACTGAGAATATTGCGGCTCGGTGAGTTGACGTTGAATTTGGCGCACGGCCCCACTCTAGCGAGTTGTAACTTCCCTGTCAGTGAGGGTACGTGCAGTCGAATCAATTGCGGAGAGACCCACCTGCTGCTGCACAGTCAACAAATGTGGATCCCTTGATTAGATCTCGGGATGTGATCGGGTCATTTACACTAGTGGTGGTACGAAGGCACGTGCATTAGGTAGGCAGGTACCCTGTTGGTCTTGATTCAGGGAGGATCTGCATGTACTTAGGTACATATACGATCGAAAAATAAGAACATTAGCAATAAATATGGAGAAGATCTAATATGTTCCTGTCAGTGTAAAACTACTGCTAGCGTCCTATGACTCGATAGTCCTTCCACTGTGTCTCGATTTCGTAGCGCCAATGCTCAATGCTCCTCATCACAGTTTATTGACCACCGTAGAGACATCACAGTTGAGCGACGAAATAATACTATAACAAACAACCTAAAACTCACTCTAAGAACGATAAGAGTCATACTTTAAGGCCGTTATGTATAAATTATATAACTACTTTAGTTAGAAATATGTGTTCGTTTTCGCCACTTCAGTTGACGGGGACCCTGATGGAGTAATATATCGTTGAGAATTCTGACCATCACTTAGCCTAACAACACGTTTGCTCTGAGACAGTCCTGTTATTAACACTCCAAGTTTGATTCTATCGATGGAAGAATCCAGAAGCATGGAAATATTTAACAAATAACACAAATGCCTCCACTCACTAGGTACGGCGTTTCCTAGAGAAGAGCTAGAGTGTACTATGTAGAATCACTGAAATGACTAGAGGGCATTGGGTCTCATATCGTCAACGAAAAGAGACCATTCAACAAAATAGCATTTGCAACATGTAGTTCAGGAATATCCTCGGTTCATGCCCCCTAGATGCATCTATCTACCAAAACTAGAATCAGGGCTGCTACAGAGAAGATTAGAAGACGGTTTCAATCTCATCCCTTTCGAAGTAATTATTCAACTTACTGGGATTTCTGTGCAATCCTACCTTAGAGCTCTTTGGATTACATAAGCATTAGGGGGTTAAAAGGGGGTCACAATAGTCAGAAACCAGTACTGGATATGATTGCAACGAGACTCTGTTAATGACTAGAGTCTATCTTCTGGTCGAGTGTTAATAAAACACTGGAAACTAAGCTACGAACGACGATATTTCTCAAAAGAGCCCCCTCACGATTGCGAAACCAGCCGAAATCCACCCAGTATCCATCCCTAATTTGTGTGTACCATAGATCATTCCTACCTGTATCTTATTAGCGAATGAAGATATGATAGAATATTATGTTAAGTACATACTGCGATAAAAGAGAATGAGAGGTTATGATGATGTGTCTTGGGGTAATAACGAGGGACTGGTGCTTCCTAAAGATATCCATGTGTGTCATGAGGGAATATCCATGTGCCAGAGGGGAATCCGTAGGGAAGGGAATTATGCGGCGAGGGCATCCTTGTCGTCGTCGTCGACATCGGCATCTGTTGGGGGAACGTCATGTTAGCACCGTAATCAAAGGAATGGACCCCCGGAATGATTGGAGCAGGCGAGTGCGGATGCGAATACGAGTGATGATGACCACCACTGCCGTAGACCGGGACGCTACTGCCATCATCGCGCCTCTCCGTAGCACTGATGACTAAGACTTCATCGTCGTCGTCGTCATTCTGGGCGTTGGTAGAAGGCGATATGTCAGGCTGACTTGTCGGCGGTGCCTCGTTGGTAGACGTGACACCGGGTATAGCAGCAGTCGCGCCACAACCGTTCTCCTGCTCCGCTTTCACGGCGATCGAATCTTCAGTTTTGACTTCACCTTTGACCTCGGTCTTGACGGGCTCATCAGCATCGCCGGCGTCCTCGTCGACGGCAGCGAGCTTGCGCTTCTTGCTGGGGGTGCGAGTCTTGACGCCGTCCTTGCTGTCCTTGGACTCCTTCTTGACGCCTCCCGTGCCACCAGCGGTGCCGATGCCGTGGGCCTTCATGAGACGCTCATATCGCTTGGCACTGAAAAGTAGGAACGCGGTTAGTTTAGAAGAACGGGGTAGGATAAGCGAGAAGTAAGATAAGATAGAGAAAATGATGACAGTTACTGGGGAGGTACTCACGCAGCGCCCTTGGAGACAATCTCGCATTCTTTGGCGACCTCGCCGAAGTCGATCTATTTAAGTCAGTAAGATTCAATTGAGAGGTAAATCAGGTATAGAAAGATTTAGTTAATCATTAAAAGGGTAGCTCTCACCTTTCCAGCAGTCGAGTGCTTGATGCACACGATGAGGAACTTGAATTGGGAATCCACGTCCAAAGCAGGCATCTTGTCGGTAGCTGACGTGAGGTTGTCAGGTTAGATGGATCAAATAGAGAAGTTTGAAGGTAAAGTACGAAATCCTTATGTGTGAAGAGAGTTGGAGTGATGATTAAAATTGTTGAAGTTGATGGATGGGAGGATAGGTTTTTAGGATTGACAGGTCAGTCGAGAAATTTGATCAAGTAGTGGAAGCGTTTGCTTTTTTTTCTGTGAATGCTACTTGGAAGGAAGTAGGTCCTGTACTCAGCCTACTTTCGAAGAAGTTGCAACTTGTTTTCAGGAGATAGTTGTTGGGTGGTTATTGCCACAGTGTAGGAGGCCCGCATAAAATGCAGTCAGACAGGATATATCAGGAAATGACCCAAGCTTCAGCTAATACTGAAGTAACTGAGGATCAAATTGGAAGGTACTAGGTCCTAGAGTCGTCTATGTATGTGGAAGTAAGTATTCTGGGCATATATCGCGATGGTAGACACACTTGGGGATCCTGTAGGACAGTTGATGTCGGGACAAGCAGCTAAAATATGAAAATTCTTTTACTGTACTATGGTGAACTGTCAGAAACTAATCTTTGAGTGTCGTGAATTATCTTAGACGAGACTTCAAGAGTAGCTACAAAGATAAGACTTAAAATGAGCTTTAATCTTTCAGATGTTGTCGTGTGGCATATCAAAGATCCATCTATTTCATACTACAAATGCCTTTGTCATTCGTACTAGAATATGTTGGTCGCAATAGAGGTAAAGGAAGTAGTATATCTATTAAAGATGAACAGGAGGAGGCCTATCAGCTGAATTCAAGAGGCTTAGTATAGCTAAACAGTGCTCGGTACTCGGTACTGAGCTGCTCCGGACTCCGAGGCGTAGCATTACGAAGACTGCATCATTTACTGCAATAATTTATGATGTATCGATTTTCGATGGTAGAGGTCTCTTGGTATTATCTAGCAGATACATACGGAGGCTCTCTAAGGCTGATTCAAGCCAACATATCAAACTTCTTTCAACTAGTAAAGGCCTGAACAACGAGGCTAACAGGCGTTGGGAAAATTAAAAGTACACAAGAAAGATCATATCTAGAGTTCTTTTTAGGGCCTAGAAGAACTACTCCTTTGAAACGCGACCCTGACGAAGTCTATGAAGCATTCCTCTAATATGGCCGCTCGGCAGCGCGGAAGCCAGAGAAGCCGGAGCAGCCGGAGCAGCCGGGGCGGTCGGGGTGGTCGGGGTAGCCGAGGTGGCAGGAGCCGGAAGAGCCGGAACGGCCGGGACCGGGACAGTCGGATAAGGGGCCGGGACCGGGACCGGAGCGGCAGGTGCAACGGCCGGTGCGGTGGTGGGTACAGTAGCGGGGACCGGGTTGATAGCGGGCGCCACAGCCGGCACGGCAGCGGGAGGACCGGGGGGAGGAGCGGGCAGCGGCGGCAGCGGCGCCGGAAGCACCGGAAGCACCAGCAACAGGAAGAATCTAGGAAACACAACTTGTTAGTTGGTGTTTAGGTTGAGCAATAATAGTAGCTGTAACATAGATAATTTGACTTACAGTCACTCCGCCTTGAAGCCACTAAGACAGATTAAGTTAGTAAATTTGCACATTTTCATAGATAGGTACATAGGGAATTACGTACACCAACGCGATCACAGCGCCTGGTAAACGCATCACGAGCAGAAGAACGCGAAGCATATCCCGCCTCAATGCTTACCGCGGTCCAATCCACGGTCTTAAGCAAGTCTCTACTTGCATTGTTGAAGATAGCCACCATCGTGGCTACTTGTTTTTTGGTAACGGACGTTCCGTTATCCAAATCAATTTTTTCGTTTGACATCTTGCTTAATATTAGCGATGGGTTCCAAAAGAATAATAAATTTACCTTTAGTCGAGACAAAGATGCCTAGTTTCGACAATAATCGAGAATCGATTGACGAAATAAGACAAAAGGTAAAACTGAAAGTGACAGGATATTAACGAGAGCCATTACTTACTTTGACTTAGGTACTTGATAAATTGTTGTGGTAGTACTTGGAGATTACCTAATTCAAAAAGTGTAGTTGGAAAGGTGTTAGAGAATCCTGGTTGTTGGAAAAGGGAAACAAAAAAATTTCTTCAGACCTTGATGAAAGAAAGAAGAAAGTGTTTTCGATTTGTCTGCCTGAGGGAAGTTGCTCACTTTCTTAATCTCAAAATGGACAGTGGCTTCATGCCCTGTACTTCGCGCAGGTCTTAGGGCTCTTAAGGGTTCTTAGGTATCTGCTTAGTCGTGCTCTTTCTCAAAATACCCCACCGCCAGATGTCAGGTGAATGCATGAAATACCTAGAGACATGTATTATGGCAGTTGCTCTAGATGTTGGGAAGGAGAGGAAAAAGGTACATGAGATACAACTTCAGGAAGGTAAACGGGGCTCGAAAATATGCACTCAACCCAGAGTGATTTGGACAATATTAATGAGATAGGACACACTTAGTGATCATATCAAACCCAGATTTTTGCTCGTCTACAGGCCCAGTAGCTATGAAATAGGATAGCTCTACTACTAGGTCTGGGTTATTAGTCCCCTAGGTACTCAAGGCATGGGTCTGAATTTTAGCATCACTTGGTTCAGTAATGGCGATAGGAGCAAAGTAATTATGATGAAAACAACCATTATTGATATAGTATGTAAACTATAATACTCAGTGCATCGCGAAATAAACTCGAGATCCTCCCTGCGATTTGTGTCATGGAGATTCGTTTACTTTGTCGTAAAAGATCATTACCAGAGCCAGCAGGCCATCAATGCCATTGCCATCCCCAAGACACCGGCCATTAAGGTTGATAGAAAGGGAAACATCAGTACGACTGGTCGCCTTAAGTATCAATAAGCTCATCGTCACTATCCTCGATCTTGATCACACCCTCGGCATCGTCCTTGAGCTCCTTCTTAGTAGCGGACTTCACATCCTCCTCATCATCGTCGTAGCCATCATCCTCATCCTCGTCTTGGCCCTTGCGAGCGGTCTTGGCCTTCTTGCCCTTATTGGGCTTAGTGACTTTGGCAGTCTTGGCTTGCTGAGAGCCACCCGCTGCTTCTCCCTGCTGATATTTACGTCGGATCTGTGAGAATCGGGTCTTTAATTGGTTAGTATCAAATCATATGAATTTAACAGTAGATCATACCTTGGCAATCTTTGTGCTCTTCAGATTGAGCTCCTGGGCAAGTCCGTCCCAGTCAATATCTATGCCGGTGGGAAGGAACTTGAGGAGAGCTGTGACAAACTTCTGGTCACCAGCACTGGGTACGTTGACGTCTTTGGACGGCATTTTTTCTGTCTGCGCACAGTTGGCTTGGCGGTGGAGATTTGGTTGGTCGTAGATTCTGTACTAGATCCAACAGTTAGTTCATGTTGAATGGGAAATATTAGGAGGAAGAGTAGGTAGGTAACGGGAGTGTAGCCTATAGCTAATCGAGGATATCTTATCACTTCGATTCTCTGACTGCTTCATAGATGGAAATCGAGGAGGATAGAGGGAAGATTGAGCCTTGAGGTATGGTGATGATGAGGAATATGCCCGGGACCATGTCGCAGCAAAAAGGGGGGGATGGGGTAGAAGCGGCGGGGAGGTCCAAGGCGATAGACAAATATATGTTACGCTTGGTAAGGTAGGGGTTCAAGGACACATAGGTATACAGGGATCTTCACTTACTCTCGAGAGATAGATGCCGCGGCCTAGCTGTATATTATATCAGTAAACTGATATGAGCGTAGGTTGACGGTTGCGAAAGTGTTTGTACTTGGATGGGGATGTAGTGTTGGATGAGTGATGCGGCGATGTCTCAGATTGAAGAGGGAAATCATAGGGTCGAAGGAGTAGTCATGAGTGCTAAAGTGCAAGGGGCAGTGGGAAAGTTGCGAGAAAGGTCTCGTATAGACACTCAACAGAGATCAAGGCGTAGAATGATGAAGCAGGGGGGGGGGGGGGTGATGCTAAAATGCTATAAAACTTACTTGGAGCGAAAATGGTTTTGTTGCGGTGGATTTCTCGGTGGTGCTAAATAAAAGCTTCCAGCTTTAGAATCTGATATGAAAGTTGTTTCGTTGTAGTGGTAGTCAAGTGACAGAAGTTGAAGGTGGTAAAGTGGTTGGCCCTGAGTGTGTGGTGTGTTGAGAAAGTAATTAGATGTGAGGGGATTGGGACGCAAGTGGGAAGGAGGACGCAGTGATCATGAACCAAGAAACAATAGTTTCCAATTACATAGATCTCAATAATAAGGCGGGTACAGATCTTACTAGCAAGGCGGGTACATAGGCCTCACTAAAAAGGCGGGTACGTAAACTTCATTGAAAGGGCGGGTACAGATCTTATTAACAAGGCGGGTACAGATCTCACCAACAGGGCGGGTACAGATATCACCAATAAGGCGGGTACATGGACCTCACTGACAAGGCGGGTACCCAGATCTTAATAGCAAGGCGGGTACTACCCAGATTAGATCGTAGAGTTTGTTGTCGAGTTTGCTGTCTAGTTCAACAGACGTACGTCTAAGTCGCCGCTATAGACTTTCAAATCGCCGCTATAGAGTTACAAGTCGCCGCAGTTGTTAGTTGCCACAGTTGCAAGTCGCCGCTATAGAGTTGCGGTTATGTAAGTTATATATGCCAGATCGCCGTGTAAGTGGGAGAATTGACAGTGTCAACATCGCCGACAACGCCGACAACTTCGGCAACAATTCGACGATAATAAACAATAGTCTAGCATAGGAGCGAGTTTGACGATGTGGTGTTTGGCATACAGCCATCAAAACAGAAGGATGACAAACGAAATAACTCCAGAGTCTTACCTTTATTTGACTCTGAGGTTTCTGGTATGAAAAGAAAGTCGGTCTTCTTAGAAGTAGTAACTCATACTAACCTGCCAGTTTATGAGACACTCGAATATATGTGTTCCGTTCAAGACGAAAGAATAACTTACAAGCTTAACTACTTGTCCTAAAGAGCTACTTTCTTTGGTAGAGTTAAGTATAATTAGACGGAAATATGATGTAAGATGTAATGACAACTACCTAACGGATAAAGTTCTATTTGACTCAAGTGGACTTACTATAGCTTAAAACAGAATCGTCTCTACCTATAGACATAGCTAAAAGGGTATGTGCGAAAACCAAACTAATATTCACGTTAGACTCTTTTACGTTCACAAGTTCATACTCGGTTAGGCAATATTTAATGTGAAATTCATTCGGTAGGGCTGATTTAATGCAAAGTACCTAGGTACTCATGTGAATTGGAAAACGCACAGCTAAAATAACAGGATTAGAATTGACTAGAACCTTAGACGGAGGAACTCGGAGTTAAAACACATCCGTGTCCCGGTAGATTTATATTATCTAGAATATTAAGTATTAGTTGTTATTTTCTTTTTTTATTTGATGGCTTTGAAGCGCGATATAACAGAACGGAATGGTTGTAGGACATATCGATGAAATAAGACATTCTGAAAGAAAAGCTGTATAGCTTTATATTTATGTTGCTACTTAATATCGATCACAGTAATCTAAGAAAAAGTAAAATCAATCAAATAGTTTTTTGAATGGGTATTATTTAAGTAGCAGAATTAAACAGATTTAACCGATAGTTATCTACTTGTCGGGGAGAACCCTTAATGTTTATTATACGTAGAGTGAATGTTAGAAGCAACAGTGAAACTGTTGTATAGTCGCCGTATAGTCGCCGTATAGTAGTATGAATCTATCAATGTTTGCCTTTTATATATCATCTTTCAAAGGTGCTGGGCGCCTAGATTAACAAGTTTGATGAGTTAGCTAATAGCTTAACTTGACTTGGACCTGACCTAATTTGGCTTGGGGTAGATATATGTTATGGGAGATCTATCCGATCCAAAAAATATTTTTATTTTCTTAGCAAACAGGTAAAAATGAGGGTATACATATATATCTTTGAGTGGTGGGTAGTAGTGAATTTGGAGTAGGAAATGTATGTGGCTGAGTGGCTGGATATGTGGCTAGGTGTGGCTTTATAAAGGCTCAGGCCAATTCGACCTGAATTATCTCAGCATACCCGCTAGCCTAGATCTCTTCCTATTCCTGACTAAACTCCATTAATATCATGACAGCACTTGGACTTTGGGACGGTTATTATAGTAGCATAATTATATATTTATTTTTTTGGAAATGAATCGCTTTGCTCTAACTGGTTCGAGATCACCAGCATCTATCTATTATACGCCTCCGCAAATCAACTGCTCATCTAATGCTTGCCAAAGTTCTCATTTACGAGTACGTATCGATAACGGGCTTTACCCTCCTCCATATCGATGATCGCCTGGTTAGCGTCCTTTAGAGGTCGTTCCTGAATCCAAGACTTGATCTTCTTATCTGCTGCTAGCTGCAACATTTCTCTTATTTCCCAAGGGGATCCTGTAGCGCTACCGCCGATTTTGCTTCCATTCGAAATCAGCTGGAATGCATTGACGGGGGGAAGCTCGCCTCCATCAGGGGCGCTACATGACAAATTAGTTTTGAACGGAGTTCGATCATTGAATTAGTAAGGTGAAATGGAGACAAACTTACCCAACTTGAATCAAAGTCCCCCTTACTTTTAGAAGAGCAAGATATTCATTCAAAGGCATCTTTGAATGAGACACTGTACTGACGATGAGGTCCAGGGTTCGTTGGTGCTTCGTTGCCCAATCTTTCTCCTCGCCCGTAGCAATGTACTCATCGGCACCGAGTTTCAGTGCGTCCTCCCTCTTGTCTTCCTTTCTCGAGATACCCACGACCTTGTCGGCTCCCAGGGCTTTGGCAAAAAGAATACCAAAGTGACCCAAACCGCCAACACCAACAATTCCCACTGTCTTGCCTGGTCCACAGCCATTTTGCTTTAGGGGCGAATACACGGTAATGCCACCACAAAGCATCGGAGCGACGCTGGCTGAATCAACTCCATCCGGAATCTTGAAGACCCAATGGCCGTTTGTACGGTTGTAGTCCGCATAGCCGCCATAAGTTTTGCCTTCTCCCTCCGGGTAAATGGAGCCGTAGGTGTTGATTAAGCCTTCTCGGCAATAGGTCTCCAAGCCGTTCGAGCATTCCGGGCAGGTGCTCTTCTGGCAAGTTCTTGCTTGTGCACCAACTCCAACGCGATCGCCAACTTTGACATGCTTCACGTTCGCTCCTACACGTACTGCCTTGCCGACGATCTCGTGGCCCACGACACAAGCTATGATGATGTCAGAGAAAAAAAATCAAACGAACTAGTCCGAAATAACTAAAAAGGGGGGCGTACGGTAGGGAGTCGGGCCCCAGCCAGACTTCAATGTGTGTAAGTCACTACCGCAAATACCGCAGTGTGATATCTCTATGTCCACATCATCCTCAGTCCATTTCTTGGGCTCGTATTCTCCCCATTCCCTATTTAGCAATCAGTGTCAGTGATTATATAACTTGATAAAAATTCCAGGTATTTCGGATATGCCTCGGGAATATAAATCCCCTCCATGTGTATATCTACCATTCGGGAGGGATAAACAGCTACAGGGACAATCTAGACGATGACGGAAAAGCTATTGATATTACTCACATCTTTCCATTGATGGCATCTGGGGACTTGCCTAGCCAGCCTTCAAACTTGGGGCTTGCTTGTTCTGCCATGTTGAAATGTATGTTGATTCAGTAGCGAATTATGAGGCTTGAGGTGAAGAGATGAAGAGAGGAAGGGATAAAGAGATAAAGAGATGAAAATTCCTTTATTGTGAAATTAAATACTCGATCTTTAATTATGGCTCAAGCTATAGGGCAGGTGGCACTTAAATAGGGAAACAACGGCCACGTCGCTTCCGGCTCATCCCATTAACATTCGAACTTTAATCTCTCCATGGCCAAAAAAGCCGATTGCGGATTCATAATCCATGACGCCAAGTGGAGGTAACGGTGGATATAAGTTACGATGCATCGCTGTACATACATACATTATACTTACTTACTTGGGTACTTACGTGTAGCTACCCTACGAATAAATGGAATCTACCTAGATAATCTCTTGTATGGGCCTGAGAACAAGAAATGGTAGTGTGTAAGCAAATCAATGGTGTAAATCTGCATATACCACTAAAGAAAGGTGTAGGGGGTCCCACCGTTACATTGTGGCTAGTGATTGTACTAGCAATCGTTGGTCGCAATAGCACCAGATACCGTGAAAATTTAATAGACGCATACATCTAACTCGCTACTACCCACTAAGATAAGTGTCGGACTTACCATATATCGGGCTTACTGTATCGGAGTTAATGCCAAGACTAATAAGTAGGAAAGTACTAAATATTACCGTCAAGAAATGAAAGAGCTGCCGGGCGTAAATTCCAAGAAAAAAATGGCTAATAAGTAGATTCACAGGCTATTAAGGTTCAATATTAGACGTCATCGGTAATTAGGTGGAAATAGTTACATCTGCAGTCCAAGTAATCTAATGCACCCATCAGTAATGCGAAGTAGCAGAGGAGAATATCTTGGTACTCATTACTCAAGATTCTTCTAAGGGGGGCTTTACGTAGTAGTGAGGCTATCTGTGGCGATGAAATGTTACAACACTAAAAAAACCGGGAAACCACCATAACACGTGGAAGTAACCCTCATAGCCACTAGAAACTCTTCGGATATATTTCTCCTAGTAAATAATGGGCATATGGGCATAACGGTGATAGTAAATTTTATCTCCATGCAATAGAAAAGTTCCACAGGTTCGATCTTCTTCCACCGCTTTCTTATCTTACATCTTTAACTCTTCTCATATTCGCATTCGGGAATTTAATAAGTTTATTATTATCATGAGGCGCAAAAAGATATCTTCGACGGTAAGATTTTAGTCAGGGGTATAAGTTCCTTATGATGTAAGTAAGCATTTACGACGAAATAAAAGCCAACGTACTTCCGAAGAACCCATTTGATAGGTAATCCGGAACGACCTGTCTATCCCGTACTCTCAACCCTCGTAAAAATTGCCGCCGGTAGGAGGTAGTATTGAAATGCCGGGACAAGCTCACACCGCCCTACTCAGCCGCTAAACTCTTCAGCTTTTACTAATGCAGTTGAGGTATCGCCGAATGGTACTCAATTGATGTCTCTAAATTCAATTGCGAGGCTCGGAGTAATATTACAACGGCTTATCAGTTTATAAATATCAACTACTAGGGCCAGTCTCTCATTTCGCGTCTCCCGAGCGCTGCGCTCTGAAGAAGAGACGTTCAAAAATTAGGTAAGGATGACTTCCTACCTTAGGTAGTTAGGTAACCAGTAATCGTTTAATACAGCCCCAAAGATTGCCGTAAAAGGAAACCAACCTATTTCGTAAGGCGCTATAGCCTATGAAGTCAGTACTAGCAGATGCGCGACAGGTAAGCAATCAAAGCTCAATGGTCGGTTATAAATATTGTTATCTCAAATGTCGTCATTTTGCGCTCTTAACATCAACGCCACTCATGCTCATGGCGCAACACCAAAATATAAGAATACCTGATTGGTGTTAGCACGCCGAGGTACTACTCGCTGTGTAACACATGTATTACCTCGGAACTTTTCCTAGATCTTCTAGATACTTACAAATCCTTAACCCAGTTAAGGCCGATCGGACTCATGATCTTCTTCACCGACATCATTTTTCACTAACGACGTAGCTCATGATGCGCTTCTCGCTCTAGACTCACTTACTTATCTACACTAAATTTTTTCCATTACGGGCCTTTTAGCCCCACTAACATCTCATATCGTTCGCTGTTTTCTTCATTTTCGGATTAGATATCTGGGTCCACGGCTTATTTGAAACTAGTCGGTCCGGAAGTTCGGGAAGTTTCTCGGCTCCTCCCGAGTCCGATGAGTCCCCACCGCCTCAAGCAGAACATTAATCTAGATCAGCCACGTACCGAACCCGCAAATTATTCCAAACACGGCGGAAATTTTCAAATATATAGAATAGGTCGCGGTATTATTTATTTTTATAATTACGAAAATAAATATGATTAATGCAGCCCAATTTGTCAAGTACCTATTTAGAACATATCAATCGGCGCGTAAGACTTACGTGGTTTGAATTGTCCCGGAGATTGTTTTAATACAAAGTAAATTTTAATATTCTAATTGATTATTCCGTCAAACATCCTCTAACATAACTAGTAAGTGATGGAATAAAGTTAACTACCTAAATACCCAAGTAGATACCCAAACCTAGTCAAAACTTCAACAAGCTGCCTACAACGATCCGGAGATAGTTCAAGCCAGTTTTCGACTTTCAAGATCACTAAGTTATAACCATTATAAGTTGGAATAAGTCTCTAACTAGGTCAATTGAGTACCAAGTAAGTATAAAGCCTCCATATCTATGAGTGTCAGCGATAAGTTATACTATCTTAACCACCACTTACGTCATATGATACGTAAGGAGGTAGGTCTGAATACCCTCATTTCAGGTTGCGACTGAGTAAAATGAGAAATTACTTGACTTGGAAAACTTGTTAAAAATGAGCAATCCAAATAATTTGGTCAAAGCCAACTCAATTGACCGGCACATTGGAAGCACCACCTATATAATCAGACCAGAATATATTACGGCATGATGATATTGTCCGCCAAATTTCACTCAACTACTTTTCATACATTTTAATACAAGATAAACAACTTATGGTATCAATAACAAGTCATTACCAGGTGCCTAAGATGCTTGAAGAAAATAATGAATATGACTACCTGTATTCATAGAATCCTATTCGAAGGTAACTTGAAAATATAAATTTACTGGTGATTGATGAATAATTACTTAAGATAACCATGATTTAAAGTAACTATGCTTCATATGTCTCTCAGGGTTGTGGGCCGGCGTTCTTAACCCTGCCTTGTACATTCTGACCGCAGAACTTTTAGAAGCTAAAAACCTCTATGGAACAAAAGTCCAACTGCGAAAATAGCAAGCTTTACTACAGTACATTCTTTAGCTACAACTCTCAAGGCGTTCAGTAAGAGCGAAGATATCGTAATAGTCATTATGCTGCCAAGAAGCATATGATCACTTGAGCAGACCTGAAACATGGAAAATCTGTAAGTATCCTCGGGGAAGCAGGCATCCGCATAGAGCGTGGGAGCCCGTGGAAAAGGTACTGTGCAAGAAGTATTACGATTACAAATTTGATAAGCAGCTAGAATTAGTTATTCACACATACTTAAGCGCTTGATAACAGATACGGCAACTTACCGAAGCGTGCTCCCACTTCGTAGCGAGGTATGTACGTAGATCATGATAACGTGGCCCCCATGTAGGATCTGGCCCGTTTGATTGTATCTTCGGTTAAGCTAGAATCACGACTTACCCCACGCATCTTCTAGAGATGTCAGATGTACCTATTATCGTTGATAAGCTAGAACACGGGTTTGGTGACTCCTTAGAGATTTCCATGCGAGATTTCCTTGGAATACGTAGTATTGGCCGCAGATTTGTGAAAGTGAACGCGGCAGCCAAGGTACCGAACCTGGCCACGGTCGACATATCATATTCTGATATCATACTATGCCTATTTAGAAAGTGACTTAAGACTCTAGCGTTAAGGCTCACGGAGTAGGCCTCACTAGTACCTGGTGATAGAACGGCAACACGCCACTGGTGTAAGCGCTGCAAACACTCAAACAAAATTTAGGGTGTGAATAGTAATAAGTGATGTTATCATGATAGTAGAATCAAGAGGATAGGCCCCGGCTAGCCCTAAATGGACGGTAAGATAGAGGCCTGACTTCATAAGTCTTGTACAACTTATTGATAGCCCTGAGCCCGGTTAACTGTTCTTGTCATCTGGGCCGAGGATGGCCGCGAATCACAACGTGAGCACGACCCATACCAGTATGTCAACGGTCCTCGGGTTCCAGCAGATATGGATGTCAGATCCCAAAGCGATCGTCGGGACGTTGGAGAAGATGTCTCGAATGGTGTCCCAATCGGGTTGATTGCAGTAGACGAAGTGTCCAAGCGCGGGTGGCTTGCCGATAAGCTCGCCCGGGTTTCCGAGGACACCCTCGTACGATAGGTACGTAACAGACAGTCTACAGATAATATGTGAAATTCTAGAATAGACTATATTTGAGTCTTACGTCTGTCGTCCTCGTCACCTGAGGTGTTACCACAAGTCACATTGCATATTCGATCGCTGGGGCACGGAACATAAGCATATTCTCAAGGGATAGTGGTGGGAAGTGAAGTCTGAAAATACGCAACTCCCTCAACAATTTTCGCTTCGCCTGCTGGGTATCTCTAAAGTACATATTCTCCAAGTTACTTCTGTGCATTATCACAACCCATTCTGAGACCCTAAGTCCCGCATTAGGTAAAAGCCATGGTGAAATACCGGGGTCAAATACCCTTCCCCACACGCCACAGACGTCGATACCCGTGCATGGACCCTGACTCTCAGCTGCAAAAACACTTCAAGGCTGACCACCCATGTTACATCCGCCTCAGCCCCGTGTCTAGATCTCGGGTCATCGGTGGACGCTAACCCTATCTCTGGGGCACTCCGGAACGATGCGTGAATACTCGTATAAGTGTCTCCTTGAATGTTACGACGCTGTCAGACGGTTAGGCAATGATGACGGCAACCATGGGATTGTGCGGGATCTTTGTGTGATATGGAATAAGAAGGGTTTAAAGGTTACATCAGAAACGACGAATAGCACTCCAAGTTTCCTGAATAGATAGCAGAATCTGGTGATCTTCACACTCTAAAGAACCCTGTAAGCAATTGATTGGTTGGGTCTCTCAGCACGTTCCTGGTTACATGATAGCTGAGAACTATTGTGTAGTTCCATGAGATGTTTTCACAAAAGGATGATGCAATTTCCTAGGGCTGATTCAAAGTCACAGTGTAATAAAATTATTGAATTAAGGTATCACAAGCTCATACAACGTACTCAAAGAATGGCCTTAGCCTCCATTCATAGAAACACTAGAGCGTCTCTAAGTAATCATCAACCAAATCCAGACATACCCGAATGCTAGATGCCGAAATCATGTCATTAAGTAGTAGTCTTACAAAACCCAAACGAGTGAAATCATCGGCATCAAACCCCCAAAGAAGCCAGACATTCGACCCAAAACGCCTAGGTCTCATTGTTACCAACCGCATAGAAAGTAACCCCATGACATATTAGCAATCCACGTATTTCCTTGATTAACTCCCCGTAGAAACGAGCTCGTAGCCCCCATGCCGTATAACAGCTATCTGAGCTGACATCATAGCCCAAAATCAGCATATCTGAATCCCTGACATGTCCATCAAGAGTACTCGTCCCATTCGTGCTTCACATGGACGTAATCGTCATCGCATTCAACCGTCCGAAACGGAAGCATGTGCGGATGAGAATGCACGTGGGGTGGCTCGCAAGGGCTGGCTCTGAATTCATCAAATGAAGAACCTGCTCCGAAGGCGGAATAGTGTGGAACACTCGGCCACATCGGGTCGGAGTGGTCAGGGCACGGGGAATCGCGGAAGCTAAATGAATTCTGAGAAGTGACCAACTCACTGGCGGGGCTAGATGTGAAAGTTGGAGGTGGAGAGAAAAAGTCGCTATCACTGCCCGGTGTAAGAAATCGAGGTTGAATCACGCCATGGTTGCTCGAAACTGCAGTAGCTGGAATTGGGACAGATGGCCCCGGAGTGAGACGAGGAGTGAACCGATCATCAAAGCTGTAGGGGGTGCTCTCTTGTTTGATCTCGGGAGCAGGCATATCAGATGGCTCTGGTGTAACCGAAGATTCTGGGAGTGATTCTAGAGCAGATTCTAGCTTGACAAGCTCGTCCTTCTTCCCTTTCGGATCCTTCTTCGACTTTGTGACTCGACCTTTCCCCTGCCCCGTTCGATTTCGTCTGGTGGGCTCATTGCCTAGCATAGCGGTTTTAAAACGTGAGTATCTCATACGAGCGGCATGGCCATTGGAAATTGGTTGGGGTAGAATTTCGTCTTTAGCAACCGCGTCCCAATTAATCTATATTATATGTCAGTGAATTCTGAAACTGGAAGTCTAGGATACGCGCTATAGTCAAAGCTCAACTTACATCCTTGAGGTTCTTCTGCTTCAATATCGCAAATAGGAACCTGGTCATCATACTGTCATTGTTGGAAGACATGGTGCCGATTTGCTGCCAGTGAGATAGCTCAGCAAATGTAAAATGTAAAATGTGTACGATTTAGAGAAGGCGAACCTTCTCAATAAGAAGTGCACAGGTAAGTGTAAAGTAATTTGGAGAGAGCCCTCGATTTCAATAATACTCTGAACATGCGGAGGAGAAATGAAATGAGTGAGTCACGAACAGAGTAGATGTGAAAGACAGTGAGGGAGGATTGATTGAATATGTTAGGACTCCTAGATAAAGCTCTGAAGCTTGGGAGGTCGTTGAGAAGGAATCACACCAAGCTGTCGATCAAATGTTGTGAAGTGAAAGTATGACGAAAGGTGGAGATAAGCAGGATGGTCCGTGGCAAGATTAAGAGGCCGTTTGATGCCGAGATAATGGATTAAAAGAGTGTTATTTCTATGATAAAAGAGCGAAACCTAAGACCAAAGAGGGAGAGAGATGTAACTAATTTCGTTTTGCTGGCCAATTTTCTTCTTCAATGAGAAGGTTGATAATGTTAACAATATATGATAACAGGGCTGCTTTAAGTGCTTGCATGAAAAGCAAGCTTACTTGCACCGGGATCATCATTAATGGGTCTATATGACGAACAGTATGAAAGGCACGGTTGCCTAGCAACTCCAATTCCAACTCTAGCAAGCAATAAGGCCAACACTATGAACAACTTTGTCTTGGCCAAGGAGATCAAGGGGTGAAAAGAGAAAAGGGTTGGTGGGGTTTGTTGCGCGAAAGTGGGATGGTACGCGGCGTACCGCGTAAAGTGGTTTGCAATCCCTGCAGTCCCTGCAGTACCATCGTGTCTTTTGACCGGGATGTTTAAAGAATCCTAGAAACTTCTGTTTCGACCGACTTGAGCTACCGCTCAACAGCTTTCTAAGACGTAGAATATGAGCGCATTATAGAGCTGAGGCTAGCTGATATGCGTTGTACCGGTAGAACTTTTCTAGTCAGAATTGACTTCTCGGACTCTACGTACCTAGGTAGGTAATGTATGTAGTCTTTTCACAGCGTGATGTTGAGAGAAATTCACACACCAATCAGATGAGATAAAAAGGAAGACATGGTATGAGGCTAACGTTAGGAACTGATCCCCGAGAAGGGGAATATGCCGAAATAGGGTGGGTAAGTAGCTCCAGATATTTGTAGTGGAACGAGGGGTGGTTAAAGACGTGAGTCACGAAAGAATTTAGGAGGCTAGGAACTTGGACTCGAATCTACTCGATTGAGCGATTACCGAGACCAGTGATTGGTGTACCTGTAACACTATCTCCCGCCTATCTCTAAGCGGATACTTTGGATTTACCAGTTCGTAATTGATTTTGCAGTAGTTTCGCAGTAGTGTTGTAGAGATCGTCGGTTGTCATTCAACGACATGCATCCTCTATCCAGGAACGGCCTGTTTAATTCTGAATATACTCAACTACCTAGCTTTGCAGCCAGTTATTTGCAGTTAGATGAGAGGACCACCACGTTTTTCTCTCGGTACCAAGGGACTCATTCAATACGTTGGGGGCTAAAGGTTGTTGGTGTTGTTGGTGTTTGCTTCTAATTCTCAGAAAAAAATTGGTTGCGAACGACGAAGTAATTTTTTTTTGCTTGGAACTACTTCCCATGTTTGTCTTGTTCTTCCCGTCACCGAATAATGATATAGTGCCGAGTTCACTAATATGACACAAAAATGTTGAAGAACAAATAAACGATAGATCTAGTAGATGCAACCCAGATGCAAACTTGGAGGGGAAGTAACTAATAAAAAAAGTAAAAGGGGAAAAACCAGGATTAGGACGCGTCGGAGTTGGAGTTTGTAGCACTGTGTGCACGGTCTCCTCACGTTTAAGTCGCCTTTTCACGTGATGTTTCATAATAAGTACACCTTTCCATTTTGAGATTTAAGTGCATGCATGTAATCTTTTGGAAGGAAACACGGAAAGGAAAAGAAGGCGCCATGGAAAAGTAAATTCGAGAATTGTAAATGTTACCCTGAGAAGAACGAGAAGGACGGCAAATTCCCGGCTGATCCGATGTATTCCGATTAAGTTGTCAAATCACATTCTAACAATGGGTAAGTGCTTAGCTACCCGGACACCCCTATTATGACGGCATTGTTATACACACACTTGAGATTAGATAGTTACAAAGGTATTGATATACTAATAGATTTGCGCAATATAGTACCTATATATACCTATGTACCCGATGTACCTACCTGTATTAACCGTGAAAACATAGCACACCTGCAGGTATTTCCAATTGCGAACTCACGTGATCTCTCTTTACTGTTACCTAACCCCAACCCCAACTGGCAACTGCAACACATTAAGAGACTCGGATCATTACATAGGCCGTGCACGAATAAAAAAGACAGAGCGCTATCCTAATCCGTCATTAGTGGCAATACTGCCAAGGGACTCGACCCACTCTAATCACTACCGCTACCGCTCCGGACCGCGTAATTCAGGTAGCTCCAATTCAAAGCTCCTTACCCATTCTTCTCAACCTCTTAAAAGCTCTCATCTCTATCAATTTTCTTAATTCGCACGTGAAGGAGTAGCTTATTGTTATAGTTGTTCCCACATCGCTACCTTAGTACCAGTCTCTCCAAGCTCTAGCCTCGAAGGCTCAGAGCTACCCTAAGAGCCCAAAATGAACAAAAATTGGAATGACAGAGCTGACAAGGACCTCTTTTTTACCATCCTATCCGTCAAGAATATCGGCGTAATAAGCGGAGGAGAATGGACTACCATTGGTAATCATATGCGATCATTAGGATATGGCTTCACTAATGAGGGATGCCGGTAAGCAAAGTCAATTTCTTATTTCTTCTTCCTTATTTCTTCTTTCTACAACCTTGTTTCCCACGTACCCGGTCCAAATCTACGTAGCCTTGTTCTTTTTTCCCTAATGTCCGTATGCGCGCGGCAATGTACCAAGTGGTAGCGCATGCAGTCTATCACCTCCAATATGATAAAGATGCATCAGTTATCAAAAGATGTGTCAAGTCGCACAATTAACTACAGGGTTCTGTTTAACTTTCAAGTAGCTTAGTAGCTGTACAACCGGGTACTTGAGGTTGTCGCAACTTAAGACAGATGTTGAGATGAGCACCTCGAATTTACTTCACAACATATACAATATATGATACAGCATGTAGGGGCTAATCAACTGGTACTAGTCAACACTTTCAAGGCCTCCGCAGAGCTCAGCATAAGGTTGAGACCAATGGTAGTATAGATGCCCAGCGCAGATCTGACCCTACTCAAAACCCCATCACACGGCGCCCTGGTCCCGGTCGTGGGCGACCCAGGAAACAGCCTCCAGCACCCATTGCTGGTCTTGATCATGTATCTTCTCCTGGAGTACCAGGTCAAGTTCACGATGACGACGAAGATGCTACAGGTCCACATGATGGCATGTCCGTTCAAATCCCTAGCGAGGATGCCGACTCTTTAGGCCTAGTGCAGGACGACTCGGGTCTTGACGAACAACCGTCAAAACGTCAGCGCCTTGATGAAGATGATCAGCAACAGACTGATGATGCAGCCGTCCTATCGTTAGCAGCAGATGGGTTACCCGTGCCCGAAGATCATTATGGTCCACCTGAGTAGTCCCGTGTCTGTCTATTATCCTTACATGCAGGTACTAACGAATTGGCAGGTGGGAAGCATAGTGGTTGTAATCCTTTCCGCCCAGCAATTGTCTCTACCTCTAAGGGAACATTTTAGCATAAGCTACCATAAAACAGCTGGTCAACGCCCTTATTGTAAGGCGTAGTTGTTAGATCATGGCCGGCCAACAACAGTTCAGTAGTCATCAGTCTACATTATATGGTTGTTCATTCAAGCTACGTTGTTTTTTAATACGAAGTCAATAGATCACAAAGACTCGCGTTTGCTTCTCTTGGGAATGGGGGAATCAGGGGAATATCTCCAGGCAACTTCTGTATAACACTGCGGCATCGCGTTGATCGGTAGTTTGGAGTTATAAGCGGGCTAGTTATGATCGGGATAAGTTTTATTGATAGCGCATAATTCCAACTATATTACATGAAGGTCTATTGAGACCTCTGATTTTTTTAGATTTGAGAAAAACAAGAATGTAGATGTCTAGTAGGGTACTAAGGTGCATCTACCTTCTATGCAGCTCGTTATTATTAGCAACATGTGTTAGTAGAAGGACCTTATCACATAGATGCCTCCAAACAGGTAGGTATTCAAGATTCTCAAGTTTGCTCACATCACACGCCACAAAAAGCAAGTATATCCCATATCTACCTAAGCTTACTACTTTCCCAATGCTCTATTCAGTTCATCCTACATAAGCCCGTCTGTTTTCATCATTTGGCATGCACTACATCTCGTAGTTCCTACTTCGTAACTTCCCAGCTAAACAACAACACAACACATCCTTCCTACCGCCAACTTCTTCTTGATTCTTAACATCTATACCTACCTTCCTCATTTACTACCGAACAACCCAAACTCTTCATCTTCTTTGATCACTCTCCAAGACATCAACCACAATCTCCTCTCCATCTTCCACTAACTTCTATATTTCGATCTCGGTTGGTTCAAACCTGACCTCAACACACATCGCCACCATGCCGAAAGGTTCAGCCTGGACTCTCGAAGCCTATCGCGACTTCTCCAGAGCCGTCTGGGAGGTTGCCAAGTTGACGACGGAGCAGAAGCAACAGATCCTAAGCAAACTACATGATGTCGGTTATGAATTCACTGGAAATGCTATGAGGTATGATATATTATCTTTCATTACTTTTCTCTTGACTATTGTGTTTTCCATGTTAGAAATGTATTCCCAGTAACGACGTCCCCCAACATGCCTGAAGCATACTGCCTCCATATAACCCCCTTCACCCTCATCAATCAAGAGTGCCGTCATATCAACAACTGTTTCATCTATATCCTACCGTCCAAGTCCAAAACTTATGGGCTGACCCGAAAACATCCGCTATGTCATGGTTTGAGTTGGGCTCTTTCCTCAGAACCGCAACATCGCGGAACTATACCATGGAGTCATTATAGATCATCTACCATCGAAAGTCCATGTTATATCTAGACTATTTAGCGAGCCGTACTATGATTCTTTCTCTCAGTTTCACTAGATTCACCAAAGGCTACCTTGCACTGATCATCCCGGAGCAGCTACGCCATAGCTTCACCGACTGCTTATGTCCTTCTCTAGCTTGTTCTTAGCCAGGCCTATCTTTAACTCAGCTCTTCGTGCGCCAAACTAACTTATATTGATAGACAGCACTTCCAAAAGATGATACGAGATGAGAAGTCGGAATCGCAGCAGAACGCCGCTTCCGGCTCTTCACCTGATGCCGATCAACCTGCTACCAAGGAGAAGGCAGCACCCCGCCCCCGTTCTGCCCGCACCCCTCGCGCCGGCGCCAAACGCAAGGCTAAGGCACCAGTCTCCGACGATGAGGTGGAGGAGGAGGAGAAGAAGACACCTGTCAAGAAACGTACCAAGAACGGGTAAGCTTACAATATTAATCGGTTTTAGAAGTTTGACTATATGATAGAATATGAAGACTAATTTGTCGCCTTAGAAAAACTTCTATGAAGTTGGAGGATGAGGAGCCCGTGCCTTCTCAGGATGATAAGGACTGGAGTGAGTCTGCAGCTCAGCTTAAGCAACACCAACCCATGACTCTCCTTGACCCCTCTTCGGCCCCCCTTGCCCATGAAGACAATGAAGACAATGGAGCTGAACAACCACCTCGTGCAGATGATGAAGATGAAAGTGGCGAGGTTTAAGTCTTTCTCGGCCAACCAGGAGCAGAAGAGTTGCCTTTGCTTACGATATCTCGCAACATACCCCTCACTTCTAAGAGGATGCCAGGGACACCAGTTCTCTGATGAGCAAGAGATTTATTTTACCTAGTCTTCGCGTCTGCGTTCATATCGCCATCTACTCCGAGTCAGTTTAGGCTTTGCGTTCATAGGGGTTAACGTGAGCCCACCGGAGCGTTATGAATAGGTGACTTTCCTGCATGATGCTCGGAAGAAGAATTTAGTGATCATGGTCTCGATTAATACTCAGATTTACCAGTTTCCTAGTTTGACTTTGCGGTGTGACTTCTCCTTTAAGGAAATATCAATAAAATTCCTCCAATACTCTTCGTCATAGACCTTTTAACTAGTAGAAAGAACATGTGAGCTACTCTAGACAACTAACTATCCCCAAATAGTTTGGAATCGTTACTTAGTGCTACACTTTAATTTAACGAATCCCCACGTCCATTGGTGCCTTTTTATCATTTAACATTACATCTCGTCTGATGTTCTAGATCTGAAACCTAACTACAAGCGGCCGTAATAATCTTTCAGGAAGTCGAAGCTAAGCTTTCTCGTATCACGATGTGGAGACTCAAACCCAGACCTCGGCTTAACTAGCGTTTCCAGCCCTTCGGTATCCTACCGCAATACGGCTAGAGCCCGTTCGATCGTGGGATCGAACGGTGCGCCGCGTGAGTCCGCCGGATCAGCAAAGCCCCTGTTATAATCCTTGAAACTATACTATCCTCCACAAGGCGTCATTATTGCATGAATCTCTCATAAAAGCTTAATATTGACTATAGACATCTTATCTCTTCCAAAACTCTAGCTGCGTTCTAACTTTTAACATCTTATTCATAGGAAAGAAGCTAGGGCGTCCTCCGGTGGGCACATGGATCCAAGCGGAGATCCACCAACATGGGTAACTTATTCCTTGCACGCCCGTGTCTCACTAGTTTCCCGCGCGAATCACGGAACATGCCTTGGATGCAAGTCGGTGATCGCCATACCACCTGGCAAAAGGGGGCAAGTATATAATGTCGATGTCTTTCGACTTTCCCACCAATTACCATCCTGCTAGTAGGTATAGCGACTCGAGCTGTCTTTCGTTCCTTTCTCAAGGCTAGTCCCTCGTTTTCTACTTATAACCTGAGAATATATTCGTTCTTTTCGCACAGTCGACATCTCGTTCTTTACAGCGCCATCTAGCACAATGCATAACCTTGCGGTTCTTGGTCTCGCCACTCTGGCCCTCGCGGCCCCGAGCACTCTTAACGAGAGGGCCAGTACTTGTACTTTCACATCGATAGACACTCTGGCGTCGAAGAAGAAGTCTTGTACCGACATCGTGATCAAGGGGGTCACTGTTCCAGCTGGACAGACACTCGACTTGACCGGCCTCACTGATGGTACAACTGTCACCTTCCAAGGCACCACGACGTTCGCGTATAAGGAGTGGGAGGGCCCCCTAATCAGCGTCTCGGGAACCAAGATCACTGTTAAAGGCGCCAGTGGTCATGTCATCGACGGCCAGGGCGCAAAGTGGTGGGACGGAAAGGGTAGCAACGGAGGCAAGAAGAAGCCCAAGTTCTTCTACGCCCACAGCCTGAAGTCATCGACGATCACCGGGCTCAACATCAAGAACACCCCGGTCCACGGCTTCTCCATCAACGGTGCCAAGGGTCTAACTTTAGACCACATCACCATCGACAACTCAGCCGGCGACTCCGGCGGCGGCCACAACACCGACGCCTTCGACGTCGGCTCCTCCGACAACGTCAAGATCATCGGCGCCAACGTCAAGAACCAGGACGACTGCTTAGCCATCAACTCGGGTACCAACATCGAATTCACGGGCGGCACCTGCTCAGGCGGCCACGGGCTCAGCATCGGCTCCGTCGGCGGCCGCAGCAACAACGAGGTGCGCAACGTGGTCATCTCCGGATCCACGATCAGCAACTCGCAGAACGGCGTGCGCATCAAGACGGTGTACAACGCGTCCGGCTCCGTCAGCAACATCACGTACTCGGACATCAAGCTCAGCAACATCTCCAAGTACGGCATCGTCATCCAGCAGGACTACGAGAACGGCAGCCCTACCGGCACCCCTACGACCGGCGTCCCCATCACCGATCTCAAGATCAACAAGGTCACGGGTACCGTTACGAAGGATGCTACTAATGTGTACATCCTGTGCGGCAAGGGGTCGTGCAGCAACTGGAAGTGGACTGGTGTGAGCGTTTCTGGGGGCAAGAAAGCTCCAAGTGCGCGAACATTCCTTCGTCAGCTGCTTGCTAGATGTTTTAGTCAAGTCAATTCTTGTATATATGTAGCCGCGATATATATAAATAAAGTGTAGCAAGTCTTAAGACACATTCACATATAACTATTCGATGTCATCTCATATTAATACCTGTGCTTTATTATAGGCATGACGTATGTTCTCCATGTCCCAATATTCCGTTAAGGTAGTGATTAGATTCTAGAACCGTTCGGCTATAGAATTGGGCGAATAATATCTAACTCAGCTGTCCATATTCGTCCACAACGGCCCCCAACAACTTTCAGGATGTGGTTGAAGGATTCCAACCAGACCATTATACTCCTATTATTAAGCACTAAATAGGAAAGGGGGCCAAAAACAGTCGCCATGTGATGGAGATCCTTGTCGAACCACGCGTCTAGTTAACTATACCGAAATCAAGATTTGAATCAGGTTGAAATCGCTCATTAAGCGGTTGGTTTCTACGAAATGGGCGGAGTAATCGGAGCATTTGAGCTGGTCAACTCCCTTCTCCTTTATTCATTATACGGCTATGGCTAGCATTTATAGACAAGTTCCGCTTAGTTCTCCTAATAGCATCAGGCTCCTAAAACTCTTCCCCGCGTCTTCGATCAAGGCACCAGTGAATTTTGAGTTGCTCGAGGCCACACTGGACCAATGTCCTCCTTTTAAAGCAATATCGTACTCATGGGACGGGCAACGACCTACAGAAAAGGCTTTTTGCCTAGGACAGTCCATCCTCGTCACGCTAAATTGCAATAACATACTTCGATACTTAGCTACAACTAACAGCAAGCCTTCATTAGTATGGATCGATGCCATCTGTATCAACCAGTCTCCAGCGGCGGGGATAGAACGTAATCAGCAAGTGAGTATAATGGGAGACATCTATACCGCCGCTGATGAGGTCTTCGTGTGGCTCGGGTCTACGATAAAGCCGTCCTGGGAGTCGACTTTTCAGGACCTTTCTAGGTTCGCCGATGCATGTCTCGCTTCCGAAAATGAGAAGTATTCAGGTCGACTTCTTGCATTAGCTAGCCGGATAGATACCAAGAGTAAGCCCATTCGCAACGCTCTCTTATAGCAAGGTAGCCAAAGCATATGTGCTAAGAATATAACCAGCCCTCAACGATATGTTCTGGGGAGTAACATGGTTCAGTCGTGTCTGGGTAGTTCAAGAAGTTGCGCTGAGCCGGAAAGCAACTTTCATATATGGCCAGGCCGTGCTCGTTTACTTCAATCTCATCAAGTCTTGGTCAGACTTATACAGTACACATAAAAATATTGGCCTCGTACAGAACCTAAACCAGACTCTTTACAACGGGTTTGGTACGCACATCGTCTCTTTACAGGGACCGAGGCGAGCAGTTGCCATCACTGAAGAATATGACAGCATTGAAGAGCTCTTCCGCCAAGCAAGCCGACTACTGGCTACCGAACCTAGGGACAAGGTATACGGGCTTCGCGGATTGCTAGTTAGTTACGGAGTCTCACTCCCGGCGGCTGATTATCAAAAGCCTCTGGAAACCATATACATGGAGACCGTTAAAGCATTGGTGGATTTCACGGGCTCTTTGAATCTGGAAAGCTGCTACTATGTATCAGACAGTTGGCCATCTTGGGTCCCAAACTGGGCAACTTCAGTGCCATGTTCATCGCCAAAAGGAGATTATCACGCCGCTGGAAATTCAACCGCTAGCTTCAGCTTTGTCAACCTCCCTGGTGGCTCCCAGGGACTCCAAGTCTCCTCTACCATAATCGGAGACGTCTCTTCTGCCCTTGGAACATGTCTACTAGGCCGTTACCGCACTGCAGAGGCCCTGAAAAACGACCATATCTTACAACAGATCGAAGAAGAAATAGCTCCAGACTGGAAATACAAGCAATTGCAAAAAGGCGATGGTATCGAGAAATTCCTGGCAGTCTATAATATCCGCGTCTTACGACAAGCTCTCGAGTACATGAAAAAAGCATCTAGTAGCCTAGATGGGTGGAAGAACAATCTTACGAAATAGTTTCCAACCAGCACTAGTAGACGCGAAATTAGACCTAAAGGAGTCCTTTCGCCAATGGCTTGAATTACTTAGTACCTTACCAGCCAAGCCCCTACCAGCTTATGAGCTATCAAGTATCAACGAAGCCCCTGAGATGGAAGTATACAACCGAATCTCAGCAAACGACAACGTCTCCGAGCTGCACGAATTATTCACCGCGTCTTCTTATTACTGGAAATTCTTCAAAATGGGCTCAGGTGTATTTGGAGCTGGTGCCCATGCCATCGCAGCCGGAGATAAGGTTGCTATTATGGCTGGCGGATGTGTTCCCATGGTAATCAGACACGTACATGGAGATCAGTACCGGATTATATCTCCAGTCTACATTTGTAGCATTATGCAAGGTGAAGCTTGGCCGGTTAATTCGAGCAGTCTAAAGAGGATTGTTATTGTTTAGGGGCTTGCTGTTTGGACAGGCAAGAAGCGAAAGGTTCGAGAATATGAACATGAATGAGACATTACAAGGACATAAGAAATGAGCCATAAAAACTTGCTAGTTAATACGTCCTTAGGCCATATTAAGGAATTAAGAATAATGTCCTTCAAGACTAATCCAAGATTATTTTTATTCTTTAGGCTAGGATTCATTCTCGTAGCGAGTTCTGCGCGAACATATTCTTTCCGGTACGCACTAGATCATTAATGCTTACAAGCCCAGCCCACGACCCCATCAAGAGATGTAACTCGATAATGTTAACGATGTGGGAATATCGTAGTCATCGCATTAATCTACCAGGCCCACAGGATTATCTAGAAACTCCATAAACGCCTGGTACACCCCTAGTCCAATATCATCATGACTTTCGTCCATCAAGCCGGCGTCCTTCGTCGGGCTTCTTCTCAGGCGCCTTCCCCTTGTCTTCTCCCTCGCCCTTCCGCTTGACTGCCCCCCTAAGGGTCTGACCCTGTCCCGCGAAGTGCGGCCTGCTCGCATTCTCTTTCTCTGCCTCCTTGTCCGCGTCCGTCTTAACCGGTGTAACCTCGTAACCGAAGAAGAGCTTGTTGGGTGGTAGGCGAAGAGGCATGGGGCCGTTCGTTCGTCTTCGCGGGACGGGTACAACATTTGTAGAAGCACCAGCAACCGGGGTTGAGGGTTTTGGAGTTGGGGCCTTTGAGCCTTTCTTGGCGCTTAGTTTGTGACCCTCGTTTAGAAAATGAGATGAAACTGCTCGGGCCCCGGTCGCAGCTGTTGTGGCATTGGGAGCGATCGCGTCGTAGTTGATAGATTGTGCCATCGTGCCTTGGGGATGCATGAGCCCGCCAGCGGGTAAACCACCCCTCGTACTTCTCGGTGTACTAGTACCGCTACCCTTCTGCGGCTCAACGTATCCTACTGGTGGTGCGAACTCGACCGAAACATCTGTCTCTATCATACAAACACCCATCTTCTCCGTCTCCGGCTTCACTTCCAAGACCGCTACATCGTAAACCTCGTCGTTATACTCGAAGTTGAACACGTCGCCCTTGGTTAATGTAGCGAAGTTTCGGAATGCCTTCTCTAGAACCGCCTTGGGGTCACTAATGTCGAGGAAGTTAGTCGACTGAGGTTGAAGCTTAACCATCTTAGCCAGCTCCAATGATGTCGATTTTATTTGGATCATGTCGCCGACGTCCAGTTGTAACGTTTGCATCATCTAAACCTGTCAGTTATGGTTACTCCTCTATGATGCTAGCACCAAAACCAACCCATTGCGGTATGTATGCTCTGCCTTCCTCCGCCACGAACTCTAACACACCCGCGTGTGTCTGGCGCTCCTTCTCGCCATTTACCAGCTCCATCATCAAAGGCCACTGAACGTGTAACTGGGAGATTTTCTGGAGGGCGGATGGCGGTAGGAAGATCTTGGAACCGTAGTTGAGCTCAGGTCTCTCGGCTCCGGGGGCCATGATAATCGGGTAGCAGCGGAAGTATTCGTCAAAACGGCGCATGGCCGGGCCGCGCATTCCGGATCGGGCCATGTACGACATGGCGGCCGGATCGTCGACGTCAAAAGAGTTGAATCCACGGTACTACGAAAAAGAATAGTTGTGGTAAGCAGAGATCCAGAAATCGGAAACAAAGGACCGGGTGTGTAACTAACCATAACGAGGTGGGGTTATTTTAGGAAACTTGGTCTACCTCTCTGAAAGATAAGAAAGATGGGGGACTGAATATTGGGTAGAGAAGTTTAAGAGAATGAAATTAGAGATGGTGAATGATCTAAAAAAAGAATATGATGTGAACTTTTTAAAAATTGTTGAAACTTCCCTAAACAACTTCACGGAAGCTACTGGACCTTCCTCAGAGCTATAGGTCATGTATCAGAAGGCAACTGCTTATGACGAAACCTTCGGCGTGCGTATTAATCCGTCAGGGGTACTTTACTTTACGCCTTAGGTAACCGTGATTTACTGCTAAGAATTACCTGAGAGACAAGCCACTAAGCACGGCCCCATAGCAGCTTAGTACCTGGTAGCTTAGAGGTACAGTACGTAGCTTGATACGTAGCTCGGTACACAGTGGCTCTTAAGCCTTAAATGTTTCCCTCCCCACTGATGAGCTGCAGCTATTAGACAAGGGGCAATTTTCAACGTCATATTGAATTTAACTGTTATTGGAGGCTCTGCCTCAATTCATACTTGTACTTATATATCATCATCACAATTACCATGTCTTCCAGATTCAGTGCCGCGCGTCCAAAGCGCGCCGGCGAGAACTACGCACGAGCGCATCATGCCGAGCCTAATTCGAAGAAAGTCAAGTTCGACATGCGGAATCCATCCGCGCTTGCTCCCGACGCAGAAGACGAAGACGACGAGGCTGACAATTACCTCGAAGTCGACGCAGAAATCATCCGCGGGAGCGCTGCGACTAAGCGCGGAGCTGTAAACATCGATGGGTATGACTCGGATTCTGACCAGGAAGAGCTTGGCACTTTACACGCGTCGAAATCCAAGCCAAAGAAAGATGACGAGGATATGGATGACATGTTTGCGGCTGAAGAGGATGGTGACGAGAAAGAATGATACTGTGGATTACTCGACGGGGAAGAAAAGCAAGGAAGTCAATTTTGTAGATACCGAAAAGATCGAAGGCCAGGAAGCAGAATCAAAATCTGGTGGACACGTGCGCCTAGATGGGGAATCATCTGATGATGATGACGAAGAGGCAATAGAGCTCGCGATACAAGAAGAAGGCCTCGATGAGGAAATCGGTGCCGGCGGGCTCAAGAAACATGCCCCCAAAGTCGAGGCTTTCAACTTGAAAGCCGAGAACGAGGAAGGTCGATTCGACGAGGCCGGGAATTTCGTGCGCAAGGCTGTAGATCCCGACGCTGTACATGACCGCTGGCTAGAAGGCGTCAGCAAGAAGGACATGAAGAAAGCCGCCGAAGCCCACGAAAAGCGCGAGGCGGGAGCAGCGACAAAAGCGCAAGGAAGAAGACGCCGCATTAACATCAGATCTTCTCAAGTCCCTAATTCTCCATCTAGAGCGCGGAGAGACTCCAATAGAAGCACTCGCCAGGTTAGGTCGGGGCCAGACAAAAACCAAGAAAGTCCCCAAGTGGAAGCAGAAGAAACAGAAGCCGGATGCCATGGAGGTGGACGCCGAAAAGGCACCGGAAGACCCCGAGCAGACCCGTATCAAAGAAGCCATCAACACGATCACCGAAGCATCAGATAGGTTACTCGGGAGAGACCGACCGGATATCTACGACAGGGAGCGAGAGCGCTTAATCCGCGAATACACGCGCGAAGCAGACGAGCCCTGGGTCGAGCCGCAAAAAGAGTCCAAAGCAGCGCCTATAACCAGGATGTGGGAGTTCCGCTGGATCGACGGCAGAGACAACGCCGATAAACAGGGCCCCTTCGACGGGCCCACGATGAAAGCCTGGCAGGACGCAGGTTATTTCGGAGAAGGCGTTGAGTTCAGGGAGGCCGGCGAGGAAGGTTGGACTCGCCTAGCTGACTTTGTATGATTACCGGTCTTAGTGTTGTTGGACCGCAAAAACGAAAGGAATGATACCACGGCGTTCTTAGTAACGATTTGCGCACGATGTATGATTAGCTATTTGGAAAATCAAAGGACTGGCCTTCGAAGTAATAATTTAGTACGCTTTCGGATCGGATATTATTACTATATTTTACGGTGTCGGATGAGAATACGATGCTACTATAATCCAATGGATGGTATTACTGCATCATCCAAGTGAGCGGGATTCATCGTGAGACTATCCAGTTGCATTTAGAAGCCTACTCAGATTTATATTGCCCTCACAGAGTCATCGCAATGAAATATCAAGGTTTCTTCTGGAGCCCGAGTATGAATTGCAATGTAACTCTTGCTCTTATACTGGATATTGTATTTCGCGTATACTTCGGCAACCAAGACATTGTAAACCTTGGTCTAGTACGTCAAACTTGTGCAAATATCTGCATTATCACTTTAACTATCTAAGGTACACTACCTAAGCTATTGATCGTAGAAGGCCTTTCCCCCTTATTTTTGGTGAAACCCCTATTGCTCGGCTTAGGTAGGCTACGAAAAACCGTAAGCATGACACGAGGTACATTACATTACTGGGGGAGCCAACATCAAAGCACACGAGCACACAATACATCAAGAGCGTAGCCAAATGAATTAAGTAGGTAGTCATTCAAAATACCATTTTGCTCGGCCGTGCCGGCGGGATATCATCGAAGTAAGTACGACTGCAGGATAACAAAAAAAAAACAGAGAATTGAGTACATAAACGGCCAACGCTCAAAAAAGGGAGGTACCAAGAGCAATCCATCTTGTTCCCTCCGTGTGCTTTCTCCTATGGAACGCCAGTTCATCTAGCTTTTGTTTTTTTCCTCTTCTCAACTCCCCTCGTCTGACGGGTAAGATAGACAGATAGAATCACGCGCGTAAAATCAAAACCAGGTTATGTTCCCTTAGTCGCGGTACCTGTATACGATGTTCACAAAACCAACCCCTTATTCCGTTCGTTCCTGCGAGACGCCGCATGATACTCCGGGTCGCCCTCGACCAATATCCTCACAACCTGATTACCCAAACTTAGGAAGGATTGTTGCAGAGGTGGGAGGAAGACAAGAGTTTTGGTATCATGTCGTAGAAATCATGGTTCGTAATATACATTAGGATGAAAATCGGTGCCGTAAGAACTGTGTATCTCTTTGGTAACCTCAATATTGGTTCTAGTTTTAGGTGGAAGTCCCGTTTGTTGTGGAATGTCCTAATTTGGTTAGGGACTCGGCTGGCTTCCATGGGCCATTAGCCTGCATGACTTTGCGTAAGACATCGAGAGTGATCGGTATAGCTTCCTCAGGTATCGTCCATGGTCCAAGTCTGTCTATGAGCTTGCCTATCGAGCCTCCGTCGTCCGACCTGGATCCATCGTATACCCCCATATTTCTGCGTGCGCCGTCAGCCTGGTGCCAGATGTCTTGCTGCTCCTTGCAATTTGCGACGATCTGGACTGCAAGTTCAGAATCGGTAGGGTACGACCACATCATGCGACCAATGTACACGAGACAGATGCCCTGGAGCCGCAATACTAACGCGGTCAGCGCATTGTGTCTTGCACAATCGGTTCTGGCTACTCGGAATAATAACAACAATTCCCGCATTGACCGGGTTGAAGCTCGTTTACGCTCAAGGTCGGAAGCGTCACTTTGAAGTTTGAAACCAAGGAGAAATGACACTACACACTGAATGCCAGCAGCGATAGCAACTTGACGCTCGCGTTCCGAAACTCCATCCGCGGGGTTCTTCAAGACTGCGTCTCGTTCGTGCTTTAGCTGGGTGCCAAGCTTGATGAAAGTCACGGCTCTTGAATGCAGCTTCTGCAGCTTCTCTGGATCGACAGGTGGGCGGCGTCGATCGGGTGGCTGCGCGGCTGGCGTGAGGCCGTTCGTAACCCCTGGGGTACCAACTTGGGAACTATTAGATGCGCCTCGCGTCATTCGTGATGACGGTCCTGGTGGCGTAGAAGGCCGTGGGTTCTCTAGAGGCTTTGGCCGTTTGATCGCCTCGCTGGGGGGATCCGCCACGGGTCGCTTACGTGCAGTCCCGGGTTCCAAGCTATCGGAACGATCACGAGCGACGCGACCACCATCCCCTAATAAATTGCTCTTCCTGCCGCCAGAAGGTAAGTTTAAGAGCCGTCCTATCGTCTTCGCATTTCGCTTCTTATACTTTAATGTGACTATGAGCGATTCCCGTTGCCCTTTGCCGCTATCCACATGTATGGTATCTTCGCGCCTCGAAGGCTTGGCCGCTTTTTTCTGACCGTTAGGAGAGTCGGAGGCGATCTGGCTACTTCTTTGACTCGAGTCCTTTGAAGTTGATTTTGTTCTCGCTAATTCCTCGAGCACAATGGGCGGGAGTGTCGGAGAAAGAAGGGGCGGAACCTTTCGCTTCTTAGGGCTAGGAGACGGCTCACGATCTTCTCGATTTTTCTTCGAAGGCGGTTTTAAGCTATTCGAATCCGCCGGCTTCTTCTTAGGGCTGGGCCGCGACGGCTTAGAATCGTCCATGTAGTCTAATATATCAATCGGAGATAATAAGGGAGGTACGTAAGGCACCTTAGAGGTCGAGTTGTTTTCTACTTTCTTATCTGATCCGTCCTTATTCTTAATAAGTTTTTGAGTACCATTCACTTGGCTGGGAGGCCTAGGAGATACACCTTTATTTCCTGTACTGTTGAGTGACGGTTTTCCGTTGGTGGTCGGTGTGCCCTTAAAATCTTTAAGATGTTTCCTCTCAGAGGCTATCTGCCGCTCGGGCTTCTGAACAGCGCTATCCTTGAGGGAACGTGAGCTTATAGAGTTAGGCGTGGAGCTCTCAATCTTGCTCCGCTTAGCTGGCTTGGACTCGTGCTCAGCCTCTATGACCCGTCTTTTCCTATCCGGCGAGGGACTACGAGGGCGACGCGCCTCAGGCCTCATGCTAAGTTTTGCGTCGGGGATTTCTTTCTTAATAACACGGTGATCCTCCGTCTCTTTCGTAGTTGATTCAAGTTTTTTCTTTGGAGGCGCATTCGTCTTCGAGTGTTGCGCTACTGGTTTGGGCGTTTCTTCGCCGTCGGGTGACTTTTTCCTATTCTTGTAGTCTTTTAGGGAGAGTTTCGTTTTTGGTTTGCTCGGATCAGCTCTTCGAGGGGTTGGGGTATCGGCCGCGCTGACTGGATTTAAAGGTTCTTCCCGCACATCAAAGTAGGCCCTAGTCAGAAGTACACCACGCTCTGCGTCACTAACGAAAGTTGTGTATTGAAGGGGTCTGATGTCCTGCTCTTCTAATCTCTTGTCATCCGCGTGTGGTCGGTATCGGCGCGTCGTGTCTAGTGACAAGTAATGTGCTTTGAAAGGGAGGACGTCTTTAACTAATGTTTCAATATGTTTGGTTACTTCCTCCATGGTTTTCTTTGTTCATGCAACTTCGAAACGTTGCACGCGAACCTGGTGCTAGGAATCATGAAAGGAATCGCGGTTGCGGTGACAGATGCGAATTACGTAGGATCGATATGAGTCGGTATGATGTTGAAGGTATCATCAGATTATAGGGCGCTGCGATAAGACGGAGATATTTCTTCTATAAGGTTAGAGTTTAGTATTTCCGGTTATTGCTAGTCTTCGTAAAATGGGTGAATAGAAGAACGTATGATACGGAGATCGGACAATGATTTGACGTGTATTCCTCGAAGCAATGGCGACGACAAGTCAATTCGACAGGCATTGGCTGAATTGGAAATTATGGGGATGGGTACAATAAAAAAAAAGCACCATCCAAAAGTACTTCTCTTTAATGGAGTTTTATTGACTGACCTCAAAGTTGGGTGCGATGGTGACTCTCGCTCTACCCTTTTTTTTTCGCCTTTTGCACACCCTTAAAGCCCGTAAAGTACAATGCAATACACAGTAGATAGACACAAGTTACTGTTGTCGCGTAGACATCATTTGCTGTTTTATCCAGCCTCCAATAAATCCTCGTGACATTCGGCCCGGCGCATCGCTCGTCAAAATGTGGTTCGCGTCGGCGAAGGATTACGAGAAGGAAAAAAAATATATATCAGGGACGTAAGCAGAAGATAAGTGTTATTATGATATGGAAAAGGGTTTGTAATGAGGCTCGTCGGGAGAAAGAAAGGAAAAGTAACAAAGAGTGTCGGGGTAGTCAAAAGTAAAGTCTGCGTACTGATGACCAGGTATTGTTGTTGCAGATGATGCGTGATGATCGGCAGCGGGAAGAAAGTTGGTGAAGTGGGTGAACACCGAACCCGTCGTAGTAGCAGGCGGTAACAGGCGGTAGCAGTCGTAGGTAGGGACGGAGTGTACGCTACACAATAAAAATGCAGGGATATTTCCAGTACGGGGGTTGCTTGGGTCAAGTTAGATCACTTAGGTCAGTTAGGTCAGTTAGGTCACTCGCGCCTTCAGCGATGGTGAAGGACCGGATGGTAGTAGAAGTGGCTCTAACGGGGTAAGAGACACGGGCAAAGATGGAACCCCCAGTTTTGATCTAACCCTCCAAGTTTTTCCCTTGTTGTGTTGCGGCTACCCGTTCTACCGTTTCTTGCTTGACATTCACAACGTCGGGGAAAGTCCACTAACCAACCTTACGTACCTCTTTTGCGTACTTACCTCCTGCCCTACCATAATACTCTCCCTCTTAACTTAGATGGGAATGGAGTACATAGGATTTTATGTGGCTTTGTGTGGCTTGACCGACCATAGATAGAACCCTCCCTTACCTTCGGTACCAGCTGAGGACCCCCCACCAGTATGCATCGGAATGATTTGATAGGGCACCAGAATAGTCTATTCCTTCCACTAGCATCGCATCATTCACACATGCACCCGATTACTACCCTATCTGCCATATCTACGTGTACCTAACCGATTACGGATTATACAAGAGGAAGACTATATCAAAGAATCAAAGCAGCCCGACGCCTCTATCTTTCTGCCGGGCTATACATCTCCGATATGCAAGAAACAGTTCTTATAAGCGAGAGAGATATAACTCTTCTCTTCTGATAGGTGGCACAATGTGTAATTGTTTTCTAGATGCGAAATCATGGTAGAGTCGCTTCGGTTTATACTTTGCGGATAATTCCACGTGTATTGACGAATTCTAACTTCGAAATGTTCTTTGTTATGTACAAATCCGAGACAAATTGTAAAAGGGTGTGGTTTTAACAAATCAGAGCCGCCGGCAAGTAAGGCGGCATGGGTTGCAACTCGTACATTAGGTACGTATTCGTAGTAAGGCAAGACCTACGGGAATTGGCAAGCTTACATGGGGAGGGAAACGCAAGGCTGATGTGGGGTTGCTTCATATGTATTGCATCTTGCCGTAAGATCTTAAACCTTTTTTTCTTGTTCGGGATCTTAGCTTCTGCAGGCCTTGCAGTTTGTCAGCCTCATATTATAAATCTATTTACTTTGACGAACTTCAACAATTCAACGTACACTCGTTTTTTTTGACTACGTAAATTTATCAATCTACAGCTATATGATTTCTACCTATGGATCGGCGACAATAACGACACTTGATATATCTTCCAGTCTGTCTATTTTCATATTGTGAAAATACCCAACGACACTTAACCATTTACCCCCAGCCCATCCTCAAAGATGGCAGACAAATCCGACACCAAAATACTCATCTCCACGAGCATTGTGGTCTTCCTATCCGGCTTCCTACTGGGCATGTACTCGGTGCGAGGGTACCTATTCATCTCTCCGTCCCTAGCCTCCCAGCGCCAAAGCAACCTTAACGACCCCCTCGAGAGCGAAGAGTCCGATATCGACGAAGGCGATACAATCCTCGACCATGCGCCTAACTGGGCCAACGGCGAGGACGCCGATCGAAGAGACGGTCTCAAGGCCTCTAAGCCGCAGAAGGCAAAGAAGACTCCCAAGGACAAGGCAAAGGACAAGGCGGACAGTGCTCAGCCTCAACAAACAGTAGCCGAAGGGTCTGCAAACGAGGAGTGCAAGCTAGTCCTGGTTGTGCGGACAGATTTAGGCATGACAAAAGGTTCGTTGCCTATATTCCTATTATTCCTTCAATCATACTACAAACTCAATACTAACGTGTATCCGCACTTCACAGGTAAAATAGCAGCACAATGCTCCCATGCTACCCTGGCATGCTATAAGACCCTCACCCGCGCCGCCCAACGAACCCCCTCATCAGCCGAAGCACGACTCTTACAGCGCTGGGAACGCCGGGGACAAGCCAAGATCGCCGTACAGGTGAAGTCAGAGGCCGAGCTACTGGATCTGATGGGTAAGGCGCGCAGCCTAGGCATCACAGCCGAGGTCATCCAGGACGCCGGCCGTACCCAGATAGACCCCGGCAGCCTAACAGTCCTAGGCGTTGGGCCCGCTCCCAAAAGTCTTGTTGATAAGGTCACTGGTGGCCTCAAGTTGTTATAATAGGCCTTCTATGTAGACATAATTTGGCGTGATGGGAACATGGTCGATATATAATGGACGCATACATCGGTAGACAAATGGGCATATAAATAGATATGGGCAGTATGAAATACGCTGAGACACAAAATATACCCACAGGTAAACACCCATGAGTTGTTTATAAAAGTGCATATATAGGTAGTTACGGAGTTTAAAAAAAGTCAAGGTTAATTTTTGATTGTTCACTGTTTTATTATTTCCAGCAGGAGTTGCAAAACTCCTCTGGTTTGGGAAGTGAAGCTCTAAACCGTAGACATACGCACATGACCTCTACACTGCCAGATCTTTGCAGACCTTCCATCTTCATTTGACCTCCAACCTCTAGCCGACTTTTCTTTCCGAAGCCCCTGCCTTAGAAGCATTAATACATACAAAGGGCTATGGGTATTTCAACTATGTCTGGGTAGTATTCTGTTGGCTTTTCGTGTCCAGCTTTCTTTTTTTCATCGGGTCCTGGGCAGGCGACCCGGGAGAAGATGGCCGTTTTCCCAACGGTGGAGAGGCTTTAATTATCGCTGCCAGATATTTAGGATCCTTCAACAAAGTGAGAGTGTTTTCGACAAGCGCAAGTTTGGCTTTTAATTCCCCAACCCCTGTTTCGACGCTAATGATCCGTCCCTCAGTTTGATTCCTATAGGGATCAAGGTGCTGCAAAATATGCACAGCCATTTGTTTTGAGTTGGTGTTGGCCCACTGGCCGTCTAACGTCCTAACACAAAGCTCGAGTGCATCGAACCGTTTCTTGGCGTCCTCGACATCTGCTTTAATCGCACTCACGATCGAGTTCAGGCCGACCGTTCCTCCAGTAACATTGCTCTGCTGGAGGCTGCTTACTCTACTCTCCATATCGGCCAATTTGATGATGACGCTATCAAGCTTAGGACCGGCTCCTTCGACTTCTAAGGATTTTATACACTGTTGCAGGTGCTGCAGTGCATTGCGTTGTTCATCTTCGGTCTGCTTTAGTATATTAATTTGCGTAGACAGCTTTTCAAGAGCATTTACGTCTGCTGTAATTTTGTCAACGCGAACTCCTAATTCGTCAACTATGTCGGCGCAACTGTTACCGGACTCGGCAACTATCTTCTCCGTGGCTTCCCGCAACACATCCAGCTTTTCTTCAACCCAAGCTTCTTGTGCAAACTGATTTGCCGATGTCTCGTTGCTTGGTTGCGCCACAACCGGTCGGGAATTTTCAGCATCTTCTGAACTTCCGTGTTTCTTGTATGAAAGAATCATTCTTGTCGAAATGAGACGTGGCTGACTCCTGTAAAGAATGAAAATCTTGACGTAGAGCCGCAATTGTTTTTTCATTTGAAAACACCTTGGATTTAAAATCATGGTCGATCCAGGTCTCTAGGATTTCATTATAGGTCTCCATGTCAAGCTCTTTGACCTTATCCATGAACGTAGTCGCTTTCCTTTCCACATCATCCACTCTAGTGGTAAAGGATCCGAGATCCTGAGTCAACCGGCTTAAGTCATCCTGAGTTTTCTTAAGAAATTCAAGATCTGCAATTTGTGTCTTGAGCTGCGAGTTTTCGGATTGTAGAGCATTATAATCGGTTCTTAACACCTTAAAATCCTTATCTAGGTGATTGAAAGCCTGGATTGACTGTTCTTGCTCACTACGTAATATCTGAATTTGGGTATGGGCATCAAATATTTGTTTTTGCTGCTCAGAACTTTGTTTCTGAAATTCGGCAAATTTGGCCTCCAGCGCTCGGAATGAGTTGTTCTCAACTGTCTGCGATTTGGAAGATGTTACGGAGGACACGGCTTTTTCTAAGGTTTCTGCGAATTGCTGATCGAGTTTAGCGATACTTTTTGAGATATCGTCCCGTTCTAACTTTCCATTTTCGTCAAATCGTCGCTGGAATTCTGAGTATGGAGCATAATCATTAATTTTGCTGGCGACTTTATCAACTTCATTCTGACGTCGATGGTCTTCGCGCAAAAGTTTGGTTTTCCGTAAATTCAAAAGCATGCGCTCTTGAGAAGTCTCGTTGCATTTATATAAAATATCGAAAACTTCTTGTAACCTAGGATCTTTGGTTTTCGGAATGCTTGGTGGGGCTATAGGACCCGGACTGGATGTTTTAATTGCCTTTGGAATATTATCGGTGGCTATTGTTCATGTTAGACTAATTAGTGGCTTAGCGGATTATCGGGGAAATTAAAACTCACCCGGTTCAATTGGGGTTTGGGCGGGTACTTCTTGACGTTGGAATGCTATTCGTAGCACTAGCGGGGGAATAGGTACCTGACACAGCCCTTCTAGGACCGGTAGGAATTCTTGTGTCAAGAGAAAGTCGATGAAGGTCTTTTGAACCACCCATATCTCTTCCATGACCGTGTGGACTTCGTGTACCTTCCGCGTCCCCGGAGTCGCGTCGACCTAAAACCATGTTTCGGTCACGCTCACGGTCACGCTCAACCTCTCTGCCGCGATCACGAGAATATTCACTAGAAGCGTGTCGATCCTCTGATAATGGTTTATACGAGTCAATACCGTACGAACGGGCGTCGCTCGTCTTCAAAACCACTTACTCTGGATCGGGGGTATGACATAATAAAGTAAGAAAAATAATAATTGGGTTTGTGGTTATCAGAGGTATTGAATCCGAGGTTATCTTGCTAACCAGGGAAATAGAATCAGCCAGCGACTTCCCCAATTCTTGAAATTTACACTGCAACTTCCTGATAACCCAATCACGTACAACGCTGTCATTGCCTTGAAAGATCACTGCTCCAGGCTACTTAGGTTTTGTTGGCTCTTCCCAAGTCTTTGAAAAAAACTTAGATAGTAGAGACAACTATAACCCAAGTATAACAGGAACATGCAGTCTTGAACTCAGTCAAAAACACGGCGAGGCACAATAGGCACCTACCTAAGTAGATACTATAACGCCTTCAAACCTGATGTTTTTTTTATTACTTCAGAGTCGCGACGTGTGGGTAGGTACTGTACGAGAAAGTGTTGTTCAGAATGTTCAGAAGAGAGTAACCGGGCAAACGCAAGTCAATCACAATACTTGGAGATCTGCTCTCAAGATACAGTCTCAATATAAGTATTTAATCCTGTGCCAACGGATAAACAGTCGCCGCTGTCAGATTGAAGGCGTGGATCGAGCTGGATCGAGTTGGATCAAGTAAGGGAGGATGCAAGCAAGAGAAAGAGTTGGAACATTGAAGAATAAGTTGAAGAATAAGTCGGGTGGGTGGTGCTTGCAAAAATATATTGCTTCGGTAGGAGTTGCAGTAGAAGAAGTTGCAGTCTGGTAGAGTTTAGACCCCTTAGCGCTGTTAGCGCTTGGTAGGTGCACACAGCTAATTCAACACCGTGTTAGCGATAGACTTCGCTCCGTGGGCACCTACTTGACGAGTACTTAATAAGAAAATGAAAGGGAAAAGTGGTAGGTGGGCCAACGAGTATATGCGTTGTAAGATGCGTTCATGAATTATCAGACGACGGGAGCCAAGTAAATAGAGTAGGTACCTAAAGTACCTAAAATACCTAAGATAGGTACCTCCTATAGGCATGGATCACGAAAAGATGTAAACCAACCGTGCAGTACAACATTACCGGCAGTTGCCTGTACCTAGGTACACATCATAAAGATGAGAGGGGGGTGTCATGAATTTATAATAAAATACGAGGTGGATTTTGACTGTTGTTGCCAACAGAGAAAAAAAAAAAATAGAAAGCCAACTTGCTTTCATGTATAAAGTTGCTTAGTGTTGCAACTATGAGATCGACGCGATGAAACGCGATATGCAATCCAAAATAAAGTGGCAAAGAAACAAGTAGATAAAACCCGGTCCACGATTTAATTGCTTTTTCCAATCGGTTGGTTCAAGGTCGTAAGATTTAGTTAATATTAGGCTGGGGTACCGAAGTATGTATTGTATACTTGATCATTGGATTATTTTCAACAAAATATCGGTGGTGGCCAGGTAACACAACGATCAGAATATAAGTGAGTGGGGTAGGGCATCTGTTGTCAGGCGGTTCAGGTTGCACTGCATTTACCATTATGAGGAATTAATTAATATAACCAATCAAAAGATTTATATATCTATAACTCTGCGTACCCCCTTTAGTTGCCTTGTAAAGTTACACCGCAAAAGTCAGCCACCAGAAAAAGTCCTACCGGAAGATTGCTTCCAAAGAAGCCACAACGCCACATCTACTCGCCCTGGCAGCATATCGTATACGCCACAGATTTGCGAAGATGAACTGATAAGATATTCCGTATCGATACTGTACAACAAGCCGTGTACCCATGTAACGCGTTTAATTTTCCAGAGCTGCGATTTGACTTCTTAGGAAGCTTTAATCGGGTAAAGATTTAACAGGTAACAAGGCCAGCCAGCGAAGAGACAACGCCAAAACAGTAAACTCCAGAGCTACAAAAACACTCAACCCGAGGAATTGAAACCGAGTTTTCTTCAAAAATGGCTGCTGTAAGTAACCACTTTACAAATTAAAAAATTTCTTTACCGATAATAAACGAGAAATGGAGCTCCGAAAGCTAATCAATATTGTGGAAACATACAGCCCGTCATGACCGTCGGCGAGACAAAAGAGCTGCGAGGCTTGAACCTCATCGCGGCGCATTCGCATATCAGAGGCCTAGGCGTAGATGCCGACACGTTAGAACCTCGCTCGGCGTCGCAAGGCCTCGTCGGCCAGGAAAAGGCGCGAAAGGCGGCGGCTGTCATACTAGAGATGATTAAAGTAGGGAAGATTGCCGGAAGGGCGGTTCTCATTGCCGGACCTCCAAGGTAAGCCAAGCTACAATTCATACATCTATCAACTCTATGAACCTGCCATTGACCATACGACACCTCACAGCACGGGTAAGACAGCCATCGCAATGGGCATGGCGCAATCGCTCGGCCCGGACGTACCCTTCACATCGCTCGCCTCGTCCGAGATCTTCTCGCTCGAGATGTCCAAGACGGAAGCCCTAACGCAAGCCTTCCGCAAGTCGATCGGCGTGCGCATCAAGGAAGAATCTGAGATCATGGAGGGCGAGGTCGTCGAGATCCAGATCGACCGCAGCGTGACGGGCGGCGCCAAGCAGGGCAAGCTCACCATCAAGACGACCGACATGGAGGCCGTCTACGACATGGGCGCCAAGATGATCGACGCCATGACCAAGGAGCGCGTCATGGCCGGCGACATCATCTCCATCGATAAGGGCTCCGGCAAGATCACCAAGCTAGGCCGCAGCTACGCCCGCAGCCGTGACTACGATGCCATGGGTGCCGACACAAAGTTCCTGCAGTGCCCGGACGGCGAGCTGCAGAAGCGCAAGGAGGTCGTGCACACCGTTACCCTTCACGAGATTGACGTTATCAACTCCCGCACCCAGGGCTTCCTAGCCCTGTTCAGCGGCGACACGGGCGAGATCCGCAGCGAGATCCGCGACCAGATCGACACCAAGGTAGGCGAGTGGAAGGAAGAAGGCAAAGCCGAGATTGTACCTGGCGTGCTCTTCATCGACGAGGTACACATGCTCGACATCGAGTGCTTCAGCTACATCAACCGCGCGCTCGAGGTCGATCTCGCCCCCATCGTCATCATGGCCAGCAACCGCGGACACTCCAAGATCCGCGGTACAGATTACCGCAGCCCCCACGGTCTACCCCTCGACTTCCTCGACCGTGTCGTTATCATCCAGACGCAGACCTACTCGCCCGACGAGATCCGCCAGATCCTCGGCCTCCGCGCCACCGAGGAGGAAGTCGACGTATCAGCCGATGCCCTAGCCTTACTAACAAAGATCGGCCAAGAAGCCGGGCTCCGGTACGCCAGCAATCTAATCACAACCTCGCAACTAGTCAGCGCCAAGCGCAGAGCCAAGCAAGTATCCGTCGAAGACGTCCAGCGCAGCTTCAAGCTCTTTTACGATCCCGCCCGCAGCGTCGGGTTCGTAAACCAGTCAGAGAAGCGGTTAATCGGCGAAAGCGGCGCCGTCGACTTGACAGTAGCCAATGGGCACGCCGGTGGTGACGCTATGGAGATCAGCTGAGCGTAATTTGGGTGTTTTATTTCTTCCCCCTTTTCAGTGGCGTTACATGGGATACCAAAAGCTGGTAGCTTAGGCGAGAACAAGAGAGACAGGCCAAGCAAGCTACTACTACTACTACTACTATTTACCTACTATACCGGATGAGTAATTTACGATATAAGAGTGTGTATCATAGGTACATCGGCATAAGCGGATTGCAATATTGAGACTTTTCCAAGTTACAATTACTACTTTTGTATTAATTCGAAGTGATCAATTGTCAATGCGAGTAGAGAAGATAGAAGTAATTATGTGGTGATACTACAGGGTATGATTTTGCAATCTCGTCATGCAGTGTAACCAATTTCACAGCCACGATATATCGAAGATGTCAATATGAAGATGATTTTTTTTGTTTATTTCATTTATCTATGATGAATCATAATAATGTCGTACTGCTCAACCGAGCCCAGCCATATTCCCTGGCAGTCATTACTTGGACGAAAACCCACCCGCACGTTTTGATTACGCCGTCAGAGCTTTCTTTCATTAAGTTGTAGGAAATTATTTGCCAGCGTCAACCTTGGCGACGTAGGACAGGAGATCAAGGACACGTCGGCTGTAACCCCACTCGTTGTCATACCAGCTGACAAGCTTGACGAAGTTCTTGTTTAGAGAGATACCGGCCTTGGCATCGAAGATGGAAGAGTTGGTGTTGCCGTTCAAGTCAGTAGAGACGACATCGTCCTCGGTGTAAGCCAGAACGCCTGAGATAATATATTAGCTCCGAGTTTGGGTTTATTATTAGATAGAAATATAGCTTACCCTTGAGAGGACCCTCAGCAGCCTCCTTGATAGCGGCCTTGATCTCGTCGTAGGTGGCACCCTTCTCGATACGGATGGTCAAGTCGACAACAGAGACGTTGGAGGTAGGAACACGCATGGACATTCCGGTAAGCTTGCCGTTAAGGTCGGGAATGACCTTACCGACGGCCTTGGCGGCACCAGTGCTGCTGGGAATGATGTTCTGAGCAGCGGTACGGCCACCTCGCCAGTCCTTGTTGGAGGGACCGTCGACAGTCTTCTGTGTGGCAGTGTAGGAGTGAACGGTGGTCATGAGACCCTCAATGATGGTGAACTTGTCGTGGATGACCTTGGCAAGGGGAGCAAGGCAGTTGGTTGTGCAAGAGGCGTTGGAGATGACATCGGCCTTGCCGTCGTAGGTCTTCTCGTTCACACCAATGACGTACATGGGGGCATCGGCAGAGGGGGCAGAGATGACGACCTTCTTGGCACCACCCTTCAAGTGAGCCTTGGCCTTCTCAGTGGTGGTGAAAACACCAGTCGACTCGACGATGTACTCAGCACCAGTCTCCTTCCAGGGGATGTTGGGGGGTCACGCTCCTGGTAGAACTTGACCTTCTTGCCGTTGACAATGAGGCCATCGCTCTCGTGGGAGACGGTTCCCTTGAAGATACCGTGAGTCGAGTCGTACTTCAGCATGTATTCAGCGTAGTGAGTCTCGATGAAGGGATCGTTAACGGCAACGATCTCGATATCCTCGTGCTCGACAGCATTTCGGAAGACGATACGGCCGATACGGCCAAATCCGTTGATGCCAACCTTGACAACCATTTTCAACTGAGTCTGCGAGGATTGATGTTAGATGAGATTTTGGGCTATCAGGTGAAATTGAGAGTATGATATAGAAGATGAAAAAATTTAAGTTTGTAGGATAAGTCGTAAGACGAGGTATTTCAATTCATTCAGCTCAATGGATCACGGCCGTCCGAAATTGATAAAAATAGAATTGTTACTGTGTAGTACAGCAATTCCATTTTTTGACTGGTCTCGTCTCGCATCCCAGCGTTGCAGAAAGAGCTTTCCGAGATTCCAAACAAAGCCAAGTGATCCAAGTAGGCGGGCGGGGCAAGAAACAAAACCCTCGTCGACGTTACAACATCCATGCGATAATCAATAGCGGGGTAGTGAAGTGTGAGCTGTTTGGAGGGGGGGAGAGAGGGGAAGCTATCTCTTACCTATTATTTAAATTGGAAAAGTTAACGTTCTGTTTTTGCTGGACTCTGACGTGAACTAGAAGCTTGATTAGAGAAAAATAATAACAAGAGGAAAGAATTGAAAGAGGTAGACGGACCAGATTAAATATGTTGTTGTTGAGTAAAAAGAGGGATATGGAGGGGTTACTAGTGTTATGATGGCATATGAGCGACATAAAATAAAAATGGAATTGGTTGAGGGACGAGACCTTACCTTTTCTAGGTACCTGCCTACCAAGAAAAAAAAATATGATGCAGCAAGGTGGGTAGGTGGGGTGCTTAATCCCTCCCATAACAGCAATAGCAGCCCATAACAACTTCCCTATGGTTTTTCCCATAGACTTGGCCCTTACAACACACTTGCCCACATGCGATTACCCAGCTGCCCAGACAAGGCCTATTATTTTTAGAGGGGTTAAAAAAGTAACTTCATTCGGGGAATTCCTACTGTACTCCTTGATAAACTGTACTTACTAGTTACATTAACATCCGCAGTACCCCGCCGCGCTTCTCTCTCAATACACATGTTACACCTACGCTAACATACTAAATCCATAATCACGTCTAACATCAGATGTTTCTAAAGAGAATATGATGCGTTGACTTATATGGCGAGAGATATGAGCTGACTTAATAGAAATCAAACGAGAAGTATCGTGCAATCACAAGATAAAAAATCCTCTATCATATATCAGTCAATAAGTCAATAAGTCAATATCAAATTAGATACCAATGCTTTTTTTCGTCTTTCTATGTTCTTTGCTCTTCGTTGTTCTTTTATAGGGGATCTATACGAAACGAGTACGACGGACAAACCCATAGAACCGGGTAAGATGTATAGCGCTTGTAACTCCGGAGAGCTCCTAGAAACAGTGTACTTAAGATCCGTTGACATCACACAGATCCTTATTCGAGGGACTATCAGTGACGACCCCCAAATTCAATAAATGCGTCCCATGAAAAATAACTCAAAACTCATAAGGAAAAAGACTATCATATTTCTCAAACTGAGGTCTTAAAGAGGGTCTTGAAAGCTTCCAAGAGTTTCAAACCAAGCTCCGACATCCATGTATATCCAAAGTCACTCTTCCATAGCCGAGAAACATTCTTATCACTGTGTTAAACGAAAATGGCACGAATGTCTAACGGGTTCTCGGTCATTGTACGGGACGCATTTCACGATTATATCCGATATAGCTCGGCTCTTGCAAAGCATAGCCGAATTGGCTAAGACGACAGAGTAAGAATTACTTCGTCGTGATTCCAATATTAAACAAAGTCAAGACGAATTATTGCGTTGGTCCGAAACCCATGAGAATAGGATGGCGAACTTCTAGTGTTACTATTGTTACGGCGTTCGGCGGCTCAGCTTACACATTCCACATGTGGGCATAGATCTCAACTTTTAGTTCGATGTTGCCTTCAGGGTCCCCCATTAACATGCATCTAAGGTCCGCCAGGTACCGGAGTTTCAAAGCAACGCTACTCCGCAGCTATTCCGTATGACCTCTCGAGAGACTACAATACTAGTGTATCAGTGTATCAGTGTATCATAATCGACTGCTGATAAATAGCTATCAATGCTCGCCATCAGCTTCTACTGATCGTCACGCCTTATCGTGTGACCCATGAGTCAAAAAACAACGAACAGTTAACTTCTCAACTTGTTGAATTGTTAATGCGTTGTATCCGACATCGCATGTGTGTGACAAAAATGACAAAAACCTTCCACCTGGCTGGCCAACCTCCTGATCCAACCAATGTGGATGGGCAAGGGCCAAACGTGCCAATAAAGCATACGCAAGCCATAGATAGCAGTAAGCAGAAAGCAGAAAGCAAAATCTTACCAGCATTCTCCCGCTAATCAAGCTTATTCTAGTGAAGTTCATGACTGGCCGAATGGGCAACGCCACACAAGGCTGGAGAAAATAGGCCCGATCATTGGTTTCTCCCTCCCACGGCAACACAGCATTCAAGGGGCACCATAGGAAGCACCTAGAGGCTATCTACTAGTCTATACAAGTCGTAGTAAGACTATCGACGCGCCGGTTAGCCGCGCTATACATTACATAGCTCCATTGCCTAGGCCACGTCCATCTCCGGTGGAAATTTGACTCCATCTAGAACTTCTGCCTTCGGTAATTTCGTGGATCCCGGCTCCGGCAGCCGGAGCCAATTGCTTGGCTTTAAAAACCTGAGCCCTTTTTTTTTCAATTACGAGCTCTACATGTATGTATGCGGGCCGCATGCTCTTTACATGATTTAATGACGAATAGCCGTTTGTTGATTTTGATTATACTCCCTTGGCTTATCCCGCGAGAGGGCTGAATAAAGCCACGACAAAGCCGGTGCGGCATTTACTTCGATTCCTCGTAATTTTAGCCTATGCGAGCTCTGTTTTGAATGCCAATTATAAAACAGATGAGAGCGTTTACTTCTAAACAGCCGTATAGACCTAGCAAACTCGATGTTATTAATGTATAAAGTTGCACTTCTTAGTTATGAGGTTCTGCTAGTTAGGTATGTTTTCTATATTAACAGGTAGCCAATGAAATGAAAAATTATACACATCGTCGAACTCGAAGCACATGACTTTCCAATATCATACACCCTGAATAGCGCCGATGCCACAATCAACGCCATATTTCAGAAATACTTCGCATAGTGATGATTGTAATTGAGGTATATCAATATCCTTGTTTACGAATTGGTGATCATGGCTATACATTGTAGTCGCTTTTTAACTACGACCCCAGTCATTTAGCTAAATACCTAGGTTAGATATGTCTCGTTCATCACCGATGCAATTACCAAACGCCTCAAGGCAGAATACACGTTCCCATAAACCTAGCGCTCACTCAGAATTAATCATACCAACATCTCACATTCATCCAGCGGAAATACCTCGTAATCACAAATATACATATAAATTTTCTTGTTCTTTTTGAATAAATAAACCCCTGTACCACTACCCAGTCCCCATCCCTCATATCCCGGAATTTATTTGTCAGCCATGAGTCCCCTGTTTGCCCTTTTCGTACACCAGCGCCCCTACGATTGGGCGTTGCGAATCCAAAGTGGCTGACCGCATGTTCACGCCAGCTGGGGGAGGGGTGCGAAAGACCCAACCCGATCCCACGATGCTGGGTGTCTTAATAAGCATACCAATGCTGTTTCGCCTCATCGTTATATATAATATATGGGTCCCCGTCAGCAACGCCCTGTATAATACATAGTCACGAGAGGTTGTCCGGGATATGGTAATGATACCATTGGTATTTCGTAAAGCTAAAGCCATGAGTAACCATTTTAGTAGATGCTAAATATGGGGTATATCACAGGTCATGTTCTACGTGGCCGTCTAATATTACCTAGCATTCTCACCAGAAAGCCCCTATGATATTGGCGGATCTATAATCAGGAATAAGCTCGACAGTTAGTCATATTCTTGATCAAAGCCATTATTAACCAGTACTCATAGATACCATTAGAAATCTTATCGGTATACATCGAGCGGCTGGGGACGTCATATGTAGCGATGCATATCTCTCAGTGTTACCTAATCAGTTCTAAATACGACGGGGTTTTGGTAGAACTTGTTCATATATGACTTTATAAGCAGATTCCTACTGTACTTCAATACTTGCGGTGATAGATTAGATCATTCGCACCAGCACCACTAATATCCTCGATTCAAGAAGCAAGGTTGAATTCATCATTCGCTATGGTGGCCATGTACAGCAATGATACAACTAGCTGGGTATAATCAGTGCGAACGCCCCCTTAATTACAGGTCTCCTCTTATCTTGAGAAGTCCTGCCATCCAAGTATAATACTGGTAGCATATGATTTGTTCAAGTATCCGTTCATGGGTATTTCAGTACACCATTTTCGAAGGGCGCCTCGAATCCATAAACGCCTCTGAAATGCTGTCATGAGCTCGTGAACCTGTCCTACACTATTACTTGAGTCCAAATCCCTCGCTCTCGTTAACCGCTCGCCATAGAAATTCTTCCAGTCTTTGGCGTGAGGCGTAGCGGTATAAGCCTAAGATATTAAAGCACGTCCTCGCAGAAGGGAACCGCCCTTCGTCGATGCCTAGACAATTGATCTTGATTACGAGAGATGCCGCACCCATAGCAGGGATGCGGTCGCTGCCCGTTATGAAAGATAGCAACCGACGTTGATCCGTAATAGAAGCTCTCTCGAAAGTATCCAGAACCACTGTACCGTGGGCTGTTGCTCGGGCGGCATGTGTATTGGCCAGTTCGTATACGCCGCGGCCCCTTGCAAGGCAGTAATATCTAACGATTCATCTGAACCGCGGATAGGAGTTCAATCTCCTCCGGTTTGAAAAGTGTCAGTGCATTACCAGCACATACGGTAAAAAAGCCTCGCTTGAAAGGTTCAAATTGCCGGCTGACCGAAGTATCAAGCAGATACCTGACATATAGATCGACATACTCCCGCCGGTTTGCGTTTGTCACCATCTTCGACTCGCCCCCTGGGCAAAGAGGCACTCTAACCCTAGTACCATATTTCTCGATTTCAATCACGAAGTCGAGACAAAATGTAGACTGGACATCTCCTTCGTAGCTTAGAACTGCCTTAGGCCCCTTGCGAGGACTGGGCGAAAACTCAGCTAATCGTCCAAGGTGTAGTTCATTGTCGGACGTAAGTGCGCTGGTGCCCCGAGGGTTGGGGAGGAGCAGAAGCGAGCAGCTTTCTAAAAGCAAAGGGTGGGAATGCGACATCCAATATGGTTGAGTTATATATGGCCAGGCCAAGTACACTCCGACAAGAAAGTATTGATCTGACGTCTCGAAGTATTTTGGGTTGAAGTAGCAGAAATTAGAGTCTTCGTCGTAAACAAAGAGTCCTATGATCATAACATTAGACATAATTCTTGAGATGAAATGAGTGAGACACTAACCATGGTCTGGATGATACCTCTCTCACGAGAAGTAAAACCACTCCTTCCGAAGTCCCCGCCATCAATACCCTCCCCCTCTGAATTCGATACGTAGACCTTTTTGATTTCCTCACTACCGCTACCAACGACTTCGCTTACTTGCTTCAGGCTGTCTTCCACGAGGCATTCTCGGCGGATTATTATGTTAAGGTATTGCTCGTAGTTCCTGTGCGTCAGAATACTATCGAAGAAGGCTTCTCTCGCTTTTCCAGCCATTTGCCGTTTGGCATCAAACTCCAATATCTGTATCTTTGCCCAGATGCTGAGAAAGATGGATATTGGCAGAAAGTGAAACGGCCTCTTCTTGATTCCATAGCTCAAGTCGGCTTTGAAGTCTAAGCCGTACTAACGAGTTGTAAAAATCGCTTTCGGTATTAAATGGCCATGACTACGCCCATTGGATTTATCAGTAGCCGGACGTGTGTCAAAGTGTTAGCTGAATATACAAGAGCCATGACTCTTGCGGCGGTAATCTGCCAGTCGTCCGTATATGCCGCCCGTTGCGGTTCGATAGGCAGCTTCTGCTTTTTTGACTTGGAGGATTCTAGGGCGGCGTGAAGTGATGCTGCTGTGTTACTGGAGCGAGAATTAGACATCTGTGGGATTAAACCACCCGTCACGTCAATTCGTGGCTCAACCTTTCTGGCTTTGCCGGCTCAACCTGTAGGCAATGAACCCACTAATAAATCCTTCGTTTGAAGAAGGAGATGTCGGGAGACCTAGAGAAACCAGGTAACCAGATGATGATGGCATGGTTCGAGGAGTTTGCTAGTAAACCAAGAATTCGCTTGATAATTCCAGAGTGCCTTCCGGAGGTCTTAGTCTGAGACTCTATGCACTCTGCCCTGCAGCCACTCTTTCCCTTGCTTAGATTTGATATTGGCCGCGTTTGATATTTTGAATCCTGAAATAAGAAGAGGATTTGCCAACATCAAGAGCAAGAAACGAATATCTCGAGGCTCTTTCATTAACCGACATGGTCGTTTGAGGAGTGTTTCTGTACACTTAATAGAACCTGTTGTATATGCTCTTGAGCCGAGATAGCGAGTGATTCGAATTGAAATAGCTTTGCATCTGTCAGCACCGAGACGGACAGGTACAAGTACTTCCGCGTAGCTTCTGGCCAGAGCTGGGCTGCATTGACTACCATATGATACCATTCACTGGCTACACCCCAGTCGATTCGGGGGGATCTGGAAGACACAATGGAAGGTGCATCGTCTTTCCGCCGGGATGGGGTCTTTGAGGGTAGAACCTCCTCTTGACCCCCGGTCCACCATGTGCCATTCTCGGCGAAGTCGCCCAAAAGTAATAGTTTAGGGTCGAGTTCTGAAATTGGTGTGTCGTCGCGAACTGGCTCCTTCCTACTTTCAGGGACCTGTTGCTTAACAGCTTCGGGGGGAAGCTTAGAGCTGGCGCTCATATGCCGAGTGGCGAATGAATTGTTGATACATAGATATGAACTAAAACATGATACTAAGTATTCCTCCAGCTTCTTAAAAACTATCTTGGGCTCTAAGTCCGAAACTGTGGCGTCTGGACATTCACCGACGGGATCAGTCACTGGGAAAGTCGAGCTCCTGACATCAGGATACGACGTCGAGTACGACCTTGCCATGGATACATTACGGTTCAATGGATTTGGTTCAAGATTGAGATCGGCGAAGTCATCGAACACGGCATTATAGACATGACTAGGCGGGCTTGTACTTGAAGTGGGCGGACTACCTTGCTTACTTGGGGGTTGGATTTTTGCAGAATGCTCGTTGGGCGGACGTGATTGTGCCGATATACAAGCTTCTAAACGATGAACGTAAACATTGCTTGATAATATGCTTGGTGCGATCGAGCGATATAGAATTTGCTATAAGAGTAAGTAAAGGTCATGATCCTGGGATATAACAGCAGAACATACGACATTGCGAAGGTCGTCGTGAGGGGCCGAACTCAGTCTCGTTTGGAGGTGAAGCACCGCTAACTCCGAGCTGTGTACCCATGTGACCAACAGTGGAATCGTATGGTTTGAGGTCATTTATGGTTAAGCAAATGGTGCACCTGAAGATATGAAGCTCTTTAGGCCATCGGACCAAGCTAGCACACGTCATACAATTCCCAGTCGCGAAATCTGCTGGCCCACGCGGTATCATTCTAGGGGCCATATTCTGCTGCGGTATGGGTTTAGGACCAATGTCAGCGGTGAAGTCTCCGCTTCCATTCTCGTCTTCGGGTCGGGCATTCTTCCTCTTCTTGCTAGAGAAAAGCGAAGGAAATGGGTGACTCATTGAGCGCGAGTGCTGGGCAGGACGATTCGGCTTCGTGACAGGTATATCGTCGTCGTCGGAACTCGAATCGACTTGTACTTGAATATTTCTCAACGGTTCAAATTCGGGACGCCTCGAATTACCTCTAGGGCGGCGAAATTGTTCGTTCGCGGACGGATCACGAGGCGGAAAGTCATAATGACCAAAAGGCCGATTAGAACGAGACATATTGCTTGCTAAGGTTGCTTAGGTATATAGCTTGCAATTGCAGAAATTGGGTGAACCCAGCAGCAAGAACGGGGGGTTATCTCTGCATCTACCTAGCTTCTACCAAGATATATCTAGACAAGGTAAGTAGAGTCTAGCTCAAGAGAGAGAGAAAAAGAGTCGTGGCAAGTGAGAAGCTCATAGACAGGTACTAGATCGTTTGACGATTTGACAGCGATAGCAATCTCTACCCGGGTAGATCTCGACAGGAACAAACACTGACGCAATACTTATTCTGTATAATAACAAGATCCGTCGGTGACAATATCTCGTATGAAAGATTTAGAGGAGACATAGATCCTGGGGATCACTGCAAATAGTAGCAGTGTATCATAGGTCCTAGGGTAGATCGTATGGTCTCGTCTCGTCTCGTGTGGGAAAGATTAGGAATTCGTTAACAAACTGAATTTGGCTCAAAGCCCAAAGATTTCGTGCCAGTTTGGAAATTGGAGGAGCTTATGAAACAGAATGAACCAACCATAGCACTTGCCGCTTCCCGAAAACCCCCTTGGAATTAGGCCTGACAGGTACCTAATGGTTCTAGCCTGTTAGCGTGCCGCTTGCCCCCCCAAATCTGCCCAAACCTGCCCCAGTCTCCGCAAGCATCCCATACAAGATCCACCATCTTGCGTTGCACGACATACATAATGAGGTACCTTTCTGACGGTAGGTGCCACGCAGCCACGCAAGTGTAGGTACATTACATATGTACATTTATTATGTACCTGTAATTCGTATCCTCATCCAAGTTTGAGCAGGGGTAAAGCATGGGCAATTTGACAGTTCTGACAAGTTGATTTCCCGCCGACGCAACCTAATCCAGGAAGTTAATCGTTTTAACTTGCCGCCATAACTTAATAGCCTTTTTCTACAGCACATGCTAACTGTAAAATGGAGATGCAAGCATATCGTAATTACATGTTGTAATTACAACTTTATTTAGCTAACCCCATCAGATTTTGCAGAAGACAGTATCGATTCAGTATATTTTGAAACATTACGTAGGTAGTTGTGAATAGGACCACCAGTTCACTAACCCTGGACGTTATCTTGTGTTACCATCAATGATAACATATTATAGAGGCATATTAGGAGAATGATTAGTTCAAGTTTGGACTCAACTTTGCTCCATTATGTAGGTAAATACGAAATAGATCTCTCGAAATAAAGCTCAGTTACAGAAATCGACAACCAATGATTAGAATATACTCTAAGAATGGTCCTTAATCCTATAAGCCAATAAGATTTCTAATGTCTTAAAGAGGGTTATATCGTAGATAGTTCGCACTTTTATTCACAGCAACTCCAGTTAAATACTCAATATTAAATATATTTTAAGCCTCTGTGTTGTGAAGCTTATGAATTCCAGGAACTGATAGAGGTAGTTAATATATTTAAGAACCTTCGAGGGAAGACATGTTTCCCGTAGTAGCATTACTTGATACAAATGGAGGAACCAAGAACTCTGAGTTATGTATTGGACAATACTACAATCATAGTGCTTCTAATCTCGGCGTATATAGTATTTACAACAGTGGCCTACCTGAACCCGAATTCTGACCTGATCTCAGAACTTCAAAATATTAATCCTTTTGGCTTGGGTTCTATCCCATCCAACAAAAAAGCCCTCCTTGATACTTCATCACCTAGAAAAAAAGACAAACACAATTAAACCCCATCCGCAGTGCTTGTGAACACCTCTCACAAACCTCAAGGCTTTTCTATAAAAAGTTGTTCTTGTTCTTTTAATTTTCTTCTTAAACAAAAGTAGATATCATCTCGTGCTCTGTAGAATTTCCCTTGTTACTTCTACATTATTTACCCCCAATATTATGTTCCTATATTCAAAGATTTATGCTAATATGATCTACTTTGATATTCACTCTCCGAGATATCCGCTACCTTGTTAGAAGTATGGTTTGTCTATACGTTTGTAAAGATGCCGGTAATGAAAACTGGTATTGCCTAAATTGAAAGGCGTCACAAAAGACTTACATAAATCTACATAATTGAAAGTGATAGCATGAACTTTTGCCAGCTACACTCACATAGATAGGCCCTTAAACATGGCTGTATGCCCCTTAAGCTACTCCTTACTCTGTCCAACTTAACAAGTTAACAACTTTAGGCTTAACTACCAAGTATAAGTAAACAGACTTAATTATCTCTTGAAGTACCAACAAGAGACAGCGCTTTTACCACTGGAATCTAACCAGGGGGATTTCTCGTGAAGTTTAATAAAGAAATATATTGGACACTTTTGCGGTTTTGACGTGCCAACCAAATCGGAGTGTACATATACCTTTTAGTTACTTAACTACCTTTTATCATGAGACCGAAACTAAAAGTACCTAAGGTTGTCATCTATTGCAGCATGCTACCTGCCTTGTCTACCTTGTACACCGTACGCAAATATAAGGAAGTTTCGAACTGAGGTACTGAGTCATGATCTTGTTTGGCGGACTGCTAGAAGGCCAGCTGTAGACAGCATTGTGACTCCTGTATCAACTGTAGAGAATCTTTACGGAAGGCGCACTCTACGTACTAAAGCTATGTATCTTAGTCACTTCAGTTGAGATGCCAGCGGGCTTGCAGTTGCTAAGTTTCGTATACAGTTGCTACGTTTCGTGTACAGTTGCTAACTTTCTTATACAGTTGCTAAGTTTCTTAGGTAGCGCCGTGGTTACGGCAACCGTTAAATCCGGCAGAATCCTAAATGCCACCATCACCACCCTCGTCACCGCCCTCAGGCGAAGGTAAAAGTCTGCGCACATCTGCGCACAGTCAATAATTTCTTCCTCTCTTCTCTTCACAAAAAAAATTCAATCAACATCAACATCAACATTAACAATCTATCTTAACTAATTAACAATCTTAATTAATTAACAAGCCATTCCTCAACAAGCTGGCAATATGATGTCGCAATAAACCAACTAAAATAAAAGACTTATTCTAATAATTAGGCACAGTCTTGACAAAGTAAGTTTACTACTATGATACTTCTATCTTCACAACTTGTCGGCGACGCTGGAATACTAATTGAACAATAGTCCATAATCGGCGACAGGGAAAGGGGAATACCATAAGGTAACTTAAAGTGTTCTCTGTACCTGAAGCTCATGAATCACAATTGAGAAGGTATGTTCTGTCATCTCATTTCATATGATATAACTATAAGTTACTAACTATCATTAGTGATGATAACTCGTGCTGGCAATGGGCCTTCTCCATCAATACAGGAGAACAGGATATCTACTCCTTGATGTCAACATCCTCATCCTGGTAAGTAGCCCAATCTGGACCCATGTGCACAGCGCAAATACAGTGCTAACTATTTGTCCAGTCACAAGAGGACCATAAGTAACCTAAACCTCGCAAAGCCTTGCGGAACCTCGCGAAACAGTAACAAACCCTAAACTTCTAACCTACCTTCCACGAGCAAATTACTATCGAGGCGGGGGCGCGGGTCCTAGCCTTGGTGGCAGCAGCTATCAGGTTCACTCGCCCTACAAAAACACATCCCATCCCTTCTAAGTCCTTACACCTTACTCCCTACCCTTTAACCTTCTTCTAAACTACCAACGCTCATAATTCATCATACCCTATGGCCTATATGGCTCCGGCTGCACCTACCGCACCTGCCGCACTTGCCGATCCGGTCCCAACCGATGCCCGCTGCTCCGGCCCCGATTCCGACTCCGACCCCGACGCTGTCCTCGCACCTCCGCTAGGGTAAGTACATTATAACCACATATTGTATATGAGAGGCAGGAAACTAATTTAAATAAACGTTTCTAGCATAGCCGTGACAAATTTCTGGACCTACAACTCGTCTACCCCGGTCAGCTTGCAGTTATGGGACCTTTCAAATTATAAGAAACATTAATCTCATCAACCATAATCTTCACATCAACTACACTTTTTGAATAATCTCCAAGTACTGCCACAGCAGTTTATCAGGTAGTTAAGGTAAGTGATAGCTCCTGCTAATACCCCCTCCTTTCCTGTTCCACCTATTTTCTTATATCATAACCTGGCTCTTGATTCTTCTTGAAGATATCTCTGTCGAGGCTGAACGCAGACACATTATTCTTTTTGGAGCCCATCGCTAATATTAAGCAAGATGTCAAACGAAAAGATTGACTTGAATAACGGAACGTCCGTTACCAAAAACAGGCCATCATGATGGTGGCTGTTTTAAAAACGCAAGTAAAGACTTGGTAAAAACCGTGGATTGGACAGCGGTGAGCACCGAGGCAGGATATGCTTCTCGTCGTGTCGCTCGCGACACTTTCACAACGCGCTGACCCTAACTAATCCGTTACGAAGAAGCAAGTAGCCACAATGGTGGCTATTTTCAACAATGCAAGTAGAGACTTGCTCAAGACCGTAGATTGGACCGCGGTGAGCATCGAGGCGGGATATGCTTCGCGTTCTTCTGCTCGCGATGCATTTACAACACGCTGACCCTAACTAACCCTAACCCTAACTAATCCGTTACCAAAAAACAAGTAGCCATGATGGTGGCTATTTTGAAAAACGCGAGTAAAGACCTAGTAAAAACCGTGGGTTGGATAGCGATGAGCACCGAGGCAGGATATGCTTCTCGTCGTGTTGCTCGCGACACTTTCACAACGCGCTGTAAGGCGTTCCAGTCCAATGGCAATATTAAACAGGATGTTTGATGAGCACATGGACTTCAACGATGGCTGGGGCCTCACCATGACACAGCTCTGAAGAATTGAGGAACAGGGACATATTAATACATAGTAAGTAATTCATCTTCTTACCCGTCTCTACATAGTGATAAGAGCCGGGGCTGACATTCTTCCTTTAGGTACTTAGCTGTTCACTTTTTGGCTATACTCTATTCACTCACCAACCAAGTTTCCGCTACATTAACTCACGGGAATGAGGGTCACGCCCACAATATAGGTGGGTGGCTCTCTACCAGAGGATATAAGCCAAGTCCAAGAATGTCTTATAAATCGTCTACTCTCTACTCCTGGCCCTAGCTGTTTAGCGAAGACATGAATCGTCTTCATGGTGGAGGATTATATTCTGGGAGGTATCAGAAGACTCATGGAGTACCATTGCATCTTGTAAGTGTTTTATCTTCTTACCCCTCCCTTAATAAAGATAAGAATTGGGGTTGACATTTTTCTTTAGCACATATAGCTCTGGTAGCACCTATGGCTCCTATGGTACTTGCAGTTTCTGCTGTGCCTATGGCTCCGGCTGTTCCTGTCACCACTGCTGTCCCTGCCAGGTGCGGGACGTTGATCCTCAGTACTTAGGCGCCTATATCATACACTTACATTCTTCACGACCTATGAAGGTGAATATCTCTCTTCCCAATGGCATTGAGCAAGCAATCGAAGACCAGGGTAATGTCTACCTATATATCGCCTACCACTAACCCTGGCACCTAATATCTTCAACACGAATCGTCTTACGGGAAGGGTTATTCTAAGAAACACCAACAAAGACATGGACGGATATAACGCATCTTGTAAGTATTTTATCCTCCTGCTTTTCCTCGACAGTAATAAGGATAGGGACTAATATTTTTTCCTACCTAGTGTGCTCTTATCCATCATGCCTCGAAAATGGTTGTAACCTAAGCATGAAAACTTCTTCAACAAGCTCTCACGTATTTAATTATTCTATTATCTGCCTATCCTTCTTCTCCTAACCTACGAACATCATCCACCTATGAGTTCAACTTCACTCAAGAATCTCATGTCAGATAAGAAGATTCCAGTCACTTACATCTCTTGAAACATGGCGGATCATTAAGGAATATGTGACCAAGGCCTCTTTGCCCCAAACCTATCCAAAGTATGTCGTGGGTGGTTCCCTTCCGGAGGACATTAAACCTGCTGCAGGAACATGACTATAATTAATCTATTATCTACTCATGGCCGCTTTCTCCTATGGCACGAACTACCTTAAGTCGGAGGGCTACATCACCTCGAGCGTGTCGTCATAGAAGCTATGGGGAACTCGTGATATACACGCATCTCGTAAGTGTTTCATATTTCTTACCTTCCTCTCAATACTCAGTAAAGGATAAAGGCTAATTGTTTCACCCGGTTATATAGGTAGTTTTATGTTTAAACTACTTGGCTCGTTCCAACACTCAGAAAAAATGCCTTCCAAGGATGTCTCCGAGTCTCTCTTATCTATAATAATTCAACCCTAAATAAGCGCTACCGAAATATGGCTCTGGGTCGCCGCTCTTAACACTACTGTAATTACCACTACCCTATCACCAATAACAGCCTTCTTAAGGCGGGATAAGGAGGCCTTGCGGGAAAATAATGCCCCCGGAGTTCGTCACTACACCGAAGAAACTCCTGTCTGGCACCCAGCTGTCCTTCAGGAACCTCGGGTTCGTCGGGAACATCAGGGTTAGAATGGGACTGGTAGACAGATCCTCCTCCAGGCCATGATTCATAAAACCAGCTTCCTACATGGGCGCAATCCGACTTCACTCTAAACCTGTCGGGTACCTAGAAGCTATCTCAGGGGGTGGGAGAAAAAGCTCATGCCGAAGCTTTGGCCGATACAAGACCTTGAAAAGGCCCCATAACATGTTCTTGCAACCACACGGCGATTACAGTAATAATCTTTACGACAAGCCTAGCGCTTGTGATACTGGGGTTGAGAGCAATGATGACAACAACATGACCAAGCCCGGATGTCAACGGATAATTGGCAGTACTTCGAAGCGGTATTCTAAGGAGGGGCAAGCCGCACAGGCGCACTCTCGAACTAAGCGAGAGAGAGAGACAGTGGTATTGCATCATGTCCTTGTAACTAACTGGCTGTAACACAATCATATTTAAGGTTGACAACCCAAGCTACACAATATTGATGCTGGGGATTCAAGCGACTTCGAAGCCGCAGCGTCCCTGCCGTGGGCCCCGCTAGGGGGAGGAACCGGCAAAGGCAACCTTCAAAGCCGTCTCCCTAACCTTCTTCGCCAAGTGGTCTCGCTTTTCAGCCAGCAGAGCAAGGAAAGCTGGTGGCTTTCACAAGAGGACTCCGGAATCGGTATGGGCAACAGGGCTTGGGGGGCTGTTCTGGGTACTAGGAGTCGACTGCAAGGAACGTGTGCAGTCTGTCCTAGTAATGTTTCTGCCAATTGAAAATGTCTCTGGAAGGGGTGTTATATCTAAACGCTATTGGTAAAACCTCTAGAAGAATAGGGAGGACGGATGTCCCAACTGTCCATGCGGGACAGTTCCGGAAGGGACTGCTCCAATGGGGGTGGTGGTGGTGGTGGTCTAAACAAATAAATTCTGATAACTAACATTAAATTCCATTCATAGGTTAGTTAGATAGATACTTTAGTTATAACATGAACAATCTGATGCTCCTCATAATAATAACCATAGCATTAACTACTCCTAATACTAATCTCCAACCCCTTAATCCCAACCTCAACCAACCAACTAATAACCTACCACGGCAACTCAAAACCCTCCCTATGCCAAAATCTCCCCGAATCCTCCAACCCCTTCCCCCTAACAACACCCCACAGCTTCTCCGCCGCCTCCTCCGGCCAAACCGCCTCCGCGATCCCCTCGCCCATCGCCGTCATCGGCGTCTTCACGATACCCGGATGCATAATAACCACCACAACCCCCTTATCCCTCAGATCCACCGCGAGGTTCTTAAACACGCTGTTCGCAGCAGTTTTACTCGCGCGGTACGCGTACGACCCGCCAGAGCTATTATCCGCGATGCTGCCGACGCGGCTCGACATGACGCCTACCTTTGGGCTGTCCGACTTGAGCAGGTTTGGCAGGAGAGCCTGGGTAAGGAGTAGTGGGCCAAAGGTATTAACGCTGAATGTCTGGGTTAGAGTAGCGAGCGACACCGTATACAAGGCGTCCTTTTCTTTGGGCGCCATGATGCCTGCGATATTCAGCAGTAAATCAATTGGCCCGTCACCGTAAGACGAGGCGAACGAGGCGATTGAGTCCGGGGATGTAACATCTAGTTGTGCTTTGTCGCACTGAAGCGACGCGAGTTTTCCGTTTACATGGAGGTCGGCGGCTGTAACGTCGTAGCCCTGTAGGTTGTGATTATGATTATTAGATAGCGGCTTGGTATAATATGAAAAGTGAAGATAATAACAATACCTCTCGAATAAGGATCTCAGCGAACGCATGGCCAATACCAGAGTTGGCCCCTGTCACAACGGCAGTCGGCATATTGACTACCTACGGGAAGACTGGACAAGAGCGGAGACGAGCGGTAGGATTATTAATACCGTATTGTGCATAAGTGGTCACCCACGAAGGCGTGCTACCTAAGAGGTAGGTAGCCATCAAGGTCGTGGGGTTCACTATTCTTATATTGACGACGTGGACCACCAAGCTGACAAATGGTAATTCCTCTTGCATACTAATGAACCACGCCGTTCGTGTTCCTCATCCCTATTTAGGAAGACGCATGGTCCCTTATTGGCTCGTGTCAACTGCAAGGTGAAGCATCGTCTTATACAACCCTGGAGGCGCAGATCACAAAAGGGTAACGAATCGGAGATTTTGTTCATTCAGAATAAAAGGTTATTTTAACTACAGTTTAACTAACTCGGCCGTCTAGCTAAGTAGTACCATTAATCATGTAATAGATATATTTTTTTCCTTTCGCTTGTACCCTATCCAGCTTCCCAAATTAGTCAAAAACAATAGCAGCCTTGATGGCAGACTTGTTTCGGATGCTCTCAAGAGCTTCGCCCCACTGTTCGAGCTTGAAGGTCTTATTGACAATACCCTTGGTCTTAACCTTGCCGCTGTCTAAGTAGTCAACAGTGGATGGGAACATATAGGTCTCGGAGAAGGAGCCGATGATGGTAATTTCTAGATAACTCCGATTAGCTTGATATCATCCCAAAAAATATCGTATGACTTACCATCACCGAAGATCTTGGATGGGGCCCAAGAGACGCGAGCGGAACTGGGGTAGACGCCGTAGCAGACAAGCTTGCCTCCGCGGCGAACGTAGTTGATGGCATCCTCGAGAACCTTGGAGCTGCCGCTAGCTTCCACAACTATATCACCAATTAGCGTCGTCGAGTACTTTTAGTATACAGTTTGCCTACCAATATCGAAGCCATGTGGGTTGTCCTTCTTGATTTGTTCCCATTGGGGTGCGGCGTTTGATCTGGAGAGGGGAATGTAGAAATCGGCAGCGTCGAGACTCTTGGCTAACTCCATCTTGGAACCTTCAGGAGCAGCAATGGTTAATTGCGAAACACCATTTTGTCGTCTATGAAAGAATATTAGCATCGGCTTATAATGGGAATCGAGATATGCCATTCGTACAGGAATTGAGCCATCATGAGACCGGTAGGACCAGCTCCAATCAATAGGGCATGAGATCCAGCCTTCGGGGCGATCTTCTCTAGACCGTGCATGGCGCAGGAGGCGGGCTCGATTAAGGTGGCATCGACATCGCTGAGGTTGTGGATTTTGAACAGTTTACCTTGGGGGTAAGCGGTCTACATTTCAAAACGTATAAGTTAGTCAATCAAAGATTACACAATTGGTAGGAAGTACGCACGTATTCGGCGAAACCGCCGTCTAACCCTAGGACACCGTGAGCCTTGAAGTCTTCGCAAAGAAGTTCTTGGCCTCTCCGGCAGTAGAAGCTTTAGAGGTAAATTAGCTAAGTTAAGAGTTTAGAATATATAATTATTTTTCTTACCAGTGACCGCAGAGCTCCGAATTATCCGCAGCAACACGGTCTCCGACCTTGAATTCCTTAACGTCGTCGGCAATTGCTAATTGTGATTATTAGTTGATATCACGACGCATTTTATCCTCTATATCTTACCGACAACCTCGCCTACGGTTTCGTGGCCAGGGATTAGAGGGAACTTCGCAATGAATTCTCCCTCGTGGATGTGCAAATCAGTACCGCAAACACCGCAGGCCTAGAGTAGTTTCGTGTTATTATGACTGCAAGGTTATAGATGGCATACGGAATTGACTTGCCTTGACCTTGATCAGGACGTCACCAGATCGTAAGGTGGGTAGAGGAACCTGGACGATATCCCATACTTCTGGCTTCTCATATCTACGAGGGACATGGTTGTTAGTAACTATGTGCAAACATAATTGAACGAGGGGGCTCTATATGGGTATCGAGAGGCGGGCCCTTCATTGACATAATATGAATTTATATGCAGGACAAGACTTGCCGGAGAGCCTTCATGGTCTTTGGAAGGGAGGCCATTTTGTTTGTTTTCTAGACTCAAAAGTCTATTATAGGATGAGGGGGTATTATAGGTATGAGATCTATACAGTGACTTCAATGGAAGAGAGCAATAAAGGAAGACAAACAGAGAAAGCTGTCTGTATATTGGAAGTGAGGTAGATGGTCGTGGTGTAATTTAGTCAAGAAGGAAGTAAAAAGAGAATGAAGACGTTTGGGAATGCTGTCTTCTTATTACGCCCCGCGGGGAGAGAAGAGGCGTAAACCCCAACCCATTACTCACACTTTCTAATAGGATTGGTTCCAATGATGAGTTTGCCTGCAAAGCTATCCATGTCACCAAGAAACAAAGGATGTGAAAGGAGGGGCAATAGTTCAGACCTATGTTGCTACACCCCGCCATAACAGCGGCATGCGTTCACCTCGCAGATAATTTTAGCTGATTGGGTTAGCTAACCGGAAATAGATCCACTGGAGGTATAGTTCGATAGAACCAAGACTCGTAAACACTACGTCGAAGTTGGTCTCGCTAGTGTTGCGCGTGTAAGTGACTCCACTCGAGCAATATCTGCCTTGCAGAAGCTGACTAGCTTGGTAAGACAGCGCTGGTAAAATGACCTGATAAAAAATGTTTGGCTAGAGAAGTGTCCCCGATGGAACCCAGACGTCATCTTGCGTGGTCTGGTCTATACGGTACCATCGCGCTCTCTGAGAAAAAAAAAGAAGCGTGGTCTGTCGGTATTCCATAGATCTGGGTCGACATGAATGTTCATATTCCATATTCGACATACCAATTCGTAGGTAGATGGCATGAGCATCACCTGCAAATGTCCTGGTTAATGCCATATTTGTTTCAATTCTGACTTTTCACCGGATGGTTCGGTCAGACCTTTTTGAGATTGGAGGCGTCCGGATGTCACTTGACCCCCGCGATTTGTGTAAGTATTTTTGTAAGATAGTATACGTAGAGTCCTTTAAAATAAAATTACCCCTCATAATCAATTGGTACTTATTAAGAGACTGGCTGCTGGATTTGCGCAAGTATCTCACGTTTAAGGCCGACTAGCCAACCGAGTGAGACCTGAGGCTGCGAGTTGCGAGGTTAAGTGTCAGGTAACACAGCGTTAACATTGACCGCAGTTTCGGCATCAAAAAAGCATTGCAACATCTGTCGGAGCTTTAGAAATTTGCTCGGTGGCATAGCTTCGGAATAAAACTCATAGTGGTCGTGTGCCAGTTAAGATTCTGTAGAAGCGGCACAGAACCAACTACGGTTTAATGTGTATGGATCTTCTGTCCTTACTCTTACTGTATGTAAGAGGGTCCCGGCGATCCTCGAACGAATATCGATAATACTCATAGATCCGTCCGATCGAAATCGATTTGAGAGATCTATGCCCAAGGTTTCACATTTGAAGAACTTGACCAATCTGTAAAGGCTAATGACACGCAAGCTATGCCTATTGTGTTCAGGTTTCGTACCGTCATCGGGATGAAAATGGGGATATTCTGGAGATGTTCTGGGGCTCGGCGCGCTATTATTTTCCAATTCATTGTCTAAAGATGGAAATATCGCGGAGCCTCACCGAATTTGAACAGGATAAGAATTACGAGAATTCTATTACTAACGTAACTAACGTAGACAATTGAGGAAACAGCCGTGAGGATCTAATCAGTAGCACCGGAGCCGGGCGGAAGTCTCCGATTTACAAACCGAAGTGGATAAACTATAGTACCTTCCTCTCGATACCGTCTAAGTCATACCACTCACAGGCATCTGCACATGAGGTAAGCTACAAGTGTACCTGATACAAAACCTCCTTTTCTCTACGTCCAAAATTGATTGGAAATTACCTAGCAATAGAAATACTCCGAGAACAACTTATCACACCTTTTCCATCCGGAATTTAAATAAAACACATACTTCCTTAATAAGTTGTTGCCATTTGCATGCTAATCGTAGGGCTCATAGGTATCGGCTTGGTTATATTTCCTCGCACTCCATTAACTTTTCACCGAACCAAGCATCTTTAATTGGGAATTTTGGTCTCTTCACAGCAAAAGCATGTCCATAATTCATTGATGATTTCCGAGGATTTAGCCTCCTAATAACTCCCAACCGTGCATCCGAGGTTCCTCCCACGAGTTTTCTATCACGTGCAGAGAAGTGAGACTATGCAGGTGCTCCATTCCCTAGAGTACATGTCCATACCCGGCTACCATGTCGAAGGGATTTCCAAGAGTAGTAGTAGAAGCTTCTTACGAAGGGGGAGCGCCACGGCCACGACCGAAACCACCACGGCTGTTGATTTAGAGTAAGTATAAAATCGTAAAAAAGAGGATGGTCCTGCCAGTAAAAACTTACAATTGAGGGTTGAATTCGCCAGGAGCACCACCGCTCTCCTTGCCCTCACCAGCATCCCGTCTTCGGTAGCCACCCTCACGGTCGCCACGATCGCCACGGTCACCACGGTCACCACCACGGCCACGGCCGAATGGTCGGCGCTCACGCTCGCCCTCACCCATCATTCCTCGGGGAGGAGCGTGCGATCGCTGCTGCTTGATGTGTGTAGCGGGGACGATCTCGGCGGGGAGGTGAAGCCATTCTCGGAGGTAGTCGAGACCCTCGGGGGTGAGGGTGTAGTAGTAGTATTGCCAAGAGAATTGAGTCTTGACGTAGCCGCGGGAGTTGAGCGACTGAAGAGCCTTGACAACGAATAGGTTCTTGGTGTCGATATCGGGGTGCTTAGGAAGGTTGAAGTCCTTCTTCGCGACCAGCACGCCCTCTCGGAAGAGGTACTACATGACGAACAAAAAAATGTTAGCTCGACAATTCTGGAATTTGTAGAAAATTAATTATTGAGTTGTTCGTCTAACCTCGTGGATCTTCTTGCGGTCAGCCTTCGGAATCAGCATCTTGGCGGTTAGTTACGGTGTCAAGATGTTGAACTGGGTGGGTGGACGTGATTGATGTGAAGTCGACAGGCTGATGGATACTTTGCGATGGATTGAAGGTCCAGGGAATTTTTGGTTGTGCGCAAAAACCCTATGGTGGAGACGGAAGCGACACTATGAATTTGAGTGGGGTGTGGGAAACTTTCGCTTATGTAATGACCTGACAGCCCTGTTTCGTGCACATACCACCTTAGATTGTTCAGTACCTTGTGGCTGAGGTGGATAACCCATTTAGATAAGAGACTTGGCAAAAATGCGATAAGATCCACCTTTAGCCATCTAGAATCATCAATCCATTTCAACCATTCCATTAAGTCCAAGTCCAGTAGCCTTTTTACCTTTCAACATATTTACGAGCGACGCCTTAATCTAGAAGGCGGATAACCAAGGACCCAGCGAATCTTTTCATATCACCATACAAACCATACAAAATGGCTCCCGGGAATATCAACGTCTTTGTAACAACCTTCTCAGGCTTAGGCCTACCTCCTACTCTATCTCTTCCCATACCCCCAACCACAACTCTTTCAGACCTTCACCATCGCATCGAGGATCGATTACCGCAAATTGATTCGCGACTTATTTTGACTACCGTATCAAACAAACAAATCCTCTCCAATTCTAGAGATCTGGTTTCTACTCTCTGCGACTCCGATGATGCATTCTTGTCTCTACGATTGTCAATCCCGCTATGCGGTGGCAAAGGTGGATTCGGCTCTCAGCTCCGAGCAGCTGGTGGCCGGATGTCTTCGAAAAAGAAGAGGAACCGCGGCGACGAAAACGCATCCAGCAGAAATCTAGATGGGCGCCGAATAAGAACAGTCAATGAGGCTAAGGCATTAGCTGAATACCTAGCTATCAAACCCGAGATGGAGCAGAAGGAGAAGGAAAAGCGACGCGCGCGCTGGCAGCAGATTGTCGATGCCGCGGATGAGAAGGAGCACGAGATTAAGAACAGCACGAAGGGCCGCTTAGATGGCAAGTGGGTTGAGGACAAGGAAGAAGCTAGCGAGCGAACGCGCGAGGCAGTTCTCGCTGCTATAAAAGCAGGAAACTTCAAGGATAATCTGCTCGGCACATCGCACGGCTCTGCCTCTCCAGAGGAAATGGACGAAGACTCGAGCGAAGGAGAAGATTCTGAGGAGTCAAGCGGCTCGAAGGCACCAGCTCCGCCGACGAATGCCAAGTCAAAGAATACCACGTCAAAGAAGCCCGTCACGAGAGCGTTCGCCGGATTTGACGAAGATGACGAGTTTATGAGTTCTTCAGATGAGGACGAGGAGAAGAAATAAGGAAGCAAGAGCATGTTACTAATGATACCCCTAAAAGATGAGATAATTAAGACCTATCCCCGGGTCAACTACCTAGCCCCCTATATTTCACCTTGATTCTTTACACCAGCAATCATATTAATGTCAACCAGGTATGTGTATGTAGTTGGGCTTAAACGGCGTGCTTTTGTCATTAATCGTTTATATGTATCTGGGCTCGTATTTCATGTGCTTGTAACCTCACTTGCATATAGGAGGTACTAAGGTCTGAAGCAACACTGCGACGATGAGAATGTTTAAGTACTACAAAGTATACCTAGTGACTACACGGAAACCTATGACGATGCTTGGGATGTTAGCCTCGTCAAACCATCCCTATGAAATAATTAGCCTATAGAGAAGAGTTAATCAAAATACAATCAAATATACACTACCCCAAGACTCATTACAATGATCCCTCTCAACTCTACCAGCCTCTGAACACAAAGCCTTTGCTGATCATCTATATCTAGGCAGATATAGCGAACACCTACTACACCTCTACCTCACAAGCTTCGCCATACCCTCCACATCCGTATTCCCCATCCCACAACTAAACTCCCTCCACTCCTCCAACTCCCCCCTCACCCTCTCCGTCTCCCCCATAACCATCTCCCAACTATCCCTCCCCAGCGGCACCCTCATCGGAATCCCCCTCTCCCCCGTCCCCACCACCGCATAAATCCTCTCCGCCACCTCCTCCGGCCCCGCAAACCCCGCATGCAGCTCAGGCCTATCCATAAACGCCAACATCCCCGTCGTCGGCCCCTCGGGCCGGTCATACGCCGGATGTCGCGGCATCCGCTGCAGCGACGACGTCGTGTACTTGGTCCGCACGCCCCCCTCTCCACGTTGCACACGTGGATGTTCCACTCCGGAAACACCTCCTTCGCGATGCTCTCCGCGAACCCTTCCAGCGCGAATTTGCTCGCGTGGTAGAAGGCGTTGCCCGGGCTGCCGAGATACCCGCCCAAGGAAGAAATGTTTATGATAACGCCGCCCCGTTGCCCGGTCTTGGGGTTCGAGTCCCGGAATACGGATAATGCGCGCTTGGACACGTCGACCGCGCCCCAGAAGTTCGTGTCTAGGAGCGCGCGGGCGCCGGCGTTGCCAGGGGGCGAGGACTCCGCGTCGCCCATGAGGTTGTACCCGGCGTTGTTGACGGCGATGTCGACGCGCCCGAAGTGTGCGAGCGTGGTGTCGAAGGCGGCGTCGATGGATGCGACGGATGTTACGTCTAGGGCTAGTTTTAGGACGTTAGGGCCGTCTGGGATGTCGGAGAGTGAAGCTGGGTTGCGCGCTGTGGCTACTACGCGCTGGGACGGCTTCTTGGTGGCGATGTATTCGGCGAGGCCTTGTCCTATGCCGGAGGAGCAGCCGGTGACTGGTGATACAATGCAATATATTAGCAAATCTGATCTTCTACTTAAGATAAATTGGATATTTCAACTTACTGAACCAAACTGCATTGTCCGGTAAGTTATACGGTCTAGCATCGGGTGTTTCCATCTTGAATACGCTGTATAAGTGATTTGCACTTACACCCTTTTTTTTTCCTTGGAAGATGTATATAATATAGCGAGTAGGTCTACGGGGTCACGCTTTTCTCAACGACTTGCCTCAATACTTTATATTATCAAGAGCTTTATATTCTTCAGACCCCGGCCCCCTTTAACAATCTAGGTTACAGTAACGTAGGTATATATACATGTATGACAGGTAGATCATCTCACCAACAAGCCCAGCATAGTCACCAGCTTACAATTAGAGACAACTTTACATCATATGTCTAGATACACCATCTAGTCCTAACAGCATAATCACTCACCTTTAGAGACCCAATTTATGCAAGCCGGGTATGCTTAACCCCTTTCTATGCATAAACTCCGTCCTAGCTCCGCTATAACTCCTGCCTATCTCTAGATGGAGATATCCGCTTCACACACGCCGAATCATTTTCGGAGCTTAGCCATAGAACTACTAGCAACATCTTTAATACGCGTATAAAAATACGACCCTGTACCTTGTATCTACGTATTATCCAACTTCTAGTATTACAGAACCGTGAGGCTATTAGTATGCTGCAATATTAATCCAGAAGTGAGATACACTATTCAACCAATTGTCTCTTAGCGACATTACTACGAGAACCACACAGCACATCACGAATACATAGAACTTAAGATTGAAGGACAAATAGCCTAGTAGGCATTCAACAATACATTAAAACGATCCCTACTTTTTAGCTTTCGGCGGCCAACCCATCTATGTAACAACTCTACATATACTCGTCAACAGGTCTGTTACTTCGTCAACATGATAACTGATTCTCATCTATCCGTGAATCCGTAACGTAGTCGGTGCCACGGTTCATGTCCTAGGCCGTAACTTTGCTCATCTGGACTAACCGTTTAACTCCAACCTATGATTTTATTAGCAAGAATATCTATACGTAGATAAGGGGGTTTCGACATACCATCCAGTTACCGCATTCCTCCGTCTTGTCTCGTTGGATTTCTACCTGCAAGCGCTGAGCCTCCGGGTAGTCCTTAGACTCCAACGAATGAGCCAGCTGGGTTAATTGCTCGATAGTGTCTGGCTTCACGAGTTCCTCATTGTTGAGATGATCAAATAGTAGACCTAACCGTTTCTGCGTATCTTTCACCTGAGGAGCAAATGAGGCTGGTGCCTTGGAAGCTACTCGTTGCATGTCGCGATTCAGGATATCAACCAGCTGTTGGGCGTTAGGAGGAATGTGAGAGCGATCACCCGCAGGGTGTCGGGGCTTTGATGGTGCCGCGGCTCGCGGTGGAGGGGGCGCAGGCGAAGTTGTTGCCGGTGGGGGACCACCGATGCTCGATGGAGGGCCGGTAGAAGGTGGCCCTTGCTGTACCGGCGGAGCACCATACGGGGTTTGACCGTATTGATTATGAGAGGGCGCTGCCTGGGGAGGTGGCGCATAAGGGTTTGGCGGCGGCGCTCGGCCGGCATGAGGCGGGGGAGCCTGCTGGGAAGGAGTACCGAACGATTGAGGCGCCGGTGCTGGGGCGTATCGGCTTGTAGGCGCGGCTCCCGCTGGTGGCGGGTTATAAGGCGAAGACATTCTGGGGACAACGTGGCCCATTGGGGGTGGAGGCATACCAGGACCTCCTTGTGTCTGGGCAGGGGGAGGTGGAGCATAGTTTTGTGCCGCAGTTGATCCGGGTCGAGGAGGAGGCGGCAATTGACCAGCTTGGGGAGGGCCACCAAGGGGAGACATTATCCTCCCAGCCGCTGGACCTTTAGGAGGGGGAGGTGGCGGTGTCCCTGTTCCGTGCTGAGAACCGTAGGGACTCTGCGGTGGTGGAGGTATTCCCTGGTTTACTTGGTTAGAAAATGGTGATGTGATAGCGGCAGCGCTCGGCGTATTTCTTCGGGGAGGCGCTTTCGTCACTATGGGTACATCATTCCAGTTTCCTGCATCCGAAGCCCTTGGAGGAGGTTTGGTGGATGGGGTTGATGCTCTCGGGGGGGCTCCGAAAGAGGTTGGTGGAGGACCATAGCCTTGATGTTGAGATAATTGAACGGGTTGCGGCTGCGATGGTTGGTATCCTTGCGGAGCGTAGGGGTTACTAGCAATCGGCGGCGCATAGGGATTCGCTGCGGAAGTCTGGACAGCCGGGGGCGCGTAAGGGTTCACAGGATTAATGCCGACAGCTGGTTGAGGTGGTTGATATCCTGCAGCTACGGATGGTGCTCGAGAAGGTACACGGGAGGTCGCCGCGGGCCTCTGAACTGGCTGTCTGACAGCAGGCTGGTGAGCTACCTTTTGCGTTGCTAATTGCACACGCTCGCGCGCCATATCGGCAGCGTCGTACTTCGATGGTAGGAGGCTTAGGTACTTGTGTGCGATCTGTAATTGGCCGTGGGCAGCGACAATGTTCGCATATTCAATGTATTTGTCGTAAAGCGAAGATAACTTCCAGCCTGAAGTTAGGCCCGTCTCAGTATCTTGGAATTTTGCTACGTGGCGGAAAACCGTAACCTTCTCAATGAACTGCTGGAGAGACCTTGCGTGGATGGAGAAAGTGGAATCGGTAGCCTCGGCTAATCCAGCCTTCTCGGCTTCCTCCAGCTCGGCAACCCAGATGTCGATGACCTTCTCGAGCTTGGAGCCAACTAGATAACAGAAGGAGGCATCCTTCCTGGATCCAGATTCAAGGATACGGTCTCCCAAGGCTTCACACAGATCAGGGAACTCGGTTGGGTCCGCATACGTGCAGAGCGTCACCATAGTCTCCTTCCAGTCTGCTAGATCGGCATTATACACAACATCCCATAGATTCTTGACAATAACAGAACCCAAAAGCCGTAAGTAGCTTGGGATGCCTGTCTTTTGGGATAAATAAGTGGATTGGACCTTGTCGACGAGCTCCTTTCCACCACAGTTGGCGATAATGAAGGCATCCGCAATGCGACCATCCTTCAGGGAGATTTCACTTGCTTTCTCAAACTGACCCAACATTAAGGCCTTTGTAATCTGCTTCTCAACACCTGTATCACCTTCGCCAAATAGATGGAAAGGGTTATCCGTTTTAGCGCCCTTTGTGGCCGACAGACTGGCTAGGAAGTCCTCACTTTCGCCTTCGCCTCCATCGGAGAAGAAAGTTGAAATGCGTTTCTTGTGGGTCTTTACTCCTAGGCTAGATTTCTCTGGCTCAGGTTCCTTGGTCTCAGAAGCTTCTTCGGTTACACCATTAGTTGATTCGTCGTTTGCTTCTTCCTCACTAAATCCCAGATATTCGACAATTTGTTTTCGCGGATTTTCGGTGAGCAGGGTTTCCAAGACACGCCAGTCAGCTTTCTCTTCTTCTGTCTGGGCTTGCTCTATGTGCGATTCGCATATGGCCGTAACATCACCGGATTTGAGCGACTCCTCAAATTTCTCAGTCGCGCTGCCAATGTCCGAATCCACAGAAAACTGAGAAATTTCAATCTTGGAAGAGCGCTTGTGGCCAGGCTGATGAGGGTTTTGCTTGAAGATAACGAGTTTTCCACCAAATCCAAACGAAACTCCAACCGGCCTCTCGAGCCACCTTGGAGCCTTCCCTAAGGAGAAAGCTGCGCCTTGAGGTTGCCTCTGGGCCTGAGTGAAAAAGTCTTCGCCATCTAGGCTATTTTGGGTTGTGTTCTGTACAGCCGAGGGGTTTGTGTTTTGGAGCGTCTGAATAGTAATTTTTCCATCAAAGGACGCGGTCGCTGAGATACTAGGGTTGTGAGGATGGAATCGAGTAAGGAACGTCCAGTTGGTAACTTCAGGGAATTCTCCGTAGCGCTCGCCTGTTTGAGGGTTCCAAACTAACGTCCTGTTATCCTTGCCGGACGAAATCAAAATATCGCCATCATGCTCGCACCAAGACACCGAAAGAACACCTTGCTCGTGACCTTGGAGTGTCCTCTCCGGTGCATTGGAGTTTCGCAGATCCCAGAGCAAGATGACGGGAGTAGTATCATCGGGAGTAGCGGTCAATAACTTGGTAGAGTTGTTTGGATCCCAAGCAATGGCACTAACGGGCTTTCGGTTATTGTTAAGTGTTAAAGAGGCTTTCTTCGTCTTTAAATCCCAAACAGTAACGAAACCACCAGTTCCTCCCGTAGCAAGAATATGGGCTACTTTTGTGTTCCATGCTACACATTCTAAATCGTCTGAACGAGCAGCAGCAGTGCCCAAGCGGAAAGCATTTTCGGGGTCGTAGACGTCATAAATGAATAGCTCTCCCTTCGCGCCGGCAGTGGCTAGAATCTGAGGTCTCAACGGGTTGAATTGTAACGACTTAATAGGTCCTGTATGCTTCGTTGTTCGTGATATTAACGCGTCGGATTCGCCTGCGATGAGTTTTGCGGCATCCCAGAGATCGAGCGAACCGTTTTCGAGAGCACCGGCGATAATGCCCTGCGGGTAGTCTTCGGAAGGTTGGCCCCAAGCAATATCGTAGAACCTAGCAATCTATCTGTTAGTAACACTCATAGGCTTACTAGTATTGTCGAGGGGTTTATTTACCTTGAGTCAGCAGCGATGCTTGCAATAGGTTGAAGCTCAAGTCCTTGTTCTTGGTTGTCAAGGCTCAAATCCCACAACTCCAACTGCGTCTCATCGGAGAAGTCGGCGTCAACAGCTCCAGCTCGGGTTCCAGTAACTATTAATGGCTTCGTAGTGCCAGGCGACCAGGCGAAGGCGGCAGTACGCGAGATCTCGCGCAACCTGACCATATTGTCTTGTAGTGACTACTCAGAGGGGTAGTCTAGCTTAAGGTAAAGGTCGGTATTGTCGAAGAATAAAAGAAAAGGGGGATTTCTAAGTGAGATTGGCTTAAATGCCAGTTGGCATTGAGCTCTCTAGGCCAGCTAGGAATGTTGGCAAGGGTTCGAATTATAGAAAGAGAGATTGGTTGACTAAATTTCTCTATGTTTCCCTATACTAGAGAGCGGTAGAGACTTGCTAATTCATTATGTTGCCAGATAATGCAGTCCAACGGTTCCTTAGAGGTGTGGGCGCATGAGCTCACAGGCCAAGCCGAATCAAGATCCTGGACACAAATCTGTTCCCTTCCTTGGCTCAAGTTGTGGAGACTACGTAGTAAGAAAGAAGCATCAGCCACATTTTAATTTCACGTGATATTTATAAATACTGGGCTCAATGACGAAGGATGTTTTATCTCTTATGTAATACATGCAAATAATTAATTGAAGCTTCAATTCCACTGTTCCCTTCAGGCTGTCAGATCCACGGTCACACCTTGAATGTACGAAGTACATAAGTACCTCTTAATTTCAGTGAGCCACACTCTCGGTTCTCTAAGGCATCAGTTGCCTCTTATTTGATAAATTTTGAGCCTCACACCAAAACTCACTTATTATACAAGGCCAGACTCACCAAAAGTCTGTCTATATAACCCAAACGGACACTCAATATGACGGACGCGGCCCGTTGGAAGGCCACCGTATACGTCGGAGGCTTAGCATCTGTTGTCACCACTGTAAATCTTCACGATGCTTTCATACCGTTTGGTGAAATCGCGGATGTAACTCTACCCAAAAATGATGCGCCGAACTCCACCGAGCCGCATAGGGGGTTTGCCTACGTAGAGTATGAAGATGCCGAAGATGCCAAAGAAGCAATCGACAACATGGATCAATCAGAATTATTCGGCAGAGTCTTAAGAGTATCAGCAGCTAAACCTCCAAAGAGCGCAGAAGAAGGACTTGGTAGTAAGACAGCAATTTGGGAACAGGTACGTTTATATTCTTAACTACATTGCACTATAACAGGTTTACTAACAAGCAAAAATAGGAAGGGTGGCTTGCTGAGAATGCTGTCAGCGAGGAAGATCGGTCTGCAGCTACGGGAGCCAGAGCTAGCGAAGATGACAGGCCAGAAGACCCGATGCAAGGACTGGAAGGACTCGACGTTGCTGGACCAAAACCGGAATGAGCCGGGACTAATAGTATCTACGTGAACTTTCTCGCATAGCGTTGGCGTTAAGAAAAAGGATTCCAGGGCACAGAGGGAAGTCTTTAGAATAGGAGCTTGCGACTGAAGTCTATATCACGCTTAGTCTCCCATATTTGACATTTCCACCCCCATGGCTACGTGTAACATATACAGTGCTTTGCTTCTCCAAAAACCAGAATGCGCCCTTCCCCAGTAAGCTCTTTTGATTGACCGTAGTTCAACCTCATGCCCGTGCCATATAGACTTCGCTTAGTGTTCCTCGGCATGTTCCGCGGGGTCCTCCTTACGGTTTTGGCGGCTGAGTCTGAGGTTCTTGTCCACGGTGAACTTGCGAAGGCTGGAATAGCTGGCGGCAAAGATAGCGAAGCCAACGACAACTCCTAATTGTATAATCAGCACACATAATCCGTATTATCGTCGTATAGAATCCCGGGTCGTATAGGTTAGACTAACCGAGAGGGATCAATTCTGCCGGAATTTGTCGCAACTTTCGGAGGCGCTGAGAGACGGTATGTGCTAGTATATGCGTTAATATTCATATCTCAATTAATGATATTCCGACGTAAGGTTCTTCCGAGATGGTATGATGGGTTTAGGACGTCAATGGTTCGCGACCGGCGAGAACGTACCGCTCTGCTCCTCTTTCTGTTATGGGTCATCAGTAAACGTCATAGGTTATGCGAAAATAAAATAAAAGGTAAAGATTCATACGGGAATAGGAAACATCATGCGCCTAGTAGGCATCATTCTCAAAGCTCGTGTAGCATACATTTCGGCGAGTTGATAGGAGATTGTTTTGAGGTAACTATAAGGGAAAATGAGTGTAAATCACTTGAGGCCGTAACCGAAGCTAGGTTGTGTCAAAGTCAAATGTCAATGGATCAAATGGGTGGAATTGATCTTTCGTAGTTGATGGAAGGTTTTGGGGAGGAGTAGCTTCGGCAACTTGGTAGGAGCCACAACCAGTAAAAATAAAGAAAATAATTCATAGTGGGGTCTTATTCCCCCCAAGAATCCACTATATCATGCCACCAAAGCCTGAGGCAGCTAAAATTAACGCTCCATGATTCGATTCGGCAAGAAACCAATGGTCCGAGAGCTTCTTTCCAAGCTGCGATCTTCTTTAAACATACATCACCATTTTTTTGACTACGAGACGTCGCCATTGAGCCCGCCAACTAACATATTTTTTTCTCTAAAATAAATCACTTTAACCGCCAAGATGTCCGATGAAGAACGTGTAACGAAGCCCTTCAAGTTCGTCACTGGTAAGTCGACTCCCCCCTCGAATTCCCTCAGACCTTTGACATCCGTTGTGCCGAATTCTGACAGTAACTAACTAATTGATTTCCGATAGCCGGTAAGAACCCCATATTTCCCTAATCCGCCAAAGACGACGAGACGATGCGACGCGATTGAGATGATAGATTCTTGCTTAACCTCTTCGATCTAACCCGCGCCCAGGTGTCGACGCTCGATTCCCTAACCAGAACCAGACCAAGCACTGCTGGCAGAACTACGTCGACTACCATAAGTGCATCAACGCCAAGGGCGAGGACTTTGCCCCGTGCCGTCAGGTAATGCGACCATTTATAAACCCGTCATCTTACATATCGAACGTATATACTGATTAGCCAAGTTCTTCCTCGCATACCGATCTCTATGCCCGAGCGGATGGTACCAACGATGGGATGAGCAGCGAGGTCAGTAACCTATCGTCAAGCGTAAGGGATCAATGCTAACATAGCACAGAGGCTGGAAACTTCCCCGCCAAGTTGGATGCTTAAGTGCAACGCTATGGTTTTCTTATAATCATCATCGCATCAGCAAAGTTGGACTTTTCGATGTAGTATATTACCTACTTAAGACTTTAAGCCAGCCAACAACTAAAGATTCGCTCCGAGCCTTCTCGTTTCTAATGTCTATGTTTATATGACTAGTTAACATATATTGCCAGCCTTAATTCTCACCATAGAGAGGAAAGCCAAAAGTATAATCTCAGACATAACTCCTTTATGTATGAGACGGGTGCCTAAGTATGTCATAAAATATAGGCAGATGTTACCATTGTTCAGGCTTTTTATAAGTATCCTAATAGCTTTTAAAATCATATATAAGAGGCCTTGCAACTCGTCCTATTTCAGTTGCAGTAAATATCATCTTTATCATCCGAATCACATAAGATCCATGCGAATTTCATACGCAATGTCACCGTTTCCATTTCTCCAGCTCCCTACCGAGCTTCGCTTTCTAATCTGGGACGATTTCATGGACGAGGAAAGTAAAGAGCGAATAATAGTCGTAGACGACCGTAGTTGCAAAGCTCATCCTATGATACAGCACATCTCGGCCCTCTTAATCGTCAATCGTGAAAGCCGCCAGCTCGCCAAAGCCTTCTACTCATATACCGTCCAAGTCTACCGCATTAGCGATACGGGCGGAGAGAACTATCGAGAACAGCCTTTAGACGTACCAGCAGGAACATTATATCTCAACCTTGATCAAGATACCTTCATGGGTAGTTTATGTTGGGAACTTTTTTACGCGAGCGGACGCGACGTGAAATTAATACGCAATTATATCACCGAAACTCTCTACCTTAAACATTGTCATGTATAACGCGCGTATACCATTAAGCGCTCTTTCCGGTTCTTTGGGCATGATAAGCCCTCCTTTAAAGTTAGTGAGTGCTACTGGTTCAGTCGTCTGGATGTAGAGCGGGACAAGGAAAAGGCGAAGCTCTTTTATTGGGCATTCTCATTTTAAGGTTACGAATTCAGAAGGTCCCTCGTAACTAGTATGTAATATGGAAGTATGATGGCCCTTTGAGCATATGTATAGTTCTACCAAGATATTTCAAAGCCGTTACATAAAGGGGCACAACCCTTAAAAGTTCATGGAACGGCCTCGCGACAAGAGCGAGTGTATACTCTCCCAAGTCGACGTTGTTCCCTAAGGCAAATTATTGTGCTCGTTTAATAGTAGGGGTGAAACGTTCACTCGCGATTAATACATTGTTATTATGCACTTGCCGACACATACACACATACGGAATTCCTTGATGGTATAAGGAACTATCCTTTACCAACTCCGTAGCACATGCCACCGAGTATATTTATATCAGACAGTCTAGATAAACTCTAATGAATAGAGAATCGGCAACGTACGATCGGGAACGTTAATTTCATTATTGCCTCGTCTTGAAGTGAATCAATATCATAGAGTACAAATGTCGTCCGTACTTTCAAACTTAATTTAGTATTATTCATTAGCCCAGTTACGCTTTACTTTGTTTCTTCTTCGAGTGATTGTATTTATCTTAACTAAGCTAGTAGGTAGTCTAAGTTCTACCTACGTCTGTTTATTCAGTGCTATATATAGTAGTATAGGATAGGGGTTTGTGAGAGTGTGGATTACAAATAGTACATGTTATGATCTTATTATATTAGATATGTACGATTATTCTCGAATTATTGGTGTTAATATCGAACAGCTAAGGCTATCCGCAGTAGTGATATTAGCCGTAAAGAGGGCACTTTTAGGAAGAGGCTGGATCCCAGAACACCTATTGGGTTTGTTATTCAGTATAGCCCGCCCTCTTCCATGACTTATTGTTGCGATCAATCAAACACCCCGTGAAGCTATTTTAAGAGTATTTAGGGAAACTACAATTATATTAACTAAGCCATTTAATTTTCTACATTGATCATGCATAATAGCAATAGCATCAAATATAATTCAAATTAACTTTGATACAAATACGACGAAAAAATACACATAACCAACCCTAAAAGCTTATATCTTATGTGAAAAGTAGCACGACGCCTTAGCTAATGGTTTATACAACTATTATTAGGTTATGTTGATACCACGATTTAGCTAAACACAAAGTATACTACTATAGTCAACTACTGCTCAACTGATCCAATTTCGTATCCAGGCACGCTTCTCGGCGACAGGAAAGTCTCTTCGATATCAGGAGAATCAGAATTAGTTATTCTATGTGTCCAGTTTGCCTCGATTGTTGGGTCTGCTAGTCTTCCCATTTCCTCGTTTAAAAATTGAAGGTGTTCCTCGAGTAGGAAATCTGGAGGATCCCACTGAGCATATAGCTTTAAGTGGGATTGTCTCATATTGAATTTAGATCTTATGTTTACTAGAACATGATAACAGAGCCAGCAAGGGCATCTGCTACATCCAATATAATTGAAATAATTCGAGGTGCTTTGCAATCGTAGAAACCTCAGCATTTGCATCTCGCAATGTTGCAGAATGTCAACTAAGTTATTACGTACGCTACGCGAATTTTTCATTCGGGGAACTCTTTCTTCGTCGAGCATTCTCGTTCCAATAACTGTGTCAGCGATTCCACCCCACTCCAACTGGTAGGGCCCTGATGTTGTGGAGATATGGCCGAGTTGAAGGTTTATCCGTAAAGTGGCTGATCTATGATGATCTTTGAAGTATACAATGTCATACCATGCACGGATATAGTTTGACAGGGTGTAAATTAGCCGTAGAATCCTCCATAGTAAATCCCCCCTACGATTTTCTTCTAGTTTAGAGAAGAATTCCCTCATATCCTGCACACAGGTTTCCGCCAAGTTGAAACATAGCTGCATAAAATTATGAAGGAGCTTTATAGAATCGTTATCCAATAATTCACCATTCACTTCGAGGCTCTGAATTTTGAAAAAGACGCTGGGAGAGGTAGAGAAGAACGTTTCCAATGATCTTAAGATGTTCAATGTCCCCTCTCGAGCTTCTATTAGTTTGGGTGGAACAATATTAACTGTATCTCTAATACATCTTAAAGTGTTCAATAATTCACTTTCCTTATCTTTTTCTGTTTTCCCGATACATGCCTGGAATATGGATTCCGAGATATTATGACAGTGTTTAAGGAGAATACACCTCCATAAACTGCTCTGACGGCTAATTGTTATAGTATTTGCAACGTCTGGAGTTCTATCCGCAAACCATGCTTCGATTTCTTTGGCAAGACCAGTAAGATCGATCGAGGGATCATTTATAGAGATATTGAGAGTGTAAATAGTATGATCTTTATTACTCTCCATTACTGTCGCTACAACACCTTCGCCCCGTGGTTGAGCAAATATTAGAGCAAAGGAGTCAAGGAGATTCTTCCCAAGGCGCTCCTTTTTCTGATTCTCTACATCGCCCCCTATCAAGTCCTCGATTGGCCTAGGATCTTCCTGGTCCAGAAAACCCTCACAGCGTGTTTGACACTCATATTGTTGTATTTGTCTATGGTTGACTACGAAAGCCCTAGCATAGAATTCTACATTGGAAACACCATATTCATGGAATATAGGGTTATTATAATTTGGCATGACTTAGGCTTCGTTCGTATTGATATTTTAATATGTACTATGATGATTCGTCGAAGTGAGTACCAGTTTATAAAATAGTGTTAGTGCTAGTGACATAGATGTAGTTTATATATTTATCTATTATGGTGTTCTAATACATTTACAAGGTTGCTTAACTTGGATCATCTACCTAATGCTCGCACGGATTGCCTCTGGCCACCTCATGAAATGAGTCGAATCGGAGGTATCAAAGTGATACGTTTGCTGGCATTTTGCGGTGACAACGCATAGCATTAACAGGTCAACATTCCGATCGTCATTCAAATGGGCATCTATTTAGATGACTATGAGAATCCTGGATGAGTATTACAACGAATTAGGTGACGTGGTGACATGATTACTACGCATTCATAACCTGTATGTGCTTTAAAGCATTGCGCTATAAGTTGAACCAAACTACCCGAGACAACCTGTAAGTTATAATAAGAAGTGATATAAAACAATAAGTTATCGTAGCCAGGATGCGGGAGTAAGCCGCAGGGTGAGACAAGATAAAAGAGGTTTTATATTATGTCAGATTAACAAAATGAATGTATATGCCATTGTGACGTGGTATCTCTTGTCTTGAAATGTGTATCGAACTTCGTTTCGGAATGTTATATATCTAAACCATCTAATCTAATATCATCATCAGAAATATTTCCAACATTAATGGGATTTGAGATAGGTACTAGAAAATCTTCAGGTAAGCAATCCTTCTGGCACAAACCCATTTAACGAATAGTATAGTACGGTTATTGATATTAAATGCGGTTAAAGATTAACCATGTATAAGAAAGAAAAGCAGTTATTGTTGCATCTTGTCAGGGTATAAGTGGGTAAGGAGGCCTACAGGGGTCTATCTACTATATAAGGGCGCTCTGCGCCCTCGAAAGAGAGTAGAAGCTAGGCGTTACTAGTTCAATATATCATCCTTTTGGTCTACCTATCCTAGATATTCACTCTGTGTATGACATCAATCACCTGGGTATAAACCCCCTGACACATCTACTGATCTCATTTGTACAAGGCAGCTCTGAAATAATACGCGCTTGCTGATTACCCCTTTAATTCCCGTGGTGTTTAATAAAATTTGGATTATTATAAGCTCAGAGAACCTCGCCTTCACAAGGGAAAGAGGGTAGGTGGTAAGAGAAATTATGAAAAATTAAGCTTGGCTACAAGTATGGGCAAGAAGAGAACATAGTTAAAAAATTAAAAAAATTAAAAAATAGAAAAAAAAATTAACCCCCAGAAACCCACCGCCCAGCCCATGACATTTGACGCGTCCGCCTACCGGTCATGGCTACTGCGCGCCCTCCTTTCGTCATTAGGTACTTCTTTGCGACCGCCCGACCTCGCTAGACGGGGATTTCTTTCGTCATCATCGCAGGGGACCGGTGTCCTGTGTCTGA